AAGGGACCGACTAAAGAATCCTTTAGGTGGTTTGCTTAGTTCAAGATTTAGTCAATATCTTTAGTAATGTTGGTGTCTACCAGCAGATGACTAATCTCGGACTAAACAATTAGTCGAGTTTTTAGTCAAAAAATGGTGTCTACCATGGCGAATAAACAAATTGACTAAACAATAATGGGAACAATACTGGACTTAAAAGACTCAAACAAGATTTAACAAAAGTGATACACTTGGTGAGCTACCAATATTCTATCTGCATGGTGGAGATAAGGAGCAGAAAGACTTAAAGAGATTACTTTTTTTGAGATAACAAGACTTAGATAACAAGACTCAAACCACACCATTGCGATGCACCTCTACTATCATTCAATCGTTAGATCGATCGTTTGCACCTCTACTATCATCGATCTGGTTCGATCGATCGTTTGCACCTTTACTATCATTCATTCGATAGTTTGCACCTCTACTATCGGTCGTCCAGGTCGTGAGTCTATAGATGAGATCAATAGTGATCGTTTGTAACATTATCCGATCGTTTGCATACTTCCTCTTTGGCACTGATGGTGGCCTAGAGGGAACTGCAAGAGGGACTCTGTTTGAATTTGTTATCCAACTCTGTGGCATACAGTCGTACCGGTATTGTTTCCTTTTTGATTTGCTCTCTGTTAAGTACACTGGCTTTAGTCCTTTACGCTTCGCTGCGTGTTCGTGGTGAGCGAGTGTAGGACTAAAGCTTTGCTGTCTTTGGAGTACCGCGTTGTAGGTGGCGCTGGGAGGACAGACGGCATGACTAAATTCTTAACAATGAAATATGGCTTAGTCGCTTCTTTAGTCCCTCCGGTAGAAAGCGGGAAGCCGTACCAGGGTAGACGGTAAACGGTTAGGGGTATTCTCTTTCACACGCCTGCCTCTCTTTTCAACCGTCAAGAAGCCTTCTTCATGGTTGAAGAAGGATTCTAGCCAATCAAATCAGTCGAGCCGATACCGTTTACCGGAAACCCGAACGGAATCTTGCCCCACATTTCGTTTGGCTTTCCGGAACACGGTATGTTTACTATACAAAAAGCAGTACACGGATTGGAACTCACAGGAACAAGACTTTATATATTATTCATGATGGATACAATTATGCCTTTGCCTAAGTAAAGCAGGCTAGCTCGAATCGATCTACAAAGTGATACCGTGTAACGGGTTTTTGTAGCACGCTACGATCGGTAGAGGTCCGGGCGTGAATACTCAGTGGGAGGACTGGTAGAGAAGGCGATTGCATCAATAGTCTTCGGTACGTTCACGTTTGTCCACTGGTTGGAGTTACTTGATTTGTCACGGAATTGGAGCATTTGGCTCTAGTTGATACTTCTCATACCAAACAGCCAGTTCTTCTCTTTTATTCTTCTTACATGTACTTTGCAAGATAGTTAGTCGTGATAAATCAATTGAATGTGTGGAAGGGACTCCGGGAAGTTTCGCTGTGGTTGGACCGTCCGCGTACGGGATTTTCGCTCAGGCTTTGGATAAAACTGATCCGACAGGAAGGTGCTGGTTGTCATGTTTTTTAAGGGTTGCTTTGTGTCTTTTTTGTCTTTTTTTTTTGTGTTGTTTGGTGGAATAGGGTTGGGGTTTGGTGTGAGGGGTGTTTATGTGTGTGTCCGATGGTTAGGGCTGTTTTTAAGCATTTATTTATTTATGGGTCAGTTTGGTCATGCGGTTTGAATAGTGTATTGGTTTTATGTTAAGGTGGTGGTTTTTCAAGAGGTTCTTAAGTTGCTTTGCTCTTTTGAAGTTGTATAAGTGAATTTCGTTGGGGTGAAACTTGGTTTGGTTGTGTTGTTGGTTTTCGTGACTCTCTCCTGCTTCGTGTGACCGATTGTGTTCCGAGGCGTTTTTTCGCTTGCGTTTGAAAAACTGCCACAACTGAGTTCGTGTTGCTTTGTTGATTAGTGGAGGATGTAAAGGATGTAGATATTAAGAGGTGGGTTTTATATGGAGGGATTGTTTGGAGTGAGTTTGGAGGGAGGGATGGATTTGGATGTAGTGTATTTTTTGTTTTTTATGTTAAGATGGTGTGTTTCATATGTGATTAAGTTGTGGGAGGTAGTATATGGTGTCAATTAAGGTTTGGTGTTTTGTGTTTGTGTTGTTGTTGGGTGGGTGGTTGTTGTAGGTCGAGTGGATGTGTGTTGTTCGAAGTCTTTAGATATGGATTGTTGTAAATCTCTTTTTTTCTCTCTCTAGTCGCTCTGGTAGAGACCGGCCTCAGAGCATACTTTAGAATATGGTAAGGGGAAAAGGTTGAAACGAACCCTACAGTACATGTACAATCTTCGCACACAACTCCCTCTGACGCCGTACTTCGCCACAACAACCGGACTCCACAAGCCACGCCAACATGAAGACTTTTTACATTGCAAATGGAAACAAAGACAGCACCTCCTTGATTGGAAACAGAAACAGCAATGGAACCAACCAACGGGCACAGGCAAACAGCACGAGGAGAGGGACCATGCCGCGCCAAACTGGACCTCAGTCCGAAGAAATGCTGCGAAGGAGTCTTCAAGAATCCTGGCGGAGAAACTTGACATGCTTGATGATGCCGACTTCCGGTGCGATGATCATGATAACGCAAGCCAAGTCAGCAATGGGACTCCAGGTGCTCGAAACTGAGGGAAAGGGGAAAGACAATAGGAGTTCTTACCTCGAAAGGGAAACGAAACACCAAACTCAAGGACTGACTTATTTCTGAAGAGTTGAAAGATTCAATCAAGCCCACTTGCCGAAGGATCGGTCAACAGGGCAGCCTACGAAATACATTAAAGCAAAAGGAGCCTATTCCTAATGGCTAGAAGACCCTCGCCGTGACGCAACACGCGCATACGATGATAATGTAACAGGATCGTTTTAGTGATATCTACGTCTCACGGCAATCTGGCAATATAGGAACTTCAGGTAAGGCAACCAAACAGGTCCCGGCGCCGCTGAATAGAGTGTATTCTCAACCAATAAGAGACCATGAATAACAGGGGGCATAACTCGAAATGCGTGTTGTTGGTGATATTCTTGCTGCCAATCACCATAGCGATAGCAATCTACTTGAAACCCTTTGAACGCATCCTCTGGGCCAACCTTTGGCGGGAATTCGTTTGTTGAGGAGGACCTGACGACCTTCTGGGTTGTGCCGTAGCTAGCTGTTCGTAAAAGGATCTTCTTGGTTGTGTCGTGGCTTGTTGTTCATACGATGACCTTCTAGGTTGCGCTGTGGCTTGTTGTTCATAAGAAGATCTTCTAGGTTGCGCTGTGGCTTGTTGCGCAAACGACGAACTGCTGGGATGCTTTGTAGGTTGTTGTTTCTTGCGTGGTATCTTGTCGGCGTGTTTGGTGCCAAGTGATGACGATGACGATCGCCTGGTATGCTTGGAATCCACGGGAAAGGAACGTAATCCTGCGGCTTGATTTGGGAAAAGTGGCTTCAATTCAAATCTGAATACCTTGAAGCCATCCTTGCCTTTGTCGTAAGAGAAGTCATGACATTTATACAAGCCAAGGTAATAGTATCGTTTGTTGGCTCGGCGTATAACTCGAATTGGTGTGCCTGACTCTTTGGAAGCAATCAGCGATGCGTTAGCAGCATTTTGCCAGTCTTGGTCTTTCACGTGTTTCTTAGACTTGTCTTGTCCGCCCTCCCCAGTGTAATAAATGGTACCATCGTCTGCCTCTTCGTTATCTGTGTACCTACCCTGGACAGAAATGGCGTAGCAGGGTTCACCTTTGATAGAGTCAATACCACTGAGGATACTTTGGTGAATCCCAAGGATGGCAGCTTCTCCTTTTCCTTCAAGGCACAGGCCCACGGGAACCCCAGGAATCTCGCCGTGTCGTCTGGTGGGTACAAATTTGCCTCGCAGCTCTTTGTAGGCGATCATGTCTGGCTTGCACTTTTGCTCAGTCTTCAGTTCCCTGACTCTCTCTCTGTACACGCTTAATGCTTCTGCGGCGTCACCCGAACACTCAACAGGTTTATGTTGAACCGCAGGAAGTGCAGCAGCGGCGGCTGAAGAGTCGGGTTTTTCCACGGTAGCGCTCATGGTCGAAGAAAACTCAATAGACTTGCTGCCACTGAGGAGACTTGTAACTGGATAACACAGATACCCTTTTGCCTATTTCCAAAACGATTGTCCCCACTAGTGCTACTCTAGCTAGCCAGCGTTGTTGAATCTTCCCTGAGTGAATGAATGCAACAAGCAGAGAACATCATCAAAACAGTGTTACTATCAAAACGGGCGTGTTCGTGTACAACGAACGCCGTTCGACCAATCTATTGCTTCCAATCACGGGGCACTAACCTTTGTATGGGGCGCTAACCTTAAAATCAACTGTGAAGCCAGTAGGTTCTGTCACATTCTCAATTCGGCTTTTTTTCAGCGTTGGTCTCCTGTTTCCTCAGTTTGCTCGCTACTTGGATCCAATAGATGCAATCCAGCCATTGTATAGCCAGCTACGGTACCGTAGGCAGAGAGTTACATCGAGATCCGTGACAGGGCACACAGTACCAATGAACACACTCAGGTTCCGCTTTACTGCTACACTCCATTACTGATACCTTGCATTGCGATCCTTATGGACCGCATAAAACACAACCGACATTGTAATCCAGCCATTGTAGCCAGTCAGTAGAGTTACATCAATAGCGAGCATGGCAAACAGTACAGAACTGAACAACACTTCACACTACAGAGTACACTCCGTAACCGTAACCTGCATTGGACACCTTATGACAATACAATCAACAAACCGAACATAAATTGTAATCCACCAAACATTGATAGTCCGGCTAACAGTACAGTTACATCGGCGACAGTGTCACAGACCGAACACCTCCCACCCAGCCCCACACAACCAAAACACCAGTTCCGAATTTGAAGGCTACAATCGGTTGACCGTTATTCTTGCATTGCCATCCTTATACAGGACAGAAACACATGCACAACGGAAACGATTGTCATCCACAAATTTAGCCGGCTGCTTAAGTTACATCGGCGACAGTCAACAGTACCCGAACACCATCAGGTTCCGCTATCTGCTCGCACTACACTCCGGTACCACTCGCAAATGTATACCTTAGACGAATACTCGCAACAACCAGAAAGATTGTATACCAGCCATTGTAGGCCGATTAGCCGTATAGCTAGTGGTAAACTCAGTACTTGATTGCGCATGACAGAGAAAATGGGCATATAACGCGACACAGGAATCACCACCAAAACAGTAGGAAACAACAAGAAGGGATGAATCTGGTAGGAGAATCCACTCTCTTGTGTGTTGTCGAGTAGCTAGCCTTGCTCCTGTTCCCTTTCAATGAGTCGACGACTCGATGATCTATTATCTTACGAAAGAAGCAAGTCGTTCGCCCGAGGACTTGTGCATACAGAAAAATGGGTGCCGACACAGGAATCACCACCAAATCACAAGGAAATAACACTGGAGGGATGAATCCAGTAGTAGGATCCACTCTCCTCTGTGCTTTTGTGCGTAGTCGTGTAGCCTCCTCCGGTTGACTGTTGCCATTCAATGACTCGAGGACGTCGTTCATGCTGTTGGTAGGGCTGGAGTTAACAGTTTCCTCCATACACGTAGCCTCTTCTTCCTCGTGTTATTCGGAGCGATCAATCGTTCGTTGGACCGCGACAATGGTAATTCATCTGCCGTCAGCAGTACAGCAGAGAAAACAACAAATAGATATGAGTTTTTTTTTTCTGTGCTCAACTGCAGACGACCGGAGACTTACCATTGTTTTTCAAATTGCACCAACTTGGCCGTCATGGGCTGAGAACTGACTGCCTTCCCGCGGTCCATAGGATTGAATGAGGGATGGCTTTCGCTTCTACATCGGAGACGACCGGCTTGAGTGAGGCTTGGATAACAGAGGTGCGACCGATCGATTCGACTCGAATAAATAAAACAACTCACCTGTTGATGGCCGAGATTTGACTGCCTTCCCGCGGTCCATAGAAATTCAATGAGGGATGGCTTTCGAATCTGCACCTTCAATAACACTCTTGATTATAGGTATGCTTACCTCCGTACCAGTCGTTCGATCGATCGATCGATTCAACACCGCTCTTGTCGGCCAAGCTCGGATTTCTCTCCTGTTTACCATAGGAATTGAATGAGGGAGAGAAGTCAGTGCTGCGCCTTCAATAATGGACTTTAGCCTTAACCTTAGTAACTTCAACGGTTCTTTTTATCCACGAATCGATCTAAATCTTTCGAAGCACATGACCGTTGATTCTGCAACTGAAGTGCGGGTACTCTATTTTACACAGTAAACGCCGGCAAATCGATTCCAGAGTGCTACTGAGGGGGTAACCAAAAGGAGCGTGGTCTGGGAGACCAAATTTTTCAACAACAAAAAAATTTCCTGCACCCCCCTGCTCAAGACTGTTCAACACTGCGCCACTCCTATGCTAATTTACACCTTTTTCATAGCCAAAAGTGTTCAGGACAGATATTTCTCACCAAAATTGTTAAGTTCAGCCAATCTAGCATTCCAAAGCAGTCATATTCTCAAATTTTTCAAGCTAACAAAAATTTCCTGCACCCCACTCCCCAAGACTGTTGGACAATGCACCGCTCGTAGGGTACTTTGCACCTTTTTCATAGCTAAAAGTGTCCAGGACAGATGTTTCTCAGACAAAATTGTTATGTTGAGCCAATCCAATATTCCAAAGCAGTCACATTCTCACTTTTTCAAGCTAACAAAAAAATTCCTGCAGCTCTCCCCAGGATTGCTGAACACTGGACGGAATTAAAACTAATATAGTCCCCAAGGCAGCTTCCCAGCTCTCATTCAAGCTGGAATTTTTCTCTTGGTGCCCTTTATCGTTGACCCTTCTTAGGTCTTAGCAACACAGAGCCCATCATACACAAATTTGTCTAAGGTACCAAACATCTTTCTCTACCACCGCACACCAACATATATCTTGGCACAACAATCTTCCCCCATTTACCAAAATTGCCTAATAGAACATTTCAATCTGCTTTCAAAGCTCTGCTCCCATGTGCTACCAAACACTTCTCTCCACCCATTTCCTAACAAGAAACATTTGTCCCCTGGTCTCCAAGCAGATGGGCTCGCCAACCATTGGCTTTGAATGTGCCTACCCACCTTGCCAACCACCTACAATATCCACATCATCCAAAATTGTTCTGGGTCCCAACCCGCCCCTGTGTTCTAAAGGCCAGCAGTGAAGGTGCTGCTCTTGAGTGGAGCCTCTCCACCCGTTTCGCCGCTATGCAATACTGTATTCATATTAAATGACGTCACCTAGCTAGTGTGACCCGGCCTTATTATTATTATTATTATTATTATTCGAAAGATATCATAACAACCATCACATCATCACGGTATCGTCCATCGTCGATTGTCGACACCTTATACTGTCACTGGTAGCCTACTCTTGTGTTCCAGCAACGATGAATGTCTTGGTCGCACTGTTGGTAGTGCTGCTAGCGGTCTGTTGGATATCCTTTCGAAAACAGCCTGTTCGCTTCACTTCCCAGGATACCAAATTTCGAGACCGATACGGAGAATGGGCCATTGTGGCGGGAGCCAGTGGCGAAGGCCTCGGTGCCGCTTGGGCGGATGCTCTCTGCGAGCTCCATGTGAATGTGCTGCTAATTGCCAGAAGGGAACCACAGTTGATGGAATTGAAGAAAACCCTGGAAAACAAGTACAGTGGATGCAAGGTGGATACTCTGGTTCAGGATTTGAGTGCCGCGGACCTTGTCGACGTGTTTGCCGACTTGTTGCTAGGGGCAGACAACCGGCAATACGGCTTTCTGGTCCACAACGCTGCGTATAGCCATATGGGTCCCTTTCTCGATGCACCATTGGAAAAGCACAGCTTGACGGTGGATATTGATGTCCGTAGTGTCATGACCATGACGCATCAATTTGGCAACTACTTGAAATCCAATGGCCGAACGGGAGGCATCATCATCATGTCATCCATGGCGGGAGAAATTGGAAGCGCCTTTGTCTCCAATTATGCCGCGACCAAAGGGTTCGATACGGCTTTTACGCAGGCTGTCAGTTACGAGTTGAAACCACTGGGAATTGACCTTCTGGCGTGTGTGGCAGGTTGCACTGTGACTCCAAACTACATCAAGGTCGCCGCAGCAGGTACCAGGAATCCCATTATTGAACAGACACCCGAACAAGTAGTGGAGGAATGCATCCAAGGAATAGGAGTCAAGGCATCCATTCGAACTGGTTTCATCAACAAGCTCATTCGGTTTTTTATGGTACGGGTGCTGCCACTGGAATTTGCTATCCAAATGTTTGGCAGTGAAACGGAAAAGTTGCTCGAAGGCACTGTTCAAGTGGACGATTAAAAGTATACGGACGAGTCGAGTCAAAGGGAAACAATATATCATTTGGTGACAACAAAAACAGCGCTGGTACTTGCGACATCAAGGCGTGGCGTCGTGGGCTGGTGGCAAGCGTTGCAGTGCGGCGTACGCTACCGTGACGGGGAAAATGCGACAATAACCAAACTTGACGCGCGATGATGTCGCTCATTGACAACCACGAGTAGAGACTACGGTACCGTACAGGAAAGACTGCCACTTGCTAGCTGTATCTTTTGGTCGGTCCACAAAGCTGCCAGGCCGGGATCGTTGCTCAGACGAACTGCCACTCCAACCCAGCGCGCTTAACCTTCCAAGGAGAGGGAGGGGAAGACGGGTTCAGATAGTATATGTACGAGGAATCTTCGCAACTGGTATTTTTTGACGCACGTGATAGGTACATGTGCCGGTACCGGTAGCATGCCAAGTACACCTGTATCCTCTGGATGCCTCAAGGCCTTATTGTTAACCTATTCCGTCCTGAAATGCAGTCAAGAATCTGAACTACTAGCTAGTATGCTGATACCAGAGACTAGTAATGGCTAGCCATGTACAAACAGGAGATGTTGGTGATACCTACCAGTACCGGTATACAATATCTGAAGGATTGAGGGATCGAAGTAGCTAGCAAGAATTTCCAAGATGGTGGGTGGTGCCTACCACTGTGAACCGTTTTGTCTGCGCACAGAATCCATTGTCAATCCTGGATGCTTCTTGTAAGAGAGCGCAGACTCCGCCAGCATGGTCCTGCTTGATACGGGTATGGTGCACCAGTTCATCACGAGAATGGCTTTTCCGGAATAAGGTCCGAAGCATCGGCCGGGAAACCAAGTATATATTATTCTGTCACTTCTAAGGTGCAGGGCCTATGCTCTGAATGCGGTATCGATAAACTGATCTCATTGCATGGTGTGGACCCCAAACAAAACTTTGGCGCGCATCAATTGTATGTATTATATTGAAAAAGATTCCTCCTTAATAAAATGAGCCTTCAATATAAGATTTCGAGTCAATCATAACTCTTTAGAACATACTTCCACTGGTCAACTTCCTCCATGGTTGAAATGAGAGCCACTGTTCTCTCTGGAAATGGGTACAGTCATAGATTTCTGGGTTTGATCCGCTTTGGTGAGAGGATTCCGTCAACTTTCACAGCAACTCTGCCATCTTCCAACCCATCCATGCAGACCAGACCGATTTTGTTGTTCATGGCCAAGCCTGGGGGACTCACAAGGCCGTGGATAACAACCCAAAGACCAGCTTCACTGATACCTCTTGCCGGGATCACAGAGTCTCCAGAGTTCCGTACCTGCTCTTCAACACGTGTAATCAGTTCAGCAAAGAATCCGGCTTCCTTTGCATGGTCTTCACCTTTTTCGGATTGCACCACTTTGAAGAGCGAGGAGGCTTCCTTCATCTCTTCAGTTGTGCACTCCACAGACACTCTTTGGACCAACTCGACCAAAGAAATTTCACCACAACATTTGCCTTTGGAAATGAAACCAGACAGAGCACACGCTCTTATGAAAGACATCCGATTAATTGTCTCTTTGTCGTCCGCTTGGAATTTCTTGAGAAAATATAGTGCGACCTTTGTGGTTCTCTTCAGCATCCCATTATGGCACCACCAATTTGGTTTAGGAAGCTTCTGCATTTCGCAAATATAATCCTTGGTAAGGGCAGCCATGCAATTGGTCCAGTGCATCATGTCCACCCAGATCTTCTGATCGGTGGATTTGATGACTTCCACATCAGTGCATTCATTCACGATAAGGGGTGCTGACAGAATATACCATGCCAACCGTCCACATGTTTCCGAATAACATGAAAGACCTTCACTTTTTTGTCCTGATACTTCAAAGCACATACCAAGTCTACGAAAGGCTATTGCTTCCCTTGGTTTCATTTGCTTTTTGAAGGTATTTCTTGGCACCTTTGATGTCACCTGCCAAAACTCTCCTATCTGCTTTCGAGATGAGATCATCATAATCAGAGTGTGCTCCCACCCTTAAAGACAACAGCAAATCAGCAGCAGCATCCTTTAGACTCTGTGCATCCTCTTGGTGCCATTTTTGGTGTTCTGGCCAAGCCTTTTTGAAGCAATTTTGGGAACAGAAGATTGCAGGTATAAACCGTTCCTCGGTGCAACGAGGACACTGGTTGAATGGCTTGCCATCTGGCTCCACCTTTTGACACCCACAACAGACTCTCCCTGTCTTTGCACATGGTGGTCCCTCAACAATCTTATCGATCAGATCTTGCCATGTTGGTTCCGTTGGATGTTTCTTGTAGAGTAGCCACAAAAACCTACTACTTATCAGAGCTACGGTACCGGTATGGAAGCAGATGCCGTCTGAGCTAAAGAAAACCAAACCACTGCCAGGTTTTCTTTTGTATCTTCATGCATGACCATGGCGAATAATCGAGAAGCCTTGTTTACAAGATCCGGTGTGGTACTAATACCAGTACCCGTGGGACGGGTTGTGCTGTTCTCACGCGTGTTGTGAATGCAGAGAGGTAAAGACAGATCCAATAGTAGGAAACCGCACTAAATCTTGGATCGCGACTAATTCTGCAAAGATCCACTTTTCGAAAGATCCAGATCTTCACCCGCAACCTTCAAAGTTTCACCAAGGAGGAACTCATCCATCGTCTTTCATATCTCGTGGCTAGCTAGCCAGTTGTCGTCATCAATACTTTAACCATCAAGAGATGCTGTCCACAATACCGGCATCAACTGGCCAAGGACTCGCCGCTGGCAAGGAAGATCCTCTCCTGGAAACGGTGGTAGTGTACCAGAATGAAGGTTCCAGCGATTGTGGACACAGCTTCAAGATGGGTCCATTGATTGATTATCTCCACGAAAGCAAGAAGAGCAGCTGTCCGGAATGTCAGGGATCTATTGAAATGGTGTGTGATGGAATGGTTTCCTCGCTCGTCGACAAGACTTCGGACAAGACCATCAGTGACAATCGACTGGTCAAGTTCAAGTACCGAAATCATCTATATCACTTGTCAGTGTTGAGAGCACCCACCGATAATCTCGCGTTGCCACAATCTTGGTTCCTGTGGATGTGGCACACGATGCTACATTTTGTGGGAGAGACTACAGCTGTAACAGCGCAAGAACGGATTGCTCATGTACTGAGGTTGGATACAAGCTGTGGAATGAGAGTAAGCTACCGAAAACAATTCCGAAAAAAGTTACATGCCCGTGTCGAACTAAATCCGATTGCATTTTGTTTGTTTGTTTGCTTCTCACAGATTCTCCACAAGGGCAAAATTCTGTATCCAAATGCAAAACAATCTCCGGCAGAAATCTCCTTGCAGCTGTTGGATGTATGCGACAATGGAGGCAAACCATTGGTCATGGGAACTCGAATGACAGAGAAAGAGCAAACTCGCGCAACTGTAAAGTGGATATTCAACTTGTGGCTTGCTTTTGTAAAGGCATGCCTTGCCAAGGCGATTGCTCTTATTCAGGGTATTGCGTCACCACTGCTGGCTTTGGGCACCACGGGTCGCGAGCATCGCGATTAATGATTCAATTCGATTCGGCTTGTCTTGCATTTATTTGATAGGTGTCCTCGTGCCTCGACGATGATGGAGAGCGAAGAGTTCAGTTTGTACAATGACAACCCCCAAGATCACCACAGCTCTGCAGCTGGTGAGGCAAATGACAATCAACGGAACGGTCCCGATTCTTGCTAGATTCTGTTCGCGCCGCTGGTCTTGAGGCATGGTGGAGCTTCCAGAAACGTTACCGGGATCACGCTCTATGCTGGTCAGTGCAGATGGGAATACACACGCCTTTATGCAACTGGGGTTTTCGCTCCTCCGCTTGACCAGTTCTCCCCTTTGGCGTACTACGGTATGTTGTGGCTTGATGATACTGACCCAATTGATCCTGGGGTGGCATCTACTACACCTGGCATGTATCCTAGTTGAGAGCTATACAGAATAGACACGGACAATCTTTGTATAACACATCGAGTATTAAAGGTCGCTACGTTCAAAAGGAAGTTCGAAAACAGTCAACAAAGGGTGTCTGGGGAACAACGGGAAACAACTTGGCTCTTGCGCTTCATTGGTGGGCTTCATATTTCACTTGAGCTCACGTTGGAGCTTTTGCCTGTGGATTTCTTCTTGGGATTGAATTTCGATTTCGAACTTTTGGCTTGAATGTTCTTGGAGCTTACCAGGACGGACTTGCTCAACCTTACCTAACGCAGCAACAAGTTCCGGTGAAATAGGGTGCATCGAAGACCAGGCAACTGATTGTCCGCAGCCCGATTCGAGCGTTGCCGTGCTTGGCTTAGTGGCATTGTTGTTACTGTTCGTGTAATCGAAGCATTGTAGAAACCTTTTCCGTTCCTTCCTCGAACCTCTGACGATCCACCTTTTACCATCTTCGATCCACGAGTACAGCGTGGCAAAAGAGATTCCCGATTTCGATTTATCATCCTCCGATTTGGTCGAGGGAATTGCTCCACAGGTGGTAGCACCATCGCAACCTTCCACTTTCACAAAGACGGCGCCGCAATGGTTGCACGCACGATAGTGGTTGCGTGGATCTGAAACATCGGTGACATTCCAGGAGAGGAATGTATTGGATGCTTCGACGAAGTTCTTTAGCTTGAGGGACAACCACGCTCCTGCCTTGGCGTAGCACACGGTTTGTTCGTCGATCGAGAGGCTGGCCGCATCCTTGAAAACTCGTTCTCTGTCCTTTGTCACCATTTCGGTAGTAGCCCGCTGCAAGTCCATGATCTCGATGTCATTCTCGTGGTTCTTGTTCGTGCCAGACTGAGTAATCTCGTTGCAATAGACAGTAGCAGCGGCAATCCTAGCATATATGTCTCGGATTGATTTCGTGATGCGTCGTGATTGTTTGGAACCAGATGCCAAACGAACCACTTCTGTGATGTCAAGCTTGATTTCTACCGGCTTGGAAAGAAGAGTTGAGCGAACAAACTCCTCAATCTCTGCTCCACTTGTGTCCAGGCCAATAACCATAATACGTTCGCGAGGCACATCAGCAAGGCGCGATACAGAACTCTTGACGTCCTCCACACTGAACCCCGCCTTGTCTGCTTCCACGTCGGCGTGAGTGACAATGATCCGTATCGCCTCCTCGCCAACCATATCAATGATGTCGTTCACCTCATCATCGATCATGTCTCCATCGCGGCCACACCTCACAACTATGTAGACACCGAAGAGAGGGGTGAACTCCAAAGCAAGCTTCTGCGCCGCAATGTGTCGAGCCACGTCTTCAGTTGGTCCAAGACCAGGCGTCCCGAGGAAGGCGATGCCATGTTGCTTCGAGTAACCCAACTCAACGACGCGAGTTGCACTTTAGCTACCTCCTTTTGAAACATGGTGCGTACCACAAACGTTGTTCACGATTCTGGTCTTTCCGTGGCCGAGTTTTCCAAGCAATGCAACTGTGGGGATGCAACGAGCAGACATTTTGTGCGATCTACTCGTTCAGATCCCGGACGGCGCGGTATATTATGAGCTTCCCAGAGCCGCATTCAGACTGTGAAGCTTTTGCTTTGGTTATTCGATCCCCTGGCATGGATTGGATTCGTCGGTTGTCGACAAGTTGTAGCATACGGTACCGAAATATTCAGGTGTGCACGAAAGCCTGAAATGATTCTTCTGCTTGGATACGATCCTTCTGCTTAGAGCGTGGTACTATGCATAGTACTACGGATGAAATATTCCGGATGCCATGCCGATATCGGTACAGTATCCAGTGCTTCAAAACGAATGAAGATGGACTGTGGGAGAAAGCTAGCTAGCTAGCAGCGAGTCATGACCAACCTGAATCTTGGCGTCCCGAAGGACCTCCTGGGACGGATCTGCAGGTTGGGAGCAGACTGAATGTCAAAGCAGGGAATGCTGCGCAAACGACGTGCTGCTCCAGACTTCCCGCTGCACTCTTGAAGTAATCGATCGCACGAGTAATGGCGGAGTTGAAGTCAAAGACATTGCTGGAGGCAGAGAAAGTGAATGGCCATGCAAACCGGAGGGATCGATAGTGCAGCTAAGGACCAAACAAATAAATGCATTGGGCTGTTTTCTTCTGGCTAGTTTTAACCACACCCTGAGTACCAACCTGATATTCTTGTACAGCGACCACTGCTGCCGACGGCAAGAGTCTAAAGTAGCCACATTGCTACTTGATGAGCGGCTATTGGAGCTTCATGTCACTTTTTCCCACGGTAAGAGCCGGTAGAGGATTACCGGTTTGATTTCCCCACTGGAGATTATGGTACTGGTGCTGTTTGGTGTTTTTCCAGGACATCGTGTCTGAAGAGCCCGAGTGACAGCCGAGTCAATGGGCCTCATAAATTGACAGACTCAGCATGTCTCTCACATCAGGAATATGCTCTCTGGCTGAATGTTTGGGAAAGTGAATTGAATTGAATCAAATCAACCTGGAATGCCAAATCAACCCTTGGAAATGAATCAAGAGATCATCAGAGAGTGCTTTGTTGCTTTTGGAGTAGTACCAGATGTTCAATCCAGAGGTCATCGGAGAGCGCTTTGTCGCTTTGTCTTGTCGCACAGTACAACTAACTGGTTTGTGCACAATCTTTGACAGTCGATCTGCTGCAAGTAGCTGTAAGGATTCATCTAGAGCCAGTCGACTGGGTTTGATCAAGTATCTCTAGTCTGTCATTCTATAAAGAACAGGTACTTTCCCTTGTTTCTTGAGTTCTCCTCCCACTTTCTCAAACAACACACCCAGCTGAAAGAGCCGTTTTTCACCCCATTTGGAAACCCCCTCTTCTTGTTGCTTTTGTTTGGCAGGATGGTGATAATCTATCGTGTAGGATCCCACACTACCCGTCTTTTTCTTCTCTAATTCTTTCCATGCCCGAATCATGGGTACAATTTGCACATCCCAGGTATCCCCCTCATCATAGCTTAACCAATGCGGAGCCAAGGAGGTTCGAAACGCAATGGGTCCAAACGTCCAGTCAATGGATGGAAATCCCACTTTTTGTCCAAGGGTATCCAAATATAGATTGGCAAATTGCTCAGAATGGTACTGCTCAATGGGATAGGTAGAATGGAACGATTCATCCTTTCGATGGGGGACCAGAATATCCGTGGAAATTGTTGTCATGTGGGAGGTCATTTCGTTCCAGAACCGAAACACGTCAAACTTTTCGGGCTCTTGAATGGCAATATACGTGTCTTGTTCCAAAGCCCGGGGGAATTGCCTTTTTAGTTGTTGACGTGCCATGGCAATGGCTTCCTTGAGTGCTGCTCCCTTTTTACCCCTGGAGGTTTGTTTCATCACGTGGACCCAGCTCTTGCCGTGGCGGTCTGTGCCTGCTTTGGTAAGAGACTGGCTGACAGTGTCGTGGTCGGGAGAGGCGTCAATGATCAGCAGACGAACACCGTGCTTGGCAGCCTGCCGACAAGATTCCAGGCCCAAAGCATAGCGAACGTCTTGATTATTTGGGTTCGTGTCGTCGTAAAAGGCAGGAGCCACTACCATCAACGGCGCGGCGGGTATTGCTATCTCGGCCTTGGACGTTAATACTGCCAGATATAGACGATAGCACAATAGGAATGGAACCAGTATTAGCCACACTTTCCAGTCTCTGAACTTCCAGGATGCGTGCCGAAGGCACCATCTTGAGTATCCGTATTGTTGTTGTTTTGTTCTCATTGTGCATTCGCTTTCGTTGAGAAAGAAATGTGCCAGATGAAAAGTGATGACATGAAGCATGAACAGGGTTGAGACCTGGTCACCTGGCGTGAAAGCCAACGTACCGTAACGGTTCCAGGTACCAGGTACACGATTTGTAAAACGTACCGCTACCAGGTACTTCCCCCTTCCACCGGATTTTGCGTGGCATCGTTGAATTTACATGTAGTGCTTCTGTCGTGGCCGTTAGAGAGTACCGGTAGGTAAATACACTGTAGTTGCCGCTGCGAAAATTAGGCGAAGATTGTCACCCCTGATTCCACCATGCATCCAGCATCCAGATCGTCGGCCTGATAACGAGTCCAACCATGCAACCAACCAATCATTTACTACCGTAGTAGTTTGATCCGAGGCCTTGTCTACGGCTGTACCATGGATGACATGATGGACGGCATCGCTGTGCCTGGGATCCGGCTGCAACGCAGAACGAAGGACACGTTGGTGGTGTTCTTTCATCCACCGAGACATTATAATGGCATGAAATGGAAGGAGGCACTACAGGAGAGCGCCTGCATTGAAACAGTCCACATTGAGGGCACTTGTGTTCATCCAGGGTTGTTCCGTCAACCCCGACACAAGAGTGTGGCAAAATTCATGACTGCTTTGTTTTCCTTGCCAAAGCTGACGTCTTGCCAGTTTCTGTACTGGCGCCAACATGATACGAACCACGCGAGCAACCGAGAAATACCAGTGGCACTGGTATCTTTTGTGCTGAGACATGCCATCGGCCTTCAGAGCTTCTGCGGTATTCATCGTCGTTATTTGGTTGGGGCCAATGCGGAATTTGAAGAGCTTGCTCGGTGCCTCGAAGGCCACAAAGCTCTTTCTTCATTCAGCCTCCCAGATTTCCACTCAACCCGCCTGTTGAGAGCGTTCTCCCACATGCCTCAATTGAAGTCTCTGGTGTTGCACAAAACACCCAGAGTGAAATTGGACCCATCAGCCCTTGGTTGCATCTTGTCGAATCCATGTCTTGACTTTGTTTCTCTGGATGGCTTCCGTCTAGATGAACACTTGGTGTCGGCCATTGTACAAAACCTCCGTCATCGAGATCCAAGCAAACCTCTTCGTACTCTCGTGCTCAAGAACTTTGGAAGTTTTGCCGCTACTGCCGCCGTTGCGTCCCTGTTGTCCGCAAACTCACCTCTCCAAGAGCTGAATTTATCCATGTTTACTTGCAGCTTGATGAACAAACAAGAGGAAGCCATTCGTCAATTTTTCCAGGCTCTACGTTCCAATTCCAACCTGAGGGTTCTCAAAGTTTCCAAGATGGAAGACAGATCATCATTCAGTGAGCACTTGTGGGATCCATTGTTGTTCCTGCTGAAATCCAATACAACTTTGGAAAGAGTGTGCATTGAGGACTTTGTGCGACGAAAAGCTTCATTCACTACGTTCCACAACCCCAAAGCAGAGCATTTGTTGAAGCTGAATCGTTTGGGCAGGGGCATGGTGTTGAAGCAGGGCGCGACAATGAGCAGAGAGGAATGGATCCAGAAGCTGGCCATGTGTGAAAATGACCTGGATTGTCTGTACTACTTTCTATCTCTCAATCCTTCCTTGTGTCAAGCTATAATGCTGGCGGCAACGCACGACAGATTATAGCCAGACTCATAAAGCTAGGTAGGCAAGCTTTGCATGCATGCAATGACATTCTGGGACACCTACAGGGCTATTGTCTACCCCTGTCTACACTATGGCCGGAGCTACAAGCTAGGAGTACTAAGTGGTTTGGGCTTAAGGCTATAGAGCTGTTAATGCTACTATTGCTTTGTGCCTAACCCAAGCTGTGTGAGTGGCATTGGCTACACTCATACAGCTGTGAACTCTTTACAAAAACAAAAGGGTGGGATGGGTCAGGGAAAGCGAAAACATGAGCAATGCACTTGTGTAGCTCTAGTAACCATCTGTAGGTGGCCATTATCATTGCTCTGGTCTGTTGGAAGAGGAATGAAGAATGAGGAGGAGCGAGAGGACTGCAGAGGTGCGAGTCCGATCCGCGGTACATTCCTCTAGACGCACACTTGCTCCTACTTTATGCTCTCGGACTATAATGCTGGCGGCAACGCACGACAGATTATAGCCAGACTCATAAAGCTAGGTAGGCAAGCTTTGCATGCATGCAATGACATTCTGGGACACCTACAGGGCTATTGTCTACCCCTGTCTACACTATGGCCGGAGCTACAAGCTAGGAGTACTAAGTGGTTTGGGCTTAAGGCTATAGAGCTGTTAATGCTACTATTGCTTTGTGCCTAACCCAAGCTGTGTGAGTGGCATTGGCCACACTCATACAGCTGTGAACTCCATGGTGCTCCATGCTCGGAGTGAGAGATGGATTGGAACGATCCGTGCCATGGAAGGTTCCACGTGCATCTCTCAGGCCGGGTAGACAGAGTAGACTCATACAGTTGTGAGGGCTGCTCTGGAGTGGTGAAGTGCTACCAAAATGGCAGTACTCGAGTGGGAGCGGTGAAGAACAGACAGGACTGACTCAACCACACTGGAGTAGAAGTTGCTTCTGGTTACTGGGGGCGGATGCCAGTGGTGACCACGGTTTGGTGCCCAGGGCCATGGGCTGGTTGAAACAGCTTTATCGAGCTGCGATCGGTTGTGGTTTGCTCGTTGCAACAGATCTGATCTGGGGATCACAGTGCTTGTCAGCCGTTGTGAAACTCCATTGCATGCTTGGGGCTTCAGTTGTTGGGCTGTCGCTCGGTACTAGGCAACAGTGTGGTTGCTTGGGACTGGGTGACTGTGTTGTTGGAATTTCCATGCTCGTACTCGAGTCGGTAGTTGGACATGGCCAGTGGTGGATGGACTGCCCGTGCTGGGGCTAGTGGGTGTTCCAGTGCTGGGACTATCTGTACTGGGAAACAGCCTTGCTTGGGCCTACCATGATGGGCGAAAAGGTGCTCGAGCATGTATTGCTGGGGCTGGCTGTACTGGGGCCGATAACAGTTGGACCAGAGGCAGGTGCTTGGGCTCCCTGTACTGGGGTTGTCATAGATTAGACTGACCATCATGGGAATCTCAGTGACGGGATCAGCCAATGTGGGAATTCCGAGCATGCTTGGGGCTTCAGTCGTTGGGTTGTTGACAATGGGCGACAGTGTAGTCAAATGGAATGTCCGTGCTCAGACTGACTGTCAGTCGAGCGACTTGCTGGTGCTTGGGCCCTGAGTTGGAGAACCCGTAGTGCGAAGACTGACCCACCGACCGGTATAGTTGGAGCCAAGAGCGAGGTGCTCTTCCAGTACTGTTCCATTTGTGGAGGTGGTTTGCTCTGGGTTTGCCTGATGCTGGTGCACCCCATAGCGGAGTGCTGTGTGCTCACTTCATTGAACTAGAGTTTGAGACTCTGTACTTGCCAGTGTAACTGATTGGTAGCAGGTCCAGTCTGATTAGCAGGGGGCACAGCATTTGCTCAAGCCTGTAGTGCTGCCCAGGGCCTTCTGTGCCGGGGCCAAGAATGGTTGGGGCAGAAATGCTTGGGCTCCCTGTCCTGGGGCTGTCAGTGATTGCTTAACCTGTGCCTTCGGGTAAGGTCTGCTCCAAGCCAGAGCTGAGTGCTGAAGTTGGTGTGGTGGAGCGTGTCTTTCTCTGCAAGGTATTTCAGACTGATGGGACAGAGGTCGCAGGAAGCCTTAGGGGTTGGCCAAGGGGTCTGCCCTGCCATTGATGCTAGTGCTGGTCATCAAAGTGGATCAGCTCTTGGGCTTTGAATGGATTTGGAACTGGTGGATTCAAAGTGTGGATCATTGAGACACCAGGGGTGGCTGGAGTGTCAAACCAAAATCCTGCCTGTGGAATCAGATGAAGACACGGTAATTGCCAGTGCAATACACGGCTCTTAGCCTTATTCGCGACTCGATCCTAGATAGGGTTTGAGTTCGACTCATGACTGAGTCTCTCGTGAATAGTCATTCGAGACAGGGTTCTCAATGACCGCGCTAGTCATACTAGGTTGATGATGAAACATCGCTCTAGATATTTAGCCAGCGTGGAGTACTTCCACGCTACTAGATCCCGGCTAGACAAACCTTCCACGCGTTCCGTTTTAGGATCGTGGAGAGACGTAGGATTACTACTACAACCTACTCTATCACACTTTATAGTCTCCCGCGGGAAGCCAGATCTACGATCCTTTGATGATGATCTCTCTCGTTGATTAGTTTTCATAGCTTTCTAATCTCTCTCATAACTTTCATTCTCTCAAACTCAAAACACTCAAAAGATCTTTACACTAGCTTTTAGCGTAGTGCATTATGGTGAGTCCGGAACTGGAGTTGTCGGTCAAGTGTTGGGAAAGCCAGGAATATCTCGCGGCGGGCAAACAGTTATCATCGTGGACGTTGACCGAATCAGACCAAGATGCTATGTTCACCGGCACAAACGACATGACTACCCGTTCACCCAAAAGGCACCAAGTGAAGTCCGTATGTGCTACGAACAACTTAAGCCTTTCATGGAAGCCGATGAGAACGTGGAGCCGCAACAAAGGAAGCCCATTCTGTTCTCCGAAAAACCTCACTTCACCTTTGATAATTTCTTCAGCGGGGATAACATCATGGAGTATGCAGCGGAGGAAGGCTTTGGCCTTACCATGACATGCCGGAGGGACCAACTGCCGAAGAAAGTCCCTTCCAAGTACTGGTGTAAAGAGAAGACGGACGGAAGCGCACGTCCACGAGCAGCAAGATACGAGAAGCCAATCTTCGCCATCAAGAAGCACGCTGATTCGCTCCTTCAATTCACCTCGTTTCAGTCGACAAGCTCCTGCAATTTTGCATCTGTTAATGCCATTAACTCGCTCGATCTCTACGTTACGGTCAAAGAGAGAGGCCGCGGCCGCAACAAATACACTTGGTTTATTGAAATGAATGAGGCACGACAGCTCTACTTGAAATCCTACAATGGCGTGGATAAACTGGACCATCTCATTCAGAATTGCAACATGGGGTATCGGTATGCTATTTGTGGCTGGTTGCTTGTTACCTCGCCATTCCACGCTCCTCTCACTCAAATTTTCGAATTCTTCTATTGCTGCAGGAGTTGGAAATACTGGCATTCGCCGATGGTCCATGCTAAAGCAATGGCTGTTGTTATCGCTTATGACGTCTATCTAGAAGCTTGTGAAGGAAAACTGAATGGTGGCCGGAGCGATTGCCGAGTTAACAAGCCAGTTTCCTTTTATCTCTTCCGTGAAAAGCTTGCACGGCAGATGCTTCAATATGCGCCACGCAATTGCCACTACCTTGGGGACGAAAAGATGAGAGATAACACGATAACCAACAAAGCAAAAAGACCGCGACCGAGAACTCCACCACGCGGCAACCGAAGGACTCCGGACGATGAGCTCACAACAACCTCCGGTGTCAGTCTTGATCTAATGACATCACCAGAAGTCAGTCATTCGGATCGGTTGTGTGGATTTATCTCTCCACTGCTCGAGCACTACCAAAAATGCAACACCATGGCCAACAAGAAGAAGCTCAACTGCGTCTTCTGTGGAAAACCAGCATACCAGTACTGCGAATTGTGTGGAAAAGCTATGCACAAACACCAACAGAAGAAAGAAGACACCGTCCCTTGCTTCTTTCATTACCACAATACTGCTTCAATGGGATTGGCTAGAGATGATTGGCGTGTCACCAACAAGAAACTGCGACAATGGCAATACCCATCCGCCGATCAATTTCAAGATAATGAGAGTGAGATGCGGCGTCTTTTGGGTGAGATCGGTAGCCATGGTGTGGGTGTTAACGACAACAACAGTGGTAGCATCGACAGTCAACAACCAACTGGCAACGTTAACAACGGTCAAGAAGCTGGATCCACTCCTTGAGAGAGTGTTCGATTTGAATATTGACACTCCTGGAGAGTGTCACTCCCTAGTAGTGTCAACCACTATCTTTGTCGCCGTAGAAGTCTAGTACATTAATTTATGTAGAACGAACAGTGACACCATGGCCGACCACTGCTGGGTAGTGGATTCATTTTGCCAAGACTAAACGATAGTAACAGCAAATCCAGCTATTACATGTACCGTACGGTTGTAGCAGTTAGCTGCTAGAGCACTACTACATGTAGTTTAAGGGCAGTCGTGAGCCGTGAAAATTTTACATTCCGTTTTCCTATAGTAAAACAGTACACCAGGTCCTCTTCTGGCTGTAAAGTGTTCCACAACTTCTGTTAACTCCAATAAAAGTGGATCAACACCACTGCAATTAACTCCAATGATAGTAGGCTTTATTGTTTGTATCGGTGTTAATAGGTCAAACATAGAAGGCGAGTGTATACTTTAATAAAAGAGGCTGATTTTGGCTCGATTTGCTGTTATTGTCAGGTTCTCATTCCTCCTAAGTGTTAAATCTTGTGAGTGCCGTTTACACCCTTGACACCAATGTGGGTTGTGAGCCAAATCATTTGTACTGAGATCTACCTGAGTTCTACGTGTAAGTCTCAAAACCACCCTTAAACTAGTACTAGCTACTAGAGGATAGCCTCAGTATCAGCTCTTCGTCAATGCCATTGTCACTGCTGTCGTCATGCATTGCCATCGTCGATGTCATCGTCACTGCTGTCGGAAACGGCCATCTTGAAAGGAACGAGTGTCGATAGCCTAGACGATAGACGAACGATAGATGAGGTAAGGAAGAAGGAGTGTCCATAGAGGTGCTTCTATTCTAGCTAGATAGACTGTAGAGGTGCTTATGCAGTACTATATTCGAAATACAGCCCTGAAGAGAATATTCCGCGGAATGGTCAGTCTTAATGCGCAGATCACTCTAGCTAGTCTACATGTATTATTACTTGGTTTGTGTTTTCCTGCACTGGACCGTCCGACGCTTTTGACTCAGGCTTTAAAAACGGGCAGAACTGACTCATAATCCTGGTTCCTCTCATTAAGGAGTTGTTTAAGGGGATGTTCAAGCTTTAAGGGGATGTTTAAGAGGATGTTGAATATTTAAGGGGTTGTTTTTAAGGGGTTGTTTATTTCAGGGGATGTTCATTCGTGATAAGGAGTTGTTATGTGGCGTTTCAATGAAGGCTTAAGGAGTTGTTTCAAGGATATAAGGGGATGTTGTTAAGGGGTTGTTTATTTAAGGGGTTGTTTAAGGGGATGTTGAAGCTTTAAGGGGTTGTTTAAGGGGTTGTTTTAAGGGGTTGTTTAAAAGGTGGTGTCAGTCGTGGCAATTTGAAAATTTTTAAATCCTGAGTGAAAAGTGTCGGACGGTCCTGGACCGTTCGACGGTTTTCGCTCAGGCTTTAAAAACTGCCATGACTGACTCAAATCTGGTTCTGGTTAAGAGGACGTAAGAGGATGTGAAGATTTAGGAGGATGTTTAAGAGGATGTTGAGTATTTAAAAGGATGTTGTTAAGAGGATGTTTATTTAAGAGGATGTTAAGTCGTGATGAGAGGAAGTCCTATGGTGTTTCAATGAAGGCTTAAAAGGATGTTTCGAAGCTTTAAGAGGATGTTGTTAAGAGGATGTTTATTAAAGAGGATGTTGAAGGGGATGTTGAAGATTTAAGAGGATGTTAAGAGGATGTTAAGAGGATGTTTAAGAGGATGTTGTCAGTCGCGGCAAATTTAAGTTTTTTAAAATCCTTACCTGGTATCGAAAACCGTCCTGGTGTGTGGTTGCACGTTTGTTGTGACGCAAAGCAAACATCAGAAGGGTTAGGGATAAAGAAGCTGACAACTGACAACACCCACACAACACTTACGAGCGAAGGCCAATGCCAAGGCTATCGGTACTGGAAAGCTAGACTCCAGCTGTCCTCATTAGACTAGTTGAGAGAGTTGAGCAAGCATTACGGTATTATAGTAGATTGGACGATGCCAGAAAAGGATGCAGCCCCTGGAGAGGAAAAAGACTCGTCGAAAGAAGGAGGGTCGAAGAAACTGAGACAATGGAATTCGCCCTTGTTGTCCGTGGTTCCGTCACGACAACACCAAGAAAAAAAGGAAGTTTCTGCCGTGACGATTCCATTGCCTGGTTGGTATGGGCTATGCTTCTGGAATAATAATGATACGAGAGACTCTGAGGACAATTGTCAAGAAGAAATAAGTGACAAAGAACGGAACAAACGTCGCGAAGCCAAGGCAGGAATCGTCATGAAGAACAACAATGAAACTCAGCCAGGTAATAGCCTTCCCGAGTTTCACCTGTGCATTACGCAGCCACAGGAATCACAAGAGACTATCACTACCAAATCTAAACTAGACATGCTCATGGATCGATCCAACAATGACCTGGCGTCTGGTATTGGCAAACTCTACTACTTGCCGGCTGCAGCATCAATCTCCATTCAAACGGACGCAACTGATGGCACTACTAGCAGCAACAAGGATCAAAGTCATGAGAATCCAAACACAACACAACATCATTCTCTCCAATGGTGTTTGCTCTATCGAAACTGGATCTCGGAATCCATCCCACATCATTCCGATGATAATAATACTCCAGGGGCCACTACAACTTACGATTGTCCCTCTTCGGTCCAGAAACAAATCATTTGTGCCACATGTGCCAAACGATTTGGATCGGTCCGACCGGCATTGAACCATCGCAAACACAAACATCTGCCAACGACAACAAACACCAAATCCACCACCACCAACAATCATAGTAAACCCAAAAAGCATCCACCACAACTTCCACGAACCCAAGTTGATTTGCAACAACCACTCAAAATCATTTACCAAGATGCCTACATGGCGGTCATTGACAAACCACAGGGACTCGCCGTCATGGGAGACAATGCGGGAAAGAGTCTTTTGCGCTCGGATCTGCTCCTGGCACTCTCTTCCGTGGAATCTCCGTGGACGACGTGCGGAAAAACAACGCCGACGACACAACCACAACAAGCCTCAAATCATCAATTCTTGACCAAACCCGTGCCGGTCCATCGTCTCGATGCCGCCACGGGAGGGCTCTTGGTGATTGCCAAATCCAAAGAGGCCGAACGCTCTTTAAAGGCGTGTTTGGCCAATCGGCACTGTCACAAGAAATACCGGGCCGTTGTACGAGGCAAACTCGAGCCCCTGGAAGGGGTCATTGAGGAACCTTTGTCCCAACAAGACGCTCGAACACGGTATAAAGTTGTGCAGCACTACCATCCGACCCTCTGGAGTAGCAGTGGTTGGATAACCGTGGTGGATTTGTTTCCTGAAACGGGACGACGACATCAATTACGCAAGCATATGAAATGGTTGGGGCATTCCATTCTGGGGGATCATCGATATGGGGGAATGATCATTCCTCGAATGGATCATCATCAAGACGCCGAGGAGGAACCAAAGCTTGTGCTGCCATCCGAAACAAGCCAAACGGATCCAGAGACGACGGATGATCAATCATCCGGCATCCAACACCTGATGAGTCGCTTGTGTTTGTGGGCTGTGGAACTGACGTTGCCCCATCCAGTGACGGAAGAGGAGATGCACTTTGCCCTCGATGGGGAACCGGCTTGGTTGCTGGAGGTTGTCCAGAAGGCAGTGAAAAAGTAGAAAGTGAGCCACGTGCAAACCACTATTGGACTGCCTTTCGTGGCATGAGCCTATGAAAAAAAACGACGCGTTTTGTCCACCTTCACCTACTACAACTATCGATAGCCAGCTAGCTAGGCCAATAAACTATTGGACGACCGAGTCGAGTCTTCAAAAGGTAAACGTGAATTTTTATAAATTCGGAAGTCTGTCATCTTTCACACGTAGGTAAATCCATACCGTCCTCTTTGCTCAGCTGGTTGTTAGTTAGTTGTGCACACATCCTCCTCCTCCAACATTACTGTCATTCATCCTCCACTCCAGCGCAACAATAACTATATTACCATGAACCATCCAGAGCATTGATCACTTCACCAACAAAATTAATTAATGGTGACCAAAGGCCTCTTCATCAGGAATGTGCAGCATCTTGAAGAAGAGTCCAACGTGAGGGATGTAGTAGGTGTTGTTGTCGTTCTGGATGGTGAACCAATGGACGGCATGTGATGCTGGTTCCAAGTATCCAACAACACGGCTGGATCGTCGGGAGGGGATGAGAATGGGCGAGGCAAAGGTGCCAGTGCCTTCCGGGGGGACCAAACCCAAATCGTTGTATCCCTCGGCGTTTCGCTCTTCCAATTCGTCCAAATCTTCAATGCTGTCCAAACCAAGCTCGTCCATGTCCTTCTTGACTTCGTCCGTCAAGAAATCGGGCATGGTTCCTGGCTTGGTCCTACGTTCACGATCCGTGGCAATCAAGTTATCGGGCTCGCCAACGCCAAAGATCTTGCCCAATCCAAAGGGCATCTCACCGTCGCCCTTGTCCTTATCGGACGCCATGGTTCGCACCACGACGCGACGGGACGCGCTCTTGCTGGCTCGAGCAGCTCTGTATTACCAAAAGTTAGTAGTAGTAATAAGCAAGGGTATAAACAATAGCATGGATGAGAAAGAAATCATTGTGACAACAGATAATGCCGACTAAAAGTAGTTTAACGAGACAATCCACAGCCTATCCACCATTGCTTTCCTCAACATCGCAACACACTCCCTGACTGGATCTGCCGATGCAACAAGTCTGTACGTAGAAATCCTACCAGCAAACAGCCGATATCTTCCAGAATTTCAGATACCCATCCTATTCATCCAGCGACAAAAGTAGCAGTCCTCATGCTACCTAATATCAACACTAATAATAACAAAGATAAGTACTCACGATCGTGCGATGGAGGACAACATGGTCAACAAACTACTGAATGGAAGTGGACGGACGGCAACACCAACAGGAACAGCCGAGGACCTCAAAATTGGATGACGATGACGCTCGTCGACCGTCGCCCACAATAACAGAGGATTGAATCCAACGAGTCGAACGCGTACTCTTGCGAACTCCAATGCCCACGTGCCCACTTTAAGTCTTTTTGGATGTATACGGTACTCAGGGTTTATTAAACTTTGAATCTATGGGGAGCTCAGCTACAACAACAACTACTAAATGAAGTAGAAAACAAAGGAAGTCATTTCTTGTCACTGATTCCACTATTCACTTGATTATTTCTGTCTGTCCTAAGTTATTGCCTTTGAGGATTGCAAGTGCACAAACCTTGAGCCACAACTTTATATCTTCTTCTACCAACATTTTTTAATGGGATCACCTTGTCTTTCGAACCAATTTTTAAAGACCGGGTCAACTCTGGGTTGGTTCTGGAGGGTGCTCTTCTTCTACTCTGTTACAGTGTGAATCTTCTTCTCCTTCTTTTTTGGAACTGATGCTGCAACAGGATCATCAAGAACTTGTGAAGGAGGATTCTTCTTTTTCTTGGTGAAACCTGCTGCAGAAGTTGATTTGTTCATGGAAACTACTACAGATCCCGATGAATTGGCCAAAAACCCATGAACCACTTTTTAACCCCAGCTTTAAAAAAAACTGCTTGTGTAGAAGCTGTACCAACCTCTACGCCATTTCTTCATGCTTGTTTGCCTTTTAGCTCAAGCCATTCGTGCCTTGTCTTCTACCGTATCGGTACCATGTAGTTGGCAGTTCTTGATATTTGTGTGATCCGGCGAATGTTCTTACTCGTAGGCTTTCTACAGAGTTTCTACAAGAACCAGGAAAAAAACTCAAACAGGGGGTGAAAAAAGTGGTTCGTGGGTTTTTGGCCAGTTCATCGGGGATCTGTAGTATTACTTTCAGAAAAAATACTATTTTCAGGTAAACATACAAACAAATCGATTTGATTCTATACAGTATGAGTAAAAAATAGTTTTTGACAAGTGTGAGTATTATTCTATAGGATCATAGGGGAAGAGAGCCAACATGGAAGGATGAGCCAACCAGTTTCAATTTTCACCAACTCCAATAATTGATAAGCACTTCCACAGCAACACACCTTTCCTTTATTTTCAGTAACATAATAATAATAAAAATGCCGTTCCTTCCTTGTTCATGTACAGCTGCGAGTAGCCCTAACCCCACTGTAGAAAGCAAAATCTTCACCCCCGATCTCGCACAACCGATAGCAACGAAAACCCACAACAGCCATCATGCCTCGCAACAAATCCACTCCCAAGCGACGTCGTATTGACGAGGAAGAGGAAGAGAAACAAGCTTTGGAAGCGTTGAAAAAGGCTCCGACCGAAGTAGTCGAAGAAGCGGCAGCAGAGGCATTTGCCCAGGCGGTCCAGGAATGGCCACCGGTCAAGGAGGATGAGGTACCACCTGAGTGGTTGCAAGGATTGGGTTTTGCCACGACGGTTCCCGAGCAACATTTGGAGGCACTAAAGAGATTGCATAGTACCATTCAAGAAAAAGCCAGTGGGAATTGGTCGTCCTGGTCGGGAGATCCCAAGGATCCCAGACGAAGAGCCTTTGGAATTTTGCCGGATACACTTGGCGCCACGGTTCGAGACCAATTGGATATTTCCACGCCCTGGAAGCAACCTGCAGCCAATGACAAGACTGACGACGAAAGAGCCAAGAATCGACAAGCTACCGTCACGCTTTCCGAAATGGAGGGTGTCAAGGACGCCATTGCATGGCTCTGTCAGACCATGACATCCTCCGTTGTCTATACTTCATTGCAACCGCATTTGACGTATTCTTCTTTGATTGCGGCACAACCCAATCTACACAATGGACGAACTTTGTTGCCGATTCACGTCGATCATCCGTTGAAAGACGGATTTGGAATCATCATTGTCACCATTGCCATGGTAGGTGATGGAACCATATTATTTCAAGACTGCGCGGGCAAACGAATGGCCAAAATGCAACTGGCCCAAGGACAAGCCTACATGATTAGCGGGACGGCACGAGATGCATGTGCTCATGGAGTACTGGCGGACAATCCACAACGAGAATCTCTCAATCTACGATTCGGATTGCACGATTGGAAACGAGACGACAATACGGGCGAAACGATGATTCCGTCCAAGAATGTTCTTCAGTTTTGGGAAGTCAGTCGGGATGGGAATGCAACCGTTGAGCCGAAAGGAAGCAGTGGTGGAGATAAGAAGATAGCGGCAAAGACAGGAGACGAAAAAGAAGTGGGGGCAGAAGGAAATGGCAGAGCGAAGGAAGAAGCACCAGCAAAGAGCTGAAGTACCCTTGTAGGTGTCGCTTTGGCTACTTTGCTTCACACTGGGAGGTGTCACGCCGGTGTACGTGGCCGGGAGATGGGGCGAGGCTGCAACACAAACGGGCTGAATGATTCAATCCAATCGAATCGTCGTCGGATGCTTCTGTCAAGCGTCAACGGCTCATCTGGAGTTGGAAATCCCATTCCTCGAGGGTTGATTGGGTTCATTCTGGGCTTCGTACATGAACAGGTCAGCGGTTTTTCCTCCGACGGGTTGCAAACCTACTTGTACTAAAGGCGACTTCTGGTGTAATCACTTCGGCTAGTCTAACTATTCTTATAGACTAAAATGCTCAAAACGATTGCATTCATGTCAGATGTATAACTATAGATAGTGGATTGGTGCATAGCCACACCACTGCATCGCAGAAATTCACAGTTTTGCCACGCTGCCATCAACTTGTCGTGCAGCTACTAGGGAAGTAAGAATCAGGTAGGTGTACTTCTTGTGCAAAGCATGCCAAGGTCTGCAGTCTGCGTTCGTTTTCAGGTCAACTAAACGCTCTTGTAGCCACAATCCACTTCCATGGCATACCGACCGTTTATTAATAGCTAGAGCCAGCAGCCAGTTCCAAGTTTTGATGCCGCGCCACTCATCAGGATCAAGATGATGGTGGACTCAATGGGACAGTGAGAACTCGAGCCATTCCTAAGCCAGCGAATCCATTAGAGTCTCGAGAAGGGTCACTGATCTTGCTAAAAATGTCCAATTGATGCCCAAGATGACATCACCTGCCCGCGACCTTCTCCTCATTCAAAATCGAAGAAGCTTTTGGATATCGGTGCAAAATACCAATACCTTGGCTATCTATCTCTATCTATTATCCATACCTCTTGCCAGTATCATCCGTTTATCGGTTTCCAAACATACCGTCGTAGAAGATGATGAGACTATCTGTCGTGCTACTGGTCTTCTTTGGCTTGTCAGGAGTTCTTGGTCAGGATGAGATCAAGTGTAACTCCACTGACTGCATCTCCTGTGTATCAGAATTTAACTGTGTGTGGATGGTGGATGGTACCTGTATAGAAGGCTGTGGCAGCTTCCCCAACATTGATTGCTACTATGAGCGAATCTTTAAAACATCCACAGCTGACAATCCAGCAGAAGAAATAATCACTGTGGCTGAAATTTGCGAGGCGTGGGACTACAATATCACGGACAATGAAGCCTGCTTTGAGGAGACCACGGGAGAAGATTGTCTGAAGCAAGCTGGATGTGACTGGAAAATGGGCATCATAGAAAATGCAGAAGATCGCAATTGGTGTGCCCTGGATTTGCACTATGTGCCGGTGCCTCCTCCCTGTGTTGCGACAACCTGCACTGACTGTCTTGAGGATCCCACCTGCGTCTGGATGAAGGGTGATACCTGTGAAACATCATGTGACGGCCGCCCTAATATTGACTGCTATGATCCTCTCACGTTTGGGGCTGGTGCAGATGCCGCTTCCGAAATATGTCAAGTATACAATGAAAGTATGGTGGCCAATGAGGAATGCTTTACCCAAACGACAAAGGATACTTGCTTTGGTCAAAGCGGATGCCAATGGGTAGGGGAGGCACAAGGTTTGGGACATTGCACTCTGGCCATTGAAAAAACAGATCCAGAGGCTGTCAATGATGGATCCAGTGGTGCCTGGTCGTCAACATCATTCTCTTCAGTCTCTTTTGTGGTGGCCTTGTTTCTTTGGAACCTCAGATACTAGCATTGGAGAAGACATGGATGTGAGACAACAAGAATTTGTGCATGAAAAAGAGAGAGTGATTTTTCTGTTTGCTTGAGTAGGACCGAGAACGATCTGAGTGTTCCTGTAGTATCTATTTTGTGATTTGTGGCTAGTGCCTAAACTGTATAAATCTTTTTTTTATCGTTTGCTGTTTGTGTTGTGGTTGCGCTACTGGCACGGAAAGGAGGGTGACAAGAGAATGCACGTTAATAGCTAGTAAGTTGCTGGCTAGTGGACCACTCGTGCTGCTGCCGCTGCCTGATGAGTTTTGGGCTTTTTGAAGGACACAACGAACCACACGTTTACAATGAGTTCATACGACTGCTTACCTAGATATTAACTATGGGAGCTGCTTTGGGTACACAATGATGTTTGCAACGTTGATCACTAATAATTGTTACTTTCGTTCGTCAAATTCTATACTTCCAACAGCTCATGGCTCATTTAATATTCCTCCTCGGCAGCTTCCTCGCCACCAGCATCCGCAGCGACCTCCTCGTAATCCTTCTCCAAAGCGGCAAGATCCTCACGAGCTTCCGAGAACTCTCCTTCCTCCATACCTTCACCGACGTACCAGTGGACAAAGGCACGCTTGGCGTACATGAGATCGAACTTGTGGTCGATACGGGACAAAGCTTCGGCAATGGCCGTGGTGTTGGCAATCATACAAACGGCACGAGAGACGCCAGCCAAATCACCTTCGGGAACCTGCAAGGGTTTCTGGTAGTTGATACCACACTTGAAACCGGTAGGACACCAGTCGACAAACTGAATGGTGCGCTTGGTCTTGATGGCAGCCACAGCGGCATTGACATCCTTGGGGACGACATCTCCACGGTACATCAACAGACAGGCCATGTACTTGCCGTGACGGGGATCGCACTTGGTCATCATGTTCTGAGGTTCAAAGACAGATGAGGTAATCTCGGCAACTGAGAGTGTCTCGTGGAGAGCTTTCTCCGCGCTGATCAATGGTGCGTAGGATGTCAACATAAAGTGAATACGAGGGTAGGGCACCAAGTTGGTCTGGAACTCGTTGACATCCACGTTGAGTGTACCATCGAAACGGAGACTGGCAGTCAACGAAGAAATGACCTGGGCAATGAGCCGATTCAAGTTGGTGTAAGTGGGACGTTCCACTCCAAGGTTTCCACGGCAAACATCGTAGAGAGCCTCGTTGTCCAAACAAAAGGTGCAATCCGTGTGCTCCAACAGAGCGTGGGTAGACAAGACACTGTTGTAGGGCTCCACGACGGCAGTGGAAACCTGAGGGGAGGGAGAAATGGCAAAGCTGAGCTTGGACTTGCGTCCATAGTCAACACTCAAGCGTTCGAGCAAGAGGGATCCAAGTCCCGATCCGGTACCACCTCCAGTGGCGTGGAAGACCAAGAAACCTTGGAGACCAGTACATGCGTCCGCCAACTTGCGGATGCGGTCCAAGACTTGGTCAACAATCTCCTTTCCAATGGTGTAGTGTCCACGGGCATAATTGTTGGCAGCATCCTCCTTTCCAGAAATAATCTGCTCAGGATGGTACAGCTTGCGGTAGGCTCCACTGCGGACTTCGTCGCAAACGGTGGGTTCCAAATCGACGCTGAATTATGCCGATAATAGTGACACGACGGATCAATTAGACAATGACGGATCAATTAGACAATGACGGACAAAAATTCCCATACAAAATCTGATAAAACTCACTAGACGGCACGAGGGACGTGCTTTCCCGAGCTTGTCTCGCTGAAGAAAGTCGAGAAGGAATCATCAATGCCGCCAGAGGCCTTGGCAGCCCCTTCCATGGTTCCATCGGGGCTAATGCCATGCTGCCAATTCAAAAAAAGAAGCATGGCATCAGATCATATTGATATTTGCGTGACTGATTCCAAATCGACTCCCTTGCCCACACTCACCTCCAAGCAGTACAACTCCCAACAGCTGTTACCGGTCTGGATACCGGCCTGTCCGAGATGGATCGAAAGACACTCTGGGTGGACAATTTAAGACACAGGAAAAGTTAATAATAATCTAATCAAATGCATCGATCTCTCCATCGGCTACGCTCTATCTCTGCTCCGCTCTCGCAACCAATCTCATGAACAGCACTTACCACGCATGGTTGAAAGACTAGAAAATCAAAAGGAAGGGTCTCAAAGACGAGAAGAAGGCGCAACAACAGCTCTCACGACAAAAGCAGTTGAGGTTAAAATGAGATCGCGGTGGAAGCCGCCATTGGCATGCACGAAAGATCGCGAGAGCAAAGACAGAGCGAACGGCCGGGTCAGCAGAGGCTGGCGTGCCGCCGTCGTCCGTCATTCAAACGTCCCACGGTTGTGAACGTGGAGCGTGGATTCTGATTCTCTGCTTCTTTGAGGACGCTGCTCGAAACATCATTTATGTTCACATGGACATGGGTGGGTCAAGAATGGGGTAGTTACATGTATCTACAGAAGCCAGCAGGAGCGTTCCTCAATCGTGCATGACTTATATCGAAAACAGACCCTAATTTTGGGTCGGATTTAGGGACGGATTCCCCTTTAGGGTCGGGTTTCGAAACCGACCCTAAAATTAGGGACGGATTCTGAAAAAACGTCCCTAATTATGGGACGGATTTCGATTTAGGGGCGGGTTTGAAAACCGTCCCTAAATGGAAGCGGGACTGAGTGGTAAATACATTGAAATCCGACCCTAAAATAGGGTGGGGTTTCGAAACCAACCCTATAATTAGGGACGGATTCTGAAAAAACGTCCCTAATTTAAGGACGGGTTTCGATTTAGGGGCGGGTTTCAAAACCGACCCTATTGCTACATGGAATTAGGGTCGGGTTTCAAAGATTTAGGGTCGGATTTGGGTCGGATTTAAAACTCACCCACGATTGAGGGACGCTCCAGAGGGCCAGGCTTAGAAAAAGACAAGGCAAAAGTCAGGACTAGCTAGCTTCCATGGGACCAGGGGCGACAAACTGGGTACCAAACAACCACAGGGGGCAGAGGGCTTGAGGAAATCGCATGCATACTGGATCTGTACCATACCAGAATGCTATCAGATAACCCCAGCTCAACTCATTGACGCTATCTTTCAAGATAGTGTTGCTAGTAGCTAGAAATGAACATCTGGAGATCCTGAAATGCGCCCGTGAGAGAGTTGATTCATGGGGATGAGGTACGTGCCAGGGTGGAGCTCGGGATGTCCATTTGGAGATTGCCAAATATGCCCATGAAACAATTGTCCATTGAATGCACATACATGCTCTGATGCAGCTAGCAATGGACATTTGGTTATGTTGAAGATGCACATGAACATGACTGCCCATGGGATGAATACACGTGCAGTTCTGCAGCAGCAAATTGATGGGTTTTGAGATTGCATCAACAAAGATGGAGGAAGACAATGGCACGAGTGGTATGGACTGCGATCGACGTTCCCAGCCCTTCAAAAGCGCTTTCTCGCATCTGTTGGCACTTTCAGCCCCACAGTGTCAACAACAAAGCAGCAGCAGCACAGCAGCTACAGACCATGTTGGAGCTACAGGCACAAGTGAATAAAATTGTCCCCAGAAGAATCCTGCGCGCGGCAAAAGGTTATTTGAATCAACAAAACAATCTCTTTCCTTGGCATGGGACACTACCTCTTTGTGGCACCAGTCAGCCACAACATGAATAAGTCCTATAAGGCACATTGTACCACTGTAGAGAATCCACCAAACGTGGTTCATGATGATGAAGGCAAGGATGAAGATGAATGGTTGTCAATGAATGCTGTCAATGAATGTTGTGTTGTTGGTGGCACTTTCTGAACTATCAGGAGCAACAGGAGGAGTTGTTGGTGGGGCAGCAACGGCAGCAACATGAGGCGCTGTGGTGGGCGGCATTGCAATCGGCGTCGGTCATTTCTGAATTCGCTCGACCTTTGGCACCTTGAAGATGCCAGCCCATGCACGCTCCTGGTTCTCTCAAGACATTGTCATTTTCTCGACCAATGCCGCTTCCATTGGCGCTTCCATTGCCTCCACCTCCGCCGCCTCCAACCATGTCTCGGCCCTTGTTATAGGTGGGGTTCTTGCATACTCCTGGGCAGGTTGTCGGCTTCAAAGTGGAGCATGCAATCAGCTGAGAATTCAGTGACAAAAGATCCGGTTTCCTTTCTTCAATGGCTGCATAGGAGTTCTGAAGGACTTGGATGGATTGCTGTACATGTCTTCTACCAGCTATCACCCGCACCTCCTCCATCAGCGTGACCTCCACCAAAATCATCTACACCGCCACCACCACCGTAGTCTCCGCCACCGCCACCGCCACCACCACTACTGGAGCTCGATGCATTATGGTGGCGTCGTTCCTCTGCGAGAATCACTTCTCGACGCCATTGATAATCTTCCAATAGAGCACCATGGTGGTCACCCTCGGTCCAGCTGTGGACATAATAGGGCTCAATGTAGCTTGGATAACGAGCTTGCAGTCGTTCCAAACGAAAGCGGCGTTCCTCTTCATACGCTCTCAAGTCAAATTGCTCTCCCGTCACAAAGTTGTTTTTGGGGCGTGTTTGCTGTCGGCAGATTGGACAAGTATTGGTCTCCCAGTTGTTGGATTGTTGGAACCACTCGAATATGCAAGTTTCATCAAAGACATGGCCACAAGCCAACATCTTTAAGGGTTTTCCATCGGATCCCACTAGCTCGCCTGAGGGATCCTGCTTCTCTACTTTTCCTGCTTTGAGAGGCGTCGTTTCAGATGCTACTTCCAGTGGAGCACTGACGGCGAGAAAATCCTCCAGACAAACGGGACAAGATGTTGCAATGTAACGGCTGTCCTGAAGCGCTTGCTTTCGATCTTGATCCATTCCACGCAGGGTATGTTCAATATATGTTCTTGCTTCTTCTTTTCGCGGTTCTCCTTTCTCCAATGACAACTTGAAAGACCAATACAGCAGCACTTGGGACCAAAGAAAATGGCAAACATGGCAAAGATGATCCACTTTTCTGAGCTTCCCATACAGTATGCAGACTCGTTGCAATCGACAACTTTTTCCAATTGAGCATATTCTGTTAGTTCCACAATGGCCAATTGGAGGGCAGATCCCACCAAGTGACTTTTTAGTAGAGGCTTCATATCGTCCATCACCTCGTGAAGGACTGCGTCAGTGATGACTTGCTTTAATGCCTTGGCTCGAGAAATGTAGATTTGTCGACTCTCCACAGCCAAATAGATCAATAAGCCTGAGCTGCCACACGCTGTCCGATATCCCACGCCCCATTCGTTGTGAATGTCCGTTGCCATGCTTTCTGAGGTTTGGCCAACTGGGATCCAAGCCTCGACATACACTGCCACTTGCATCTGGATGGGATTTCTTCTCGGCTGCAGTGCTTTGTTAGCAGTTGGCTTTCGTAAATGCAATCAAATTCTGGAGGGAAGCAACTTCTTCAGGAGATAATATGCTGTCTGGGTTGCAGATTCGAGTGGAATTCCCTGCTCGGCATGCTGCATCTCGAGGCTTGGGAAAGCGATAAAAGGCGGAAGTGGTTGGCAGCAGGCAGCCTGCCACCAACGAAACAAGGAGGACGGCAACGAGGGACCGCCCGCTGATTCCTTTCGTCTTCATGATTGCTCACCCACTCTGGATTGTGTTGTGTCTCGGGCGGAACTGTACCGGTACCGCTGGCAACAGAGCCATGAAGGAAGATTGTTTGTCGCTTTGGTGCAATAAGTCAGCGGAAGCTGCGATACCATGGAAGGACGAAACTAAGGAGGATCCATGCATGGGATGAACAAACATTCAGCCACACAGCTTGGAATGGTCATTTTGGATGCCTCAGAAAACTGGCGGCTCTCCCACAGTGCAGAGGCTCTGTAAGGATCGGTTCTGGGGAGCCTTCCAGTCGAATGCTCACTACGAGATCTCTACTAGCTAGTGATCGAAAAGAGGCCCTCAATGGCTTAATCTATCTATCTGATCTTGCTAGTCACCGTTTTGTGAAAGTTGTCTCTTTCTAGTTCCTAGAGCAGAATCAGTAGGCTGCGTTTCGCTGCACCCACCCATCGATTGTTGCAAGGAATGCACAAACGGATGATCCCCTCCAACCGCCCTGGTGGATATTTCAATAGCAGCTGTCCTGTGGACAAGAAGTTCTTTTTGGAATTCGTTTGTGGTTGCATCATCGCTGTGGTCCTGCAGTTTGGATTGCAAGCACTGCGCTGCTAGACCATGTTGGATTGCCAACGCGGACGGATCCATCAGTGCCTCTACTTGTTCGGCAGCCCCAAAGAACTCCCGGTGATGATGTAACTCCTGGTCTTTTTCGTGGTTGTTGTCACCCCGTAACAACGAGTGCGCCACGGCCAGCAGTCGGTGACACTCCAGTGCTACCTCGTGTGAGGCGGGAATCTGTTGGTTCCGAATCCCTCGCTGGGCCATTGTCAATGTGGCCATGCATTGTTCTACCACGTCCATTACTTCATCCTTGTTTTCCATGGACGACGCGAGTGTCAACGTTTGATAACAATCAATCTGCAACTCGCGCAAGGGTAAAAGTGCCGTGACGACATCACTTGCCGTCTTGCCAGTCGCAAAATCACCACCGACGTGTCGTTCGATAGCCTCTTGATTGCTGCACATTGAACAATCACAGACAAAATGATAGGTCTCTTGCAACCGCAGTCGTCGTTCGAGACGACAGAGACCGCTCAAGGGAATGTAGCTCAACGAAACCGGGTCTCCTTTGGCAATAGTATTGATACAAACCACTCGGGCCACTACCGCAGGTGTGTGTTGTTGTTGCTGTTGTTTGGTAGTACTCGTTGGATCCTCACAAACAGAGTGTTGTTGTTGTTTGGATGACGGCAACATACAAGATAAAAAGGCATTGGGAGCACAGGCATGATTGTAGAAACTGTGCGGCAGAAAGAGAGCCATTCCAAGGTTTTGTGCTCCCAATGGTCTCGTGAGATCGGTAATGGCATGACAACATCCTCGGCATTTGTTCCAAATGGAAACGCATTCCTGGGGATTGCAAAATGGTATTTGTTGTTTCTTTTGTTTCCATAGGGCAGTCATGACTTGCAATAGTTGGGCCATGGCGGATACCACGGCGTTGCCTTCATGATTAGCGGGTAGCGGACTGCTGTACAATTGATCCAACAAGTTCCAATCAATGCTTGGTAAAATAGTAGTAGTAGAGTTTTGAGTTGTAGTACCATTATGCCGATCCAATTGACGACGATGTGCCAATCGCATGGTGATGATGTAAATTGGATCAATATGCGGCGAAACGTCTTGCGCTGTCATTACTTGCTCGGACAAGAAGACTTTTCCAAATCCTTCCACGAGACACTGCAGAACGGCGCATTCTCCACTTTGGGCATGCCAGTCCTTCAGGGTTTCACGGCAGTGGTGGCAGGTTGCAAGGACACGACATCCCTGGCAGGTACTACTTTGGGCGACTTGTTGTTGTTGTTGTTGTATCTCAGTGGCACAAAATCCACAATGAGAAGTTCGGTATCCATGATCCAAGGCAATGCTGGCCGAAGGACACTCCAACAAGATTTCTCCCGCCTGAAGAGATCGATTGGCAATGACAAAGGATCCTCGAGCGGTGTCCTTGGCAATGGCTAGGGCATCGGAATCAAGACGAATAGAGGTAGAAGAAGAATCCTTCGCTTTTGGGGCTTGCCCCTTCTCGCTCATCGAGCAAAACAAGACGTTGGAGCCGCTCCTCCCAATCAGAGTTTGCCGATGCAGAAGGATGAGGCTTCCTTGACGGCGCCACTAGCTAGCTAGCTAAATTGAAACCAGAAGCGGATCTGAGAAAGCCGATCTGTTATAACAATTCTGCAGAATCCCAAAATTCTGCAGAATTCAGGGAAAATATCAGTGATAACTAGCTGGGGCCTCCGCAGAATATTTGGAATGGAGTAGAAACCACAGAGACGTCGCTGAACGGGAAGGTTGATTGGTAGCTTGCAGCTCAGCATAATACTTGTAATGGAACTGGGAATGGATCTGAGGGCAAGGAGCTCTGGGAGAACCAACTGCTGGCTCGGGCTAGCTAGCTATCACTGGCTAAGAAAGATGATTTGATTACTACTAGGTAATGCTTGCTAGCTAGGTAGCTAGCCAGCTAGCTACCTAGAGGTGGCCTCAAGAGAGGCCCAGCAAAGCAACTACCACGACTGGTAACCTGTTACCCTCCCAGCCAAAACTGACGACACCGTGACACCACCAAACTTGCAACAAGCCAACTCCGCAGTGTCTGGTTGGCTAGCTAGCTACCATGCACCAGTACCAGTACGGGGAGTTGGGGAATATTAGCATGGTCATTGAAAGAACAGCCTGGATTGGAAAAAAGCCTGGATCGATTCTGCAGAATTAGGAATTTCACAGAATCGGTGCAACAGATCAGCCGTGGCATCAAGCATCGAGACTTTGTGATGCATGGGTGATGGGTGATGAGGTGACGAGTGCCTGGATGGCTGCGTTTGGGTGGAGCCAGTGGAAATCGTCTTATACCGTACCGGTAGTCAGGAGTCATGAGACATGAGACATGAGGCTACCGGTATGACCTAATGCTTTAATTAACAACGGTGCTCTTGGATTGAACGATTTAATAAAAAGAACGACTTCTAGGTTAAGGAGCTCCTTTAAAAGAGAGATTTATTATCGTCTCTTAAATAGACAGTTGGCTTTAAATGAGTCATCTCTTCTAAGTCGTCGCTTCTGTGACAATAATGATTTAAAGGACGATGCACTCGCCAAGTCAATTCCCTCCAAAATATAAGTCAGCGGGAGCTGCGATACCTCGGCAGAAAGACAGATAGAAGCAGGAAGATCATGTTCGAGATTGCATCCATCTTTCAAGCCAGCCCTGGCGACAACACCCGACTCGTCGGGTGTTGTCGCCAGGTATCATTCATTCCCTCATTGCAACCTTCTTTTTATTAAGCTAGCCCTGGCGACAACACCCGACTACGTCGTGTGTTGCCGCCCGCTACTCTATAATTTACCAGGTGCCATTCCCTTATTGTAACTCTAACCTTTACAGCTCCTGCTGGCTTATTGTGTTGTTGTGATGATTGCACCAACCTTAAATATTAATGATTTATTCCTACCCCTAACTTGTATTCAACCATCAATGTTCAGTTTTGTTGGCTTATGACTATCTCTATCCTTATACTTTGGCTTCACCGGAATAGGAAATAGGAAATAGGAAATTCGGCTTTTTTCAGCGTTCATCTCCTGTTTCCTCAGTTTGCTGTTTCCTCAGTTTGCTCGCTACTTGGATCCATATGATGAATACATGCAATCCAGCCATTGTAGCCAGCTACGGTACCATAGGCAGAGAGTTACATCGATCCGTGACGGTGGCAACAGTACCGAACACACGCAGGTTCCGCTTTACTGGCTACACTCCGTTACCGGTACCTTGCATTGGATCCTTATGACGAATACATGCACAACCAAACATTGTCAATCCAGCCATCGTAGCCAGCTACCGTAGAGTATATCGATCAGTGACAGTGGCAACAGTACGAACACACTCAGGTTCGACTTTGCTCGCTGCACTCGGTTACCTCGCATTGGATCCTTATGACGAATACATGCACAAAACCGAATATTGTCAATCCAGCATTGTAGCCGCCTGTACCGTACAGTTACATCGGCGACAGTGTCAACATACCAACACACTCAGGTTCCGCTTTCTGGCTACACTCCGTTGCCGTACTTTCATTGGATCTTATGACGATACATGCACAACCGAATATTGTCAATCCAGCCATTGTAGCCATTACCGTAGAGTTACATCAATCGGTGACAGTGCAGCAGTACCGAACACACTCAGGTTCCACTTTACTGCTACACTCGTTACCGGTACCTTGCATTGGATCCTTATGACGAATACATGCACAACCGAACATTGTCAATTCAGCCATCGTAGCCAGCTATCGTAGAGTTCATCGATCGGTGACAGTGGCAACAGTACCGAACACACTCAGGTTCCGCTTTGCTCGCTGCACTCGGTACCTCGCATTGGATCCTTTGACGAATACATGCACAAAACCGAATATTGTTAATCCAACCATTGTAGCGGCTACCGTACAGTTACATCGGCGACAGTGTCAACAGTACCGAACACACTCAGGTTCCGCTTTGTTGGCTACACCCGTTGCCGGTACTTTGCATCCTTATGACGAATACATGCACAACCGATATTGTCAATCCAGCCATTGTAGCCAGTTACCGTCGAGTTACATTGATCCGTGACGGTGGCAACAGTACCGAACACAACTCAGGTTCCACTTTACTGGCTACACTCCGTTACCGGTACCTTGCATTGGATCCTTATGACGAATAACATGCACAACCGAACATTGTCAATCAGCCATCGTAGCCAGCTATCGCAGAGTTAATCGATCGGTGACAGTGGCAACAGTACCGAACACACTCAGATTCCGCTTTGCTCGCTGCACTCGGTTACCTCGCATTGGATCCTTATGACGAATACATGCACAAAACCGAATATTGTTAATCCAACCATTGTAGCCGGCTGCCGTATAGTTATATCGGCGACAGTGGCAACAGTACCGAGCACACTCAGGTTCGGCTTTGCTTGCTACACTCTAGTACAAGTACCCCGTATCGTACGAAAGAAGCAAGTCGTTCGCCCGAGGACTTGTGCATACAGGAAAGTGGGTACCGACATATGAATCACCACCAAAACACTAGGAAATAACACTGGAGGGATGAATCCAATAGTAGGATCCACTCTCTTGTGTATTGTTGGCTCGCTCATGTTCCCTTTTCAATGACTCGACGACGATCTCCGATCATGCTGTTGGTAGGGCTGGAGTTAACGGAGCCTCCTCCATATCATAGTAGCAATCGATCGATAGCAGCCTATTCCTCTTGTTATCCAGAGCGATTGATCGTCGGCAATGGTATTTCCTCGGCCGTCAGCAGTACAGCAGAGAAAACAACAAATAGATATGAGTTTTGTTTTCTGTGCTCAACTGCAGACGACCGGAGACTTACCATTGTTTTTCAAATTGCACGAAAGGACTCGACAATGGGATTTCCTCGGCCGTCGGCAGTAAGAGAAGAGAAAGTAAGAAATAGATATGGTTTTCTCTTCTCTTCTGACACTGAAGAAAACCGGCGACTTACCCTTGTTCTCCAACTTGGCCAGCATGGGCCGAGAACTGACTGCCATCCCATGGTCCATAGGATTCAATGAGGGATGGCTTTCGAATCTGCACCAGAGACAACCGGCTTGAGTGAGGCTTGGATAACAGAGGTGCGACCACCTGTTGACGGCCGAGCTCGGAATTCTCTCCTGAATACCATAGAAATCCAATGAGGGAGAGAAGTCAGCGCTGTACCTTCAATTAACACTCTTGATAATAGGCTTACCTCGAATCGATTCGATCGATCGGCCGATTGGATAAAGCACTCACCATGCATTGTTGTCGGCCAAGCTTGGATTTACCTCCTGTTTACCATACGCATTCAATGAGGGAGAGAAGTCAGTGCTGCGCCTTCAATAATGGACTTTCGCTCGACTGAGGGACCATCGGTGCGATCGTTAAAAAACGTTACATATAGGTTTGGTACTTAGAGATACACATGACTGTTGATTCTGCAACTGAAGTGCGGCTACTCTAATTTACACAGTAAACGCCGGCAAATCGATTCCAGAGTGCAACTGAGGGGGTAACCAAAAGGTGCGTCGTCTCATTGAGACGTAATAGGAAATAGCATTAAAGGATTAAGGTGGACGCCCAATCGTAAATAAGCCAGCTCAAAGCTGTAATGACATAGGTGCGTAGACAGGTAATTATCGCGATAGAATCGCGAAAGAACAACAAACAACAAAGAATCGAAAGCTGCTACTAAAGGTGTGTTGTAATCCATGAACGATACCACTAGCTGACTTCTGTCTATACAGGACGTGTCTCTAATAGTAGTAGCGAGGGGCTAGCGATGGGTAGAAGTGGATGTCTGAACCGCCTGTTATGTTTCTTCCTTGTCGCAGAAGGCGTGACAATTCTTCGATTCGGCTGCTTCCAGCCGATAAATCTCGATGACTGCTTCCGGTATGGCCCCACAACCATACAGTACTGTCTTCCTTACACTATTAGCAGCAGCTAAATATATGCTTGTAGGGCCATACAGTCAGCAGACATCGAGAGAATGAGCTCCCTAACCCACACAGTCGAGTGATGGCAAATTTTCGATGTTGTTTCGTCGGTGGAATCTTTCTTTTCTGAATTGATGGAAGCTTTCCTTTTGAAATTCCGGTTCGAATCCGGTGAGTGTGATCGATCCGTGTTCCTTGTACTGTTTTACTATAAAAGCAATTCGGCGAGCCGGAACGGCTGACCAAAATGTGAGGCCAATTTTTGAATAATTCTGGACCCCAAACCGTTGGTTGTTGACAATACCTTCAAATCGTTTGGTACAGGGAAACTTCGTGGCTTCGTGGCATCAAGTCTACAGGTACGGTACGAACGTCGAAGTCGTCAACTCTGATTTGACGTGCACTATAATGTTAGTTGCTAGCTAGCTAGCTAGCTAGACATAGAAGGTAGCCTTCTAGATCTTGTTGGGACTATCCTCATCATCAGAGCTGTCGAGGTCTTCCTCATCTGATGTGTCATCATCTACTGTCAATGCAGCAAGATGCTCTGTTCCAGGCACAACTGTGTCTAATGGCAACTCCTCTAAGAAGGACAAATCCTGGGCTCCATCTTCTTCCAAAGCTAGCACATCTTGGGCTGCAGCATCCTGCCCATCAGTTTCCTGGTTGATTGTAGGAATAGCAGCTGCAGCACTAGTTGGCCCTTGTGGAGATGCCTCTGCCACAATGTCAGCTAGCTTCCTGCCAGTCTCCTTGCAGTAGATTGGTGGTGCTTCAATATTACTCTTGCCAATATGAAGACAGGCCTTCGCCCTTTTGGTGACATGACCAGCCTTGCCGCAGAAAGGACAATACTGCTTTGCCTTCTTTGCTTTCTTACGAACTGGAGGCATCGTCCTGAGATCCTCCATTGTGACGTCCGCCATGTTGAGGCCCGAGTGGTAAACGCCCGATGATTTTGCAAACTTGGTCTTGAATTCTTCCGTTGCGTTGACCAGTTTCTCGTTTTTCCTCTTCTTGCGCCCCTTTTTGTAGTCAGTCGTCTTCTTCCTGGCTTGTCGCTTCTCCCGGTTTCTCTGCACAATGCCCAAGTAGTGAGTCAATTCATCGGTCATTTCGATTCCGAGCTTGAACAGTAGCCGCCGATAGAATTGCTCGTAGCCAATCGAATGGATGCAGACCGCAATACCGAGACGATTGCCAAGGGAACAAGAGCTTGCAAAAACTTTGTTCTTCGGAGCAAACCAGGTCGCCAAGCTATTGAACGATTCGTTGGCATTCGTATCCAAACCGTGGGCCAATTCCTTCAACCGCTGCAATGTAATGTATTTCGAAACGATTGCGTCCAGTAGCTGGTAGAGTTCCGAATCCTCCTCCTGCATTCTGTAGACCTTCCTGCTTTTCTTTTGCTCATCCTCCGTCTCTTTCGACCGAGCACACCACGCTCCACAGTTCGTATGGCTGTCAAAGTGGTGATCCAACACCGCCTTGCCACGGCTTTCGAATTCAGCTTCCTCGATCTCTTGGAGCGTACGAATAAAATAGGCAAAGTTCTTGCCAATACGGATAGAATCCATACGGCACATCCCCTTCTTCTTTTCGACTGTCGACAGATCCAAACGGATCAGCTCTCCCGTCAACTGTTTGCGGCGGTGATTCGGATCCGCCACAAACTTTGGCTCTGGGATATCACCCGGTAATTTGCCTTTGTCGGGCCGTTCCTGGAGCTCGCCCTTGTTCTTCCCTTTCGTAATCTTGACCATGGGAAGAATGTCGGTCTGATAGTTGATTTTGTAGTTAGCGTTGCTCCATTGCAAGTCAGCTCGGATGGATGAGTCGTCATCGCAGCACAATCGACGCAAGATCACTTTCGACTCTCGGAAAAATCCAACGACAAGCTCCAAAGCAAGAGCGGCCTCCATTGACCCAGACGAGTCATTGGGATTGTGGTTCCGGGTGCAAGTGTGGTCCGGAACTGGTGGACGATTGTCAGCATCGGTATCGGCATGCCGTTTTGCCCAAGCAATGCATCGGCTGCAAACCTTGCTCTTGATGCCAAACGAAATGATCTTTCTCGTAATTGCACCAACAATCACACCGTGGCCTGACACAGAATTACGCAAGTGACCGGATCCCTTCTGTTGCCACGCCATATCGTAGGCCCCGTCGACAAACGGCATTTTCTCCTTGAGTAACGTGCCGTTGGGATCGTTCACCGCTGCCATCCAATCTAGAAAAGCTTGCTCGTTGGCTGTCGATTTCCGCACCTCCTCAACTAGATTTTCATGGATGACTTCCTCCATCAACTCCCGAATGGATGGTGCGATTCGTTCTTCAATGATTCCGAATGAACGCGTTTGCATGGTTGTGTCGTTCGGTAAGCCCAAAAGACCGAGGATTCTGGCACATTCGGTTCCACCGCCACCATTCGCCATTGTGCCCAACACTAACATCACATTCACGGCATGATCCGTACTCCTTTCAACTTTGTCGTAGCCAGTGGCATTTGCATGCATTGTTGTTTGGGTTGGCTTCTTGCTCGTATAAACGTAGTCGCAATCATCATTGTTACATTCCAGTTTGAATGACGAAGCAATACAGCAATTGCGGATGTTGAATTGGAGCGAGCCATTACAGCCGTCTGTTGGACACGGCATTTGACGGAAACAATCGTCCAATTGGTCTATTTCAAAAATGGCTCTTTTATGCGGTTTGGTGTTGAATGTGGGCCCATTGTTTGGCTCCTCATTTTCCTCTTCGGTGGTGGCATCTTCGACGGCTACATCCTCTTCCTCAACAAACTCCGGTGCTGTTGGCTCGTCATCGTCAGAAGGTACCAAAACCTCCTCATCATACGTAAGCCTCGTAAGATTGGGTCTTCCTTTGCCATTATTCCTTGTGCGGGAGGTAACAGTTTCAGAGCCACTTCCACGAATGCTCCACCCGCCTTCCTTGGAAGCTAACTTTGCTGTCTCAGCAGCAGGAGTAACCCTCCAGTACTTGCAGGTGTTGGCAGTGTTTGGAGTCTCCATTATCTCTTGTTGTTGAGCAGCGTCGTGGTGTACAAGCACGCACAGGTCCCGAGGTGCTCTATGTTTGTCGGCGTTGCGATCAATGACATATGCACGGGTAAAGAATTATTCCAACATATCGAAATTTGGCGCTAACACAATAGGTCGACTGGCTCTCACATGAAAAAAAGATTTAGAGACGAAGCTAGAATAGGTGCGCGAATCCACCTTGAAGCGAGATTTTGGCTCGAAGACTTATCCGGTGAGATTACGAACAATCGAAATTCCAAATTCCGTACAATTGCAAGAGATAAGCACGAAATCCATCTGTTTACGGTCCTAATACCATTACAGCCTTTTACTGGCTTACTACGTGTGGGCGTCCACCTTAAAGGGGTTGAGAACTCAGGCAGTTTACCTGCCGAGGTAATAAATAGTTCCTCTTTTCTTTTCTCTCTCTCTTCCTCTCTTCCACTCTTGTTGACGATTGGAGCTCTCATTCATCAACCTGCATCAAAACATCAACACGTTCCTGTGCTGTCATCACCTGTATAAGACACGGTACCACTCTCCTTTGTGCATTGGAGAAAGAAGGTATCCAGTTTGTAACGGAAGTACTAGTTTGGTTGGTTGTCTGCACTCCTGAAAAAGATGGGAGAGTCGAGTGGACAAGATCAGGCCATCTCGCCGATGGAGGAGTCTTCAAGTGAAATTGCAGATGGCAACAGCAACAAAAGTCAGGCCGCCAATTCTTGTCTACCTCTCCATCTGGACGACAATCAGCTCTACGGGAGAGACGAAGAAATGGGACTCTTGTATCACGCCTACGAGAATAGTTGTCTGCGAGATGAACCCGCCGAGGAAGATGATTTGCTATTCGCACAGCTGCAAGACTCGAGCCGCCAGAGCCACACAAGCAGTACCAGTTGCCACACGTACAATAGCAACAGGAGACGACCACGACGACGCAAACGACGCAGTAGCATGGTCATCATCACGGGGCCCAGTGGACTTGGCAAGACGGCACTGGCACGGACATTACAGCCCAAAGTGGAGGACGACAATGGTTGGTTTCTGTATGGGAAATGCAATCAAATTCCGTCCAGTCGCCATGCCATGGCCGTGCGTCCCTATGCTCCCTTTGCCGAAGCCTTTTCGCAGTTTGTCGATGAGTTGCTGCTCCACAACAAAGACAACACTGATAGCAAGGACACATTGGATCGATTACAACGCGCCGTGTTTTGCGCGTGTCAAGATACCAGTGTCAGTGTCTTGACCGATACCATTCCCGCCCTGCAAAAGGTCGTCCCCACGAATACTGATGCTTCCTCGGGCCTGTTAAAATCCAGCAGTGCCATTACCGTGGGAGGCACTCGCACCGGAGTGGATATTCCCAGCAATGTCGTCTTTTGCAAATTCCTGCAGGCGTTTTGCTCCCGTCAAACACCATTGGTGCTATTTGTGGACGATCTGCAGTGGCTCGATGCCAGTTCACTGAGCCTCTTTCAGGCCGTCGTGCTGGCACAGGGTGACATTGCCGGTTTGCTCGTGGTGGGCACGTGTCGCGGCAATGAAGTGAGCTTTCAAGCTCCATTGGCGGAAACACTCCGCACGTTGGAAGATCAACACGGGGTGGCCGTGTTGGATATTGCGGTACATCCCTTGACACCTCCTGCCATTCAGGATTGGATTGTGGGTCTGTTGGGATGTGTAGTACCCGGTCTGGTGGACCTTGTGATGCGTCATACAGGTGGCATTCCCTTCTTTGCACTTCAATTTCTACGGAATCTTTATGAAACACGACAATTGCGGTATGATGGACAACAGTGGGTCTGTGATGCTGTTTTACCAGACGATGTTCTGGAGGAATCGCAGTCCGACGACGATGAGTTGGATGATGACGAAGAAGAAAAAACGACCAAGGTGGAAACCAACCGCACGGAGGAAGCCAACCGCACGGTGGAATACACCAAGTTTTGTTCCTCCACGATTTCCCACATGATCCAGCAGCACAACAACCTGGCACTCCAGCATGTACTCATGGTTGCAGCTTGCCTCGGGACAGAATTCTCATTGGCCCAAATCGCAGCTGCTTCGGGAATTGTGACTGACCTGGACCCAGCCCTGCAACTTCTCGTGCAAAAGGGCATGCTTCTTCGACGCAAGGAACCGTCGCTGTTGCAGCATTGGGGCAAGCAGGGACCCAAAATATCATTTCGGTGGTCCCACGATCGATTCCAAACGGTCGCCTTTGAAATGATACCCGAATCGACCCGGGAAGAGTTTCATGTCGCCATTGGTCTCAATCTACTGCGACGACTCTCGCCTTTGGAACTGCAGCAGCAACCCTTTGTCGCCATGCACCAATTCTGTTGGTGTAATACATCTTCCAGTATTCCGTTTCAATCGGACCAAGAACGGACCCAGTTGGCGACCTTGTGTCTGGCTGCCGGACAACAGGCGGCACTCTCGTCGGCATTTGAAGCGGCAGCAACCTACCTACAGCTGGGCCTAGATGTGATTGGATCCTCTTCGGCCTTTGCGGCTCACTATGACTTGACGTTGAGCTTATTCAATGCTGCTGCGGAAATGGAAGGTTGCCTGGGGAACTTTGATAAGGTCGATCAGTTGGTTGCTGCCGTGTGGGAACATGCCACGTCGTTTCGGGACACTCTGCAGGCGTACGAAACGCAAATCTATTCGTTGGGAGCAAGAGAGGAATTGGTACGTCTAGATTCTACTCGATTACTCATCCTCGCGATTCTTTGTGGGATCTCACTTGCAGCGCGTTGTGATCTTGATAAAGGATCGTGCGATCCAATTGGGGCTACAATGTCTTCAGAAGCTGGGAATCGTGCTCCCCCGAAGACCGAGGCTCTTCTCTGTCATTTACGCAGTACTCAAAACCAAGCGACAACTTGCCAAAAAGAGCGCAGACGACATCATGTCATTGTATCCACTGCAAGACTGGAAAAACGCTGCAGCGTTACGTATAATGCATCTGATGATTTCTCATGCCAACAGGGTCGAAGAGAATCTATCTGTTTTGCTGGCTACACGCGGAATTCAAATCACGTTGAAGCATGGTCTCTCCGAAATGGCTTGTTTCGGATTCTACTCCTTTGGGCTGGTCTTGGTGGCTTCGCTGGGGGCGGTGGATGAGGGTATCCGAGTCGCGGAGATGGCTTCTGCCATCCAAGAAAAAAGCGACTCCCAGGCGATGAAATGCAGGGCACAGTTGGTGCTTTATGGATACACCAAATGCTGGACGCTTCCCATAACAGACACCATCCAACCCTTGCAAGACGCAGCACGTTACGGTACGTTTTCGATCCATTGCGTCTTCGGAAGGAGCTTTGGATTCTGATATTCTTTGGTCCATCATGTTCTCTCAGGGGCTCTGTCTGGTGACACGGAAATGAGCTGCCTTAGTCTTTACTGCGCAAGCTGCGCCTCGTTCCTATCTGCAGCTGCTACGTTGGACGAAACCGAGGAGGAGCTCGCTGATTTGAACGATCATTTCTCCCAGAGGCACCAAGACCTAATGCTCTTCTATTTGCGGATCTCGCAGCAAACCGTTCAGAATCTTCGCGGCTCTTCAAACTGCAGGGTTGTTCTGTCCGGAGACTTTTTCGACGAAGAAAAGGAGCTTCAACATGCAAAAGACGTTGGCAATGTCCCAGGAATTACATTGGTCTACTTATTCCAGTGTTATCTGGCTGTCTACTTTAACGACTCCCTTTTGGCAAAACGGGCGTCCAAAATCCTCTTGAAGAGGACCCTCATGGGTTTCAATCTACCATTATGGTACCAGGTACACTTCGTAGGAGGTCTCGCTGAAGTTGACGGTGCCAAGATGAGCGGAAAACGAGTGAGACAGGCGGGAAAAGCGTCCTTGAAAAGCTTGATGCAGTTGGCCCGTCACCAACCTGACAACGTGATGAACAAGGTGTACCTCATCGAAGCGGAAAGGCTGGCGACAATGGGTCAACGAAACAAGGCCCTGGAAAAGTACCGGCTTTCGATTGAGCATGCCAAGAAAAACAATTTCGTACACGAGGAAGCATTGGCGTCCGAACGGGCAGGGCTGTCGCTGATTGGTTGGGGGGAGACAACGAACGGAGCTGCGTTCCTAGAAAGGGCTCGTTGGTTGTACGAAAAGTGGGGATGTACGGGAAAAGTCTGCGACCTCTCCTCCCAAGAAAAAGCACCGGCCAATTATTAAGCCATCGCCATAAGAGTCTGGGTATAGATGATTGCGCCCCCGCCTCACATTGTATATTCTATTCGTTCGTCTTCACCCAATGAGCATGCGTTGGGAGCGATCGTCCATGCTCAGCTCGGCGACCACGATCATTGGTTGTTCGACCCCTTCGTCGAAGTGCGGCCTCGTTGACTGCCTGGTTTCGTTGGATGATTTGCTCGAACCCGGTCCTGTGTGGTATGGCCAGTCGCTGGCTGGAAAGATGCCATGGCAGCTACCAGTTAGCTCAGAACTCACGGACGGTGACAACGGCCACTGATACAAGTAGCAACTCGCACGCTGTCATCGTTTGGCGTCTCGATCTACCTAGTAGTCTCGACTGTCTCGAGCAACACGAGGCCATGCTCTCGACTCCCTACAAAGTTTCCCGAGTTGCAAGCAACCGATGTCTGGGATTGCTTTCAGCTCGACTCGACCAACGAATTTGGAAGACTGCTGGCAGGCCAAGCTTCAACCCAGTTTTATCTCATGGCCGAAGATGCAGATTAGTTTCGTGCATAGAGACGGGAGAATACGATGTGAAGCTCCTTGAAGCTTGCTGTCTTCTGCTGTGTTAGCTGGGTGAATCGAATCGTAAGGAAGAAGGAAGCATGCAAGCAATGCATGTAGCGCGTTGCTCTGCTTGCTACCGGTACCGTAGAGTGGCAGCCAGAGTCGCCATCATTCGGACTGGGTCATAGCACATGTAGTGCCCCCCCGGCACCCGGGTATGGCACCTAGCAAATAAAGAGCCTTGGGCAAGTTGGCTTCTAAAAGGTCGGCAACAACAGCATCAAGGTTGCACTTAGAATAGTGATATCATCGTATCATGCTGGGTGCTTTTGGTAGAATTGCAGTGCCGTAATGCTGTTGTCGCCACCAAAAATTAATCAAGTCGGGACTGTGAAGTCTGTGAAGTGTGAAGGGACGACGGGAGATGATGTGGCATGGCAGCTTGTGGCTCACCTGGAATCTGGAATGGAATCCAATCGCATCCATCCAGTCAATAATTAAGTGCGCAGTTTCATGGTCAGAAGGTGTGTCGCCAAGCTTGGCCACTGATCCACTGTTGACTGGCGACCCTGTAGCGTCCGTCTTTTGGCAATCCTACATGACCACGCCAGATTTATTTGACCCACTTCGGAAGTTCTTACTTAAATAGTGGGATCACGCGGAATCACCATCCTAAGTCTCGACATCAGAAATCCTGGGAAAGTTAATTATTCAAGCGTAGATCAAAGTGGCAGTGCTCTAGTCCAGAAAACAGGTTAGCCTGTTTCAACTTAAGCCTTCCTTTTGATGCTACATATTTAAATATATATCATTCCTGTTTTCCCAAAGTAAGTGAGTCTACAGCAACGACCACGCATCAAAGCCCGCTTCCCGCTTCCCCCAAGCTCTAAGGGCATAAAGAATTCTACTTGATCCCGTCTTTAATGTTCTTACCGCTGGAACTTTTTACCGTCATTTGGACAACCAAGAGGGAATTCTGGGATTGATTCTGCATGTCGAACAGCTGCGAACAAAACAGGGGTCGCACAAAATCCTTGAGCCAGAGATCCTCACAATCAGTTTTTCTGCCTTTCCAAAACCACAATTCGATCCCAGCAACAATGATGAGATCTTCACGCCTTCTTCCTCTTCATTTCAACACTCGAGGTGCCGACTACCTGACGATGGGAGACCTTGAAATGGCCCAGCACCACTTTCTCAGTGGTCTTGAAGCAAGCTACCTGAAGCCTTCAGCAAAGTTGGAAGAGGGCAAGGTGGAACCAAAGAAATCTTCCTCGGGCAAGAAGTCCATGAGAAAGTCCAGCAGCTTTGAAGAGCGCGAATTTTATGTGCACGAAAAGCCCTTTGTATTGAAGTCCAAACCAACCGCCGCCAAGAAGGCTGATGTCGTCAAACCGCAACGGGCAGCCATCCTCTTCAATCTGGGGGTAACATATCACAAGAGGAGCGCCGATCTAGTGGGCCGTGAAAGCAAAGAATCACTCAAGACGGCCATGGGGTATTATGACCAATGCTTGAAGATGCTGGAACGAGAAAGACTTCTCACAGTTATTCCAGAGCTGTGTTTCCTGGCTCTGAACAACAAGGCCAGCATCTACTTTGAGGTTGGGGCATCCAAGCAGGGTTACAAGACCGTCCAGCTGCTTTGCTGCATGATGAAGCGCAAAGAGCTCAATCAAAGAATACGCATCTCAAAAGACACCATGCACAACATCCTGTTTAATGTGCAATATGGGCCACCAGCACTGGCAGCAGCAGCATAACCAGCCAGCCAGCCAAGTACATACACACATCCTCCTGCTGGTCAAAATGAACATACATTAGCTAGCTAATAAGCTTTACAATTTTCCAACCTCCGCTTAAAAAGCCACATCATCCCATACGTTACGTAGGTAGCACTTCAAATTTGAATCTTCAATTGCATTCAGATTTAATATCATACGGATGTAGCAGTGATCCAGCATTTTGTGTGTGTAAAGATTGACCCCTTTGGGCTAACGAAACTAGACTTTCTAGCATGAGTGAGTTTCTCAAAGCTAAACCTCCACGAAAAGAAAATTATACCGTCCCATCAATGAGAGTCGGACGCTATGAAAGTATCATCGTGAGTCCGGCGATAAGAGCCACAGAGCTCACAAGTGCACACAGCATTGGAACTGCCCCCGTGCTTAGAACATTGCTTTCGTCGCAGCCTCCATCTCCCACGGCGCTTACGCTTACGACGTATTGCGCCAAAAAAAGACCCCCCGGACTTGCAAAGCTCGCGTGTTGAGTGTCTTCCCATCCACAGTGATTATACACTTCCATCAAGTCCGCGACGGGCCATCACAAGAATTCTTGCATTGATCAAAGCATTCATTACCATCAACCCAGACCTGGGATCCCGTCACCTGTGTCCGGTTTCCGAGCAGGTACCACCGACGGAACCGCAGCTCTTGACTTCCACCGGAGCCGATGACCCCCTAAGTCGCACTCCAGTATCTGCATGACATTGCTTGAGAAAGATTGGGTCAGCTACGACAAGGTAGCTTTGCTTGGAAACATAAGAGTCTAGGCGTCCTGATTTTCACACACAAATGTTGGGACCGAGAAGAAGCAAGACTGAGCTGTTGGAGATCCAGCGAAGCAGCACGAAAACAGCAGATGGCTGAACGAATGTCATTGTTGCTAAGGATAGACTTGACAAGACAAAGTTTGGTTGATGGATGCGGACTCAGGAAAATTATGGAGCCGCGATTCGCAGACTATATGATCTGATCGCGTACGGTTGGAGTGGTCATATTGCGCTTTGGGTCGGTATGGATGCATTGCGTCGAGCCTTTGCGCATGATCCTAAACTGCATGGGGTGTGTGAACTCTAGGGTACTAGTACCTGGTATTGTGGCTGCCATTGCCTCCTCCGGCTCCAATTCGTGTGGTTGGGGGGGTCAACGGGGGTGACTTTTGCAATGTAGACACATTTTTATACTAGCTAGCAGAAAGAAAAGTTTTCATCAATCATAAAGAGTGGAACATGTAAAGCATGATACTAACTAAGGCACAGTTCATTTTGTTGGACGCATCATCTCTTCCAAGCATCCTTCAACACTTCACTATACACATGGCCAAGGAACCAATGGACAAGGGGAATCCAATTGAAATCAGCAAAAGAGCAAAAGGGTTATGGTTTCAACTTGTAGAATACTTTTAAAAAATGGGAACCTAATAAGAGCATTCAATAGCCTGACTACCCAAATCACAAACCATTTGACGTCAGTTCAGAAACTGTTAAATAAGAAGCTTGATCAGATCTGCCCGAGAGTCTGCCAACCCAAAATGCGATTTTATTTGGATACTCAACGGATACCGGTTGACTGACAGACGATTGTATGTGATTTGCGAAACGCTCCACGGCCACCCAAACGGCTCGGATTTGGGTGCCGATCGAGCGTTACACCAAACCCATGCATATTTTCCCTTAAGTAAAAGGGTTAAAGTTATCCAACTGTCACGAAAATGTCACACGCATGACTCAGTGTGTCACATAGTCGAATTTTTGCAAGCAAGCATAGCCTGGCAGCGAGGATGTCAAGCTTTCGCAAAATACGCACGAATCAATGGATGAGTTATGGGGTACCCTGGTATTGCATGGTCTAAAGGAAAATAATTTGAAAGAAGTAGACTTTGACCCAAAGGGCTAATTTTAAAATGGTTGTTGCAGCTACTAGATAGCTAGCTACTAGTATCTGGGGGGCTAATACATGATCTTCTTATAAAAAGATTAACAATTCATGGGCCTCACACTGCCTTCCAAATTGCAAAACAATAATATTATTGAAGTCATACGTTGACTTTGACTCTAGCACAGAGCAGCTGCCCGAGCAAACACGCCACTACATCGGTCGACAATCCAACATCACAATCGAGTCTTTACTTACCTTGCGGGATGGCATCGCAGCTTCTAGGGAACGTGCCTTTACCTCACAAAGTCGCACAGAGAAAACAAAGAGACCAGATGAAGAAATCACAGCGCCAAGTGCCGTCCTCGAGGTTCGGTGCGGCTTTCGGTGCTGGTGACGGTGGGAGAAATATGGCGCTCAAAGATATTGGTTTTGTGATTCTGTCGGTGGTGTTCCTTTCCTTTTCCGTCTATCTCCGATATACAAATCACAAGAGGCGAGGTAGCGGTAGCAGGAATGATAATGCTGGTGCTGCCAGTAACCCAAATCAACAAGCTGCTGCAGCCAACAATGACCCGACCAAAGCCAACGGTAGCAGCAAAGACCAAAAGCAACGGCGAAAGAAGAAAGGCAACAAAGGACAGTAAAGAACTTCATGAGGCTTAGGCAGCAAGGTGAAGGTGGTCATGGATGACTTGTTTTCTTTGGCCATGGCAAAGGCAACAGTGCGGCTAGCTAGATACCCGCCTCTACTCTTTCTTGTAAACTAAATACAAATTTTTTGTGGCGTGAACGCCTCTTCAGAAGGTTTTGAGCTTCGCCTTTCGCTGGATCGATTCTGTTATGACGGTCCCGGATTGTTTTTCGAGGGGGTTTGGTACAGAGCTGAATTTGCAGTAGCCACATGCAGCTGCCGTACTCTAACTTAAAACTTCCCTTATTGTCAATGTACTGAGTTGTAGAGGTTAGAGTTACTCATTCAACATACCGTACTATCGGTATGGTACTGTAGCAAGCTACATGCCGCAGTTTTGGTACCAATCCGTGCAACTGAACTTCCCTTTTCCCAATTCGTGATAACAGACACCTCTTCTGTTTCCGCAATAAGTGGTGCAATTTAACGCCACCGAGATGGCGCGTTACCACCAACATCACAATCATCATGACCAGGCAAGAAAACTTCAGACAACCAGTCCAATATCAGTGATGAAACCACCATTGTCACTGGTCCTGCGCAGCCGTGTGCACAGGGCATGTCCTCGGGTCTATTGTTTTGTATCAAGTCCTTGCGGACAATCATGGACAGTGGCCTCCTGCCCCTATTCTTCTCCTGTTGCTGCTGATGCACAATATCATAGATTCTTGGCAGAATCCAAGATTCCAGATCCACCAAAGGACCCTTTTCGTAAACATAAATGATTGTTGAGTTGGGAAAGCTGTTTTCGAGCCAGTGCAGATAATAATCGACTTCTTCGTCGGGTTGCAATAAGACACCGTGTGTTCGATTATTCAGTTGAGGACTGGTCTTGCGTCCGCGCAGACCCCAAATCCCGACATCTACGACTAGCACAGATGGATGGCGTAGTCGATTGGCCTGCAAGAAATCCAGAAAGGAATCATCGGCTTGAGGTGTGTGCAGAAACGTTTTGAATCCAATGGCAACATTGTTGTTGTTGCCACCAAGCTCTGGCACCAGCCGCTTGTCTGGTTCCCCGCATGCCTCGAGGTCAATGCCATGCCTCTTGTCCATTGTATTGGGGCTATCACCACACGCAGGGGTTGCATTGTATCCAAAAGGAGCACTCCCTACCCGCATCACGTTGGTTTCCAGGGGTGCATCGTACTTTTGCCCCCGCGCCATGCGAATCATGGCAAAGTAGAGTTCGCGGACATGCGACGAGCCATACAACACGAGGGAGGCATTATTTGTTTCTTGGAGCAATGATAAGGACCCAAGAGGCTTATTGTTGTTGTGTGGGGTTGCAAAGGGTGGGATATTGGGCACTCGAATGGGGTTTCTTCCTGAAGAAGAAGATGCTCGATCGTCATGTCTGTCGAAATGCCAACTCCAAGAGGTCAAGGAAGGTTCAGCACCAAGTGTCTGATCGAGTGTAGACACCTCTTGCGTCCAATAGCCTTCAAAATTGGAAGGATTTGCCAGACAGGGTAGCCTTCCTGTTGGCGACAATAACTCCATACATGATTGGCTGTTGGCTGCAGTTGGTATCCAGGTAAAGCTTTCATGAGAATGACGACGGCGGCAATCCACAGCAGCCGGACGTTCCTGGCGAGTACAAATAATAGTGGTGGGACACAGACTTGCGCTTCTGAATGTTGATAAGATGGTAAGGACAGAGATCGCAAGGAGTACTCTCAGTACAACCACTACCTTCTTGTTGGTGCTCATTGGGGAGATGCTTCTTTATTACCGGTATGTGTACCAGTACAGTGTACATATAGTCTTTACTTGCATTATTGGCCATTACGCCATTGCAGATGAGGGATGAGAGTTTGTTGACACACCACGTCGATTTGAAATATAAACATGAATGACCATTAGGAATGGGGATTTCAACTCATCTTGACTAGCTAGCACCCTCATGCACCACAACCAAAAAAAGCAAAGAATTTGCTTATTTCTGCTACGTGTACATCGCCGAGGACGGCTTTGTCATTTATTTTAGTTCTAAGACGACTAATAATACTGGTACCAGGTACCATCCATTGCAGTGTTATTATTGTCTTGGCCTCATCCAACAATTCGATTGATCTCCAGCCTTTGCCTATGAAGTAATGTGCCTGTCGCCAAAGGCAGTCCTTGCTAAGTCGTATAATCCTACAAATAAATAGAGAGCCTCCAACGTTAAGAATGATGACAACGGCCAAAAGAGCACTGCAGTGGATACAATCGCAGCTATCCTTTGAAGGATGGCCTGTGGACTCGCAGTTTCGAAGTGAAAGTGTGAGTGCTTCTCGTAATGTAATGGTTGGAAGACCTAACCAACCGCCCGCTAATGACAGCCTTGTTTATTCTTAATAAATCCCACCAGAGCCTTGGCAGGATCGCCACCATTGCAGGGCTTCTTGGTATCTTCCTGGGAACACACATTTGCCTTTTCAGTGTCTTGATCCTTCACCGGTGCTTCTCACTGGTGCCTGTTCTAGATGAATTCTTTTCTCTGGAACAAATTGACATGATGTGGCAATGGAGTGGCTATGTGGTGCTTCTGTGCTCCTTTCACTTGACGGAATTTTTCGTCACGGCAATCTACAACCCAACTGTGGTCACGGCAGAATCGTTCCTGGTGAATCATTCCTTGGATTATACAGCCGCATTCTTGCTCTCTGCAACAGAATTCTGGACTCGATTTTTCCTGTATCCTTTCTTCAGCACCCCCGTTTTCATTGTGGGTCTGGGGATGGTGTTGTTTGGACAAGGAATAAGGGCCATTGCCATGGCAACTTGTGGGGCAAGCTTCAATCATAAAATCCAGACATCGAAAAAGGATACTCATGTCCTGATCACTCATGGAATGTATGTAAGCTCAAGTGTCTTACGTAACACCCTCCTCTGCTTTTTGTTGACGATGTCATGGCTGGGGATCTCCCAGCCGTATCTTTCTTGATGTCGCTCGCTCACCAACCTTCTCAACAACACTCATCCAAATAATGATCAGCTACTCTTACTTTCGGCACCCATCTTATGTTGGCTTTTACTATTGGGCTATTGGTACACAATTACTACTGAACAATACACTTCACTCATTTCTTTTTGCAGTGGCTTCTACCATGTTCTTCCGCAAGAGAATACCATATGAAGAAGAGTCACTGATGAACTACTTCCCGGATCAGTATGCTTGCTATGCAGCAACAACTTGGGTTGGTATCCCTTTTATACCTCCGTGTGACAAATGCAAGATAACATAGTACAATAGAATAGAGCGGAACGAGAACAAATCTATGTCGCTTCGTTGATCTAGTTTATTGATGAAATGAATTATGACCCGGCTAGAAATTCCTCCTCGGTTGCTACAGTATATATCGTCCATACATTCGTCTGACAACACAACCAAAGCGTTCTGTTCTGGATATCTTCGTATCTAGCTAGTACCGATTGAACGGTTCCATGGAACCACCAAGACCGCCTCGACTGCGCTTGACACTGGATCGTCGTTCATCCCCTTGTCGCTCGGACCAACCACGGACACCACCCATAATCAATGATGCAGAGCTAGCGGTAGCCATGGATCCGGAACTGGAATGTTCTGCCTTGCGGGCATTGTCATGGACTGCCTTGTGGTAGAGTCGTGTGGAATCAAAATTCATTTGCAGGCTCGTCTGAATGTGGTTTTGTTGGTTCTTGGCATTGTCCAATGTTCCATGAAACTTGGTCAAAATTTCCAACAAGGCACCTGCTCGTGACAATGGGACATCCCGTGGACGACACGGAGGTCCATGGCGGGACGAGACCAACAATGATTGTGATTTCTGGCACAATTGTCCTGCCAACAACAAACGGGCGTAGACACACTCCAAGACGATTCCTTCCACTTGTCGCAAGACTGCAGACGAGTCGTCTTCTGAAAGTGATCCAAGTCCCAGCTCCTGTGCCACAGTGGCATAGGGAATTCGAATGGCACAACCAGGCTTGCCATCGCGACAAGCCTGGTGCACCAACGTCAACAGGGTCAACTGACGAAGTTTGAAGATTTGCGAGTCTGTCAGCGTCAACAACACTGAGGAAGATCCCTTGATCGCTGCCATACTAGTAGTATAATCCCCAAATGTGCCATGGGAAAAGAGATCCAGAGTGCGCAACAGGATCTCTCCTTCCGCCCCGCAGGTGGCAAGTTTGGGCTGCAGGACTTGCTTGATTTCGTCAAACCCGGTAAAGACGCGAGGATCGGAAAGCGCCTTCATCACCACTGTGCGGATTGTCGGCAAGTTGGCATTGGCAGAGTCTCGTGCCAACTGGAGGATTGGCTTGAAGGCTTCGTCGGCGTCCATGGTGTGAATATTATGTATGTGATGTCCACGATCTTTCTTTTTGTGATTTGTGATCCTCGCTTGTGTCGTCGTGTCGTGTCTTTATGCATGGACTCTCATTTGCTCCACAAGCTAGGCCATCGCAATAATATTATGTTTTCGATAAGTCAGCAGGAGCTGCGATACCTCGGCAGAAAGACAGATAGAATAAGGAGGATTATGTTCGGATTGCACCCATCTTTCAAGCTAGCCCTGGCGACAACACGTCGTGTGTTGCCGCCCGGTATCATTCATTCCCTCATTGCAACCTTCTTTTTATTCAGCTAGCCCTGGCGACAACACCCGATACAACACCCAGCTACTCTATAATTTACCAGCTGCCATTCCCTTATTGTAACTCTAACATTTACAGCTCCTGCTGGCTTATTGTGCTGTTGTGATGATTGCACTAACATTAAATATTAATGATTTATTCCTACCCCTAACTTGTATTGAACCATCAATGTTCAGTTTTGTTGGCTTATGACTATCTCTATCCTTATACTTTGGCTTCACCGGAATAGGAAATAGGAAATAGGAAATAGCATTAAGTCAGCGGGAGCTGCGATACCTCGGCAGAAAGACAGATAGAAGAAGGAGGATCATGTTCGAGATTGCACCCATCTTTCAAGCCAGCCCTGGCGACAACACCCGACTACGTCGTGTGTTGCCGCCCGGTATCATTTATTCCCTCAGTGCAACCTTCTTTATTAAGCTAGCCCTGGCGACAACACCCGACTACGTCGTGTGTTAAAGAGAAGAGATCAACTTACCCAACTGCCTCTGGATCGATAGCAGCCTCTCGTGTGGAGACTCAAAGGATCCAACAAGATTACACATAGTAGAAGTAAGTGTACTAGCTGGTAGTAATGGACAAGCTTGGCACGGGTTTGCACTTCCTCTGAGGTGCACCATGACGAGGGGTACGGTACCCAACGCCATCGATATTAGTGCCCCAACGGACTTTTTTCTTTCGCGTGTATTGTTGTCAAGCTTGCTTGTGGTAGCACTGTCCTGTCCCCATGCGAAACACAGCCTCTGCTCCTCCTAATGACGAAAGCATGCCAGGAGGGAGGAACCCACCTTCACAGGCGCATCTCCATTGGTTGCTGTTGCTTTGGAAATCGGCCAGATCAATGGCATTGGTGTCATCACGTCGGCTGGCTGAGCTTTTTCTTGGTTCTTGGCTGTGGTGCTGCTTTCTTTTCGTCGTCTACCTCTTCTTCTGCTTGTATATTATTAATGTCCTCAATGGTATCGCTGCCGTCACTTGCAGGTAGCGCTGGGTATACTCTTGCATCTGAACTGACACTTTCCCTACTGTCCGGCGCTTCCGTTTCACCGTCAGTTTCCTTCTGATGAGTGTCCATTTGTTGTTGCTTCTGTTCCACTGCTGCCTCTTGTTGTTGCCGAATCATGGCAGCATATGCCAAGGCATCTTGGGATGCCGCATGACGGTTCCATCGATAAATGAGCGACGAGACAAGTCCAGCAAGAAGCCCAATCGCCACTTTCACCAACGGGGAGCTTTCCGTGTGCAGCTGCTCTACAAACAACTGTTTCGACATGCTATGATACTGGTATGAGCTGTACGCTACGGTATGCTTGGGTGGATCGAGAGGAAGGATCCAAACGTCAAACAAAGCAAGCTGTGGTTTTCGTACGTGTTGTTGCTTCTTTGTGGTTGTCAACAAGAAACGGGCTTTTTACCTCTGCAGGTAACTGCCTGAGTTCTCAACCCCTTTAACCTCGGCAGGTAAACTGCCTGAGTTCTCAACCCCTTTAATGCTATTTCCTATTTCCTATTTCCTATTTCCTATTTCCTATTTTCTATTTCTATTTCCTTTTCCTATTCCGGTGAAGCCAAAGTATAAGAGATAGAGATAGTCATAAGCCAACAAAACTGAACATTGATGGTTCAATACAAGTTAGGGGTAGGAATAAATCATTAATATTTAAGGTTAGTGCAATCAGCACAACAGCACATAAGCCAGCAGGAGCTGTAAAGTTGAGTTACAATAAGGGAATGCAGCTGGTAAATTATAGAGTAGCAGGCGGCAACACACGACGTAGTCGGGTGTTGTCGCCAGGCTAGCTTAATAAAGAAGGTTGCAATGAGGGAATGAAATGATACCGGGCGGCAACAACACTAAGTCGGGTGTTGTCGCCAGGGCTGGCTAGAAAGATGGGTGCAATCTCGAACATGATCCTCCTTCTTCTATCTGTCTTTCTGCCGAGGTATCGCAGCTCCCGCTGACTTAATGCTATTTCCTATTCCTATTTCCTATTTCCGGTTGAACCAAAGTATAAGGATAGAGATAGTCATAAGCCAACAAAACTGAACATTGATGGTTCAATACAAGTTAGGGGTAGGAATAAATATTAATATTTAATGTTAGTGCAATCATCACAAAGCAAAATAAGCCAGCAGGAGCTGTAAAGTTTAGAGTTACAATAAGGGATGGCAGCTGGTAAATTATAGAGTAGCGGGCGTTGTAGTCGGGTGTTGTCGCCAGGGCTAGCTAATAAAAAGAAGGTTGCAATGAGGGAATGAATGATACCGGGCGGCAACACACGACGTGTTGTCGCCAGGGCTACTTGAAAGATGGGTGCAATCCGAACATAATCCTCCTTATTCTATCTGTCTTTCTCCGAGGTATCGCAGCTCCTGCTGACTTATCGAAAACAAATATTATTGCGATGGCCTTGTGGAGCAAATGAGAGTCCATGCATAAAGCACGACCGACGACATCAAGCTTGGAGCGAGGAGCGAGATCACAAATCACAAAAAGAAAGATCGTGGAAAGAGCTACGGCACATCACATCCATAGTATTCACACCATGGACGCCGACGAAGCCTTCAAGCCAATCCTACAGTTGGCATCAGACTCTGCCAATGCCAACTTGCCGACAATCCGCACAGTGGTGATGAAGGCGCTTTCCGATCCTCGCGTCTTTACCGGGTTTGACGAAATCAAGCAAGTCCTGCAGCCCAAACTTGCCACCTGCGGGGCGGAAGGAGAGATCCTGTTGCGCACTCTGGATCTCTTTTCCCATGGCACTTTGGGGATTACAATATGTCAGCGACCAAAAAGGGTTCTTCCTCAGTGTTGTTGACGCTGACAGACTCGCAAATCTTCAAACTTCGTCAGTTGACCCTGTTGACGTTGGTGCACCAGGCTTGTCGCGATGGCAAGCCTGGTTGTGCCATTCGAATTCCCTATGCCACTGTGGCGCAGGAGCTGGGACTTGGATCACTTTCGAAGACGACTCGTCTGCCGTCTTGCGACAAGTGGAAGGAATCGTCTTGGAGTGTGTCTACGCCCGTTTGTTGTTGGCAGGACAATTGTGCCAGAAATCACAATCATTGTTGGTCTCGTCCCGCCATGGACCTCCGTGTCGTCCACGGGACGTCCCATTGTCACGAGCAGGTGCCTTGTTGGAAATTTTGACCAAATTTCATGCAACATTGGACAATGCCAAGAACCAACAAAACCACATTCAGACGAGCCTGCAAATGAATTTTGATTCCACACGACTCTACCACAAGGCAGTCCATGACAATGCCCGCAAGGCAGAACATTCCAGTTCCGGATCCATGGCTACCGCTAGCTCTGCATCATTGATTATGGGTGGTGTCCGTGGTTGGTCCGAGCGACAAGGGGATGAACGACGATCCAGTGTCAAGCGCAGTCGAGGCGGTCTTGGTGGTTCCATGGAACCGTTCAATCGGTACTAGCTAGATACGAAGATATCCAGAACAGAACGCTTTGGTTGTGTTGTCAGACGAATGTATGGACGATATATACTGTAGCAACCGAGGAGGAATTTCTAGCCGGGTCATAATTCATTTCATCAATAAACTAGATCAACGAAGCGACATAGATTTGTTCTCGTTCCGCTCCATTCTATTGTACTATGTTATCTTGCATTTGTCACACGGAGGTATAAAAGGGATACCAACCCAAGTTGTTGCTGCATAGCAAGCATACTGATCCGGGAAGTAGTTCATCAGTGACTCTTCTTCATATGGTATTCTCTTGCGGAAGAACATGGTAGAAGCCACTGCAAAAAGAAATGAGTGAAGTGTATTGTTCAGTAGTAATTGTGTACCAATAGCCCAATAGTAAAAGCCAACATAAGATGGGTGCCGAAAGTAAGAGTTTTTAGTGAATCGATTATTAGTGATCTCGCTCCTCGCTCCAAGCTTGATGTCGTCGGGTCGTGCCTTTATGCATGGACTCTCATTTGCTCCACAAGGCCATCGCAATAATATTTTGTTTTCGAAAAAGCCCGTTTCTTGTTGACAACCACAAAGAAGCAACAACACGTACGAAAACCACAGCTTGTTTTGTTTGACGTTTGGATCCTTCCTCTCGATCCACCCAAGCATACCGTAGCGTACAGCTCATACCAGTATCATAGCATGTCGAAACAGTTGTTTGTAGAGCAGCTGCACACGGAAAGCTCCCCGTTGGTGAAAGTGGCGATTGGGCTTCTTGCTGGACTTGTCTCATCGCTCATTTATCGATGGAACCGTCATGCGGCATCCCAAGATGCCTTGGCATATGCTGCCATGATTCGGCAACAACAAGAGGCAGCAGTGGAACAGAAGCAACAACAAATGGACACTCATCAGAAGGAAACTGACGGTGAAACGGAAGCGCCGGACAGTAGGGAAAGTGTCAGTTCAGATGCAAGAGTATACCCAGCGCTACCTGCAAGTGACGGCAGCGATACCATTGAGGACATTAATAATATACAAGCAGAAGAAGAGGTAGACGACGAAAAGGAAAGCAGCACCACAGCCAAGAACCAAGAAAAAGCTCAGCCAGCCGACGATGATGACACCAATGCCATTGATCTGGCCGATTTCCAAAGCAACAGCAACCAATGGAGATGCGCCTGTGAAGGTGGGTTCCTCCCTCCTGGCATGCTTTCGTCATTAGGAGGAGCAGAGGCTGTGTTTCGCATGGGGACAGGACAGTGCTACCACAAGCAAGCTTGACAACAATACACGCGAAAGAAAAAAGTCCGTTGGGGCACTAATATCGATGGCGTTGGGTACCGTACCCCTCGTCATGGTGCACCTCAGGGGAAGTGCAAACCCGTGCCAAGCTTGTCCATTACTAGCTAGTACCGTACGGTACACTTACTTCTACTATGTGTAATCTTGTTGGATCCTTTGAGTCTCCACCAGAGAGGCTGCATCCACGATCCAGAGGCAGTTGGGTAAGTTGGAAATGCATTGCCAAAGGAGCCACAATGGAGCCGCTACATGTGGCTATACTGGTACCCCATAAATCTACAATGCTCAATGGCACGTGGAACGAAAAATGAAGTTTTGGAATTCTTACATTCCGCTACTAGGAGTGATGACCTTAGCTTTCAGCACCGAGACTGTTGCTGTGCTTTTGGCAGATGAAATTGTACCTTCCATTGAATGCGCCCATCCTGTTTGGTACAAGAAGCAGAAGACTAGCCGTGGTGTTCGAGGTTGGAGATCTCTTGCTGCTGCAACAGAAACAACTATAGTTGGAGGAGGAGACAGAATAAGCAGAAGAGGTGCGGGACGAGACTTAATTGGCGAGGAACAAGAAGTATGTGACACTTGGCTGCTTGATTCCGCTTCAGTCAAGTGGTTTCCAATCTAACATTCCCATTTCTGTCAGGAAAAGCAAGACGGGGGCACAACAGACAGAGTTGATGAAGGAGTATGTGACAACTCATTCCTAACTTTTGAATCATTCTGTGCACTACCATGAACTAACTAACATATCACCCATTTCTCGTTACAGGACAAAGGATACAATGGTGGCAATCCTTTCAACCAAAGAGACAAGGGCGACGCACTGGTAGCGGATAAAGGAGACAAGGGCAATAATGGAGGTAAAGGAGTATGTGACAACTTATGGCTGAGGATTGAAGGATTCAATCCCTAAGTGCAAGGAAATGGCAATCAATCTAACATCTACATGAATTTCTTGCCACAGGACATAGGAGACAAGGGCGGCAAAGGATATACAGCTGACAAGGGTGATAAAGGAAGCATTGGAGTATGTGAAACCTCATGGCTGAGAATTGAATGAATCATGCTTGTCCAGGAAACCCCAATGGTCTAACATCACCCGCATTTCTCGTGACAGGACAAAGCAAACAAGGGCACTGACAAAGGATATACTGCTGACGAGGCTGATAAAGGAGGCACAGGAGTATGTGAAAACTCATCACTGATGATTGAATGAATCATGCTGGTCCAGGAAAAATCAAAGACCTCACATACATGCACACTTCTCGTGACAGGACAAAGCAAACCAGGGCGCTGACAAAGCAAACAATGGCGCTGACGACAAAGGAGGCACAGGAGTATGTGAAAACTTATGGCTGATGATGAATGAATCGAATTATGCTAGTCAAGGAAAATCAAAGACCTCACATACATGCACACTTCTCGTGACAGGACAAAGCAAACAAGGGCACTGACAAAGCAAACAATGGTGCTGACAAGGGAGACAAAGCTGGTGCTGACAAGGGAGTAAGTTCTGTGCTATGGTGAATTGTCAGCGTCCAAACCTGGATTGACTCGCTTACTGAGATTCTGCTTCAGGACGTGGCAACAGCCTATGACATCCCAACAACCACGGTTGGAGCCGAAACACATGACAATGGAGTAAGTTCTCTGTGCTCCGGCAAATTGTCAGGGCTCAAACTTCTTTTAAGAGTGGCTCACTTTCACTTCCGCTTCAGGCCTATGATGTCCCAACAACGACTGGTTGGAGTCGAAACACATGAAATGGAGTAAGTTCTATGTGCTCCCGTGAATTGTCAGTGCTCAAACTTCTTTTAAGAGTGGCTCACTTTCACTTTCCGCTTCAGGCCTATGATGTCCCAACAACGACTGGTGGAGTCGAAACACATGAGAATGGAGTAAGTTCTCTGTGCTCCGGTGAATTGTCAGGGCTCAAACTTCTTTTAAGACTGGCTCACTTTCACTTTCCGCTTCAGGCATATGATGTCCCAACAACGACTGGTGGAGTCGAAACACATGACAATGGAGTAAGTTCTCTGTGCTGCGCTGAATTGTCAGGGTTCAAACTTAGAGTGGCTCACTTTCACTTTCCGCTTCAGGCCCAATATGTTGGAGTCGAAACACAGACCGAAAGATTAATCTTCGAGGAAGGTTTTGAGATTGGTTTCAAGCAAGGGTTTGGGCTTTATCAGCACCGTGGTGCTACTGTAGGCGAGTTCATGTCAATCTACAGAAACACAGCGTCCATTGGAGCTTGTGTTGAAGACCAAAACGGCGAGAACGACCACCAAAAAGTACTTTCCTGCATGGAATCGTACCAAGTTGGTTTCATGAGTGGCTTTGAGAGAGGATTCAGTGAGGCAGAGAGCAGTGCCAACTCCGGAGAAGACGAACTCCCCAGCAAGAATTGTGGAGGCTATGAGACCCAATCTAGTGGTACCACCGAGGACGAAGAAGAAGAGTCTGAGCAAAACGAATACCATGAGACTGCATCTAGCAGTACCGAGGGCGAAGAAGAAGACGAGGAGTCCGAGCAAAACGAGTACATGTACTATGGGACCGGATCTAGCAGTACCACTGAGGATGAAGAAGACAAGGAGTCCGAGGAAAACGAATACTATGAGACCGGATCTAGCATGACCACCGAGGACGAAGAATACGAACAGCAAAACCAAGACTACTCATCCCAGCAATCTGCCGAGGACGAAGAAGACGAACAGCAAAACCAAGACTACTCATCCCAGCAATCTGCGTTCCGGTACATAGATACACCCCAATTCCCCAGCAACTGTGAGCTCTCAGGAGGAGCAGTTTTGATGTGCAAGGATGACGAAGGTAACACCTTCAAACCTGTCAAATGTGGAGACGGTGCACTAGCCGCAGCTTGTGGACTCTGTATGGATGGAGAGGAAAGAACGAGTTATGTCCATTGCTTGGGTGTTGACTGTGTTTACAATCCACACGACCAGGAATGTATTTCAAACAGTAGTTAGAGTCTTCAGGCAAGTTCATAACAGTAAAGTTTTAAGGAATCTGTGCAGTCAAAAAGAGAACGATCACCACAATAGAGTTACAGAAGCATCTCAGTTGTCCACCCCTGGTTGCATTTACACCGACAAGTGGTTTAATTTGATAGCCGCACAGTCCATTGTGAGACACGCCTTTGCGTTCACCGCTGTGGCTTTCATCGTTTGATAGTGTCCTACCGGTATCACGGCCGGGTAGTAAATAGCTACGATAGTTCAAACAGCTTTTACAGTAACAATTTTCTGGCAGTTTGCGTTCCTTGTCTGCTTCGATCTAGATATAAGGTGTGGTCGTCGTTGCCCGTTCTAGCTCTAGAAGACATTTATGCCATCCATCGCAACCTGGGCAAATACGAAAACTGCTAGTTCTGATGAAGTTAGCAGTCCTGAAACCATTCTTGTCAAATCCTGCGTCAGGGTCTCCCGATGGTAACGAGCGGCTTACTATGTGGCGTACGGTGGTTATAGTGGACTATGTGCGGGCATGGACTCGAGAGGTGGTCGAGCTTGCCTCGAGGTTCCGCCGAAGCCGGTGGTCCAAACAACCACTCGGAGACCGGAAAAAGGGTGGCCGGGCTGGTTGGCACAAGGATACAAGGAGGATAAATCTTCAGTTAAATAGCATTTCCGGATCGCAGCCAGCTATTACATCGTGGCAGAACGCAATTGACATCTCCTTTTTGGTGCTGCGAGTAACCACGGCTCGATCCTGTCCGTCGTGGGATTGGCCAACTGGTGAGCAAAAAGATCTGGTTCCAGAAACAGCGCGATTCTGTCCCCAATCCAAATGGAAAGTTGACAAAGCATGCCCGTTATAACACCGAAAAACAATCAAACGAGCACGCTAGCGGGTTTGCTGGATCTACCCCGCTAGCTGGCTAGGGACCGCTTTGCTGCAGCCCTGTAAGAGGGAGTCGCGAGAGTGTTGCTTTGGTGATCAAGCGATTGAACAAACAAACTCTGAAAGCTCACAATTCTAATCTCAAGCAACTTGCAAAGCAACCAAAACACAACTAAAGTCACCACCATCAACCATGAAAATCTCGAGCTTCTCCGCTGTGTTCTTGGCTGCTGCCACTCCATTTGCTGCCGCTGCTGGCTTGAAAGGAACGGTAAGTATTGCGGTCCCAAAGATTCCCGTCAAAGTTCGGAAATTTGCTCACATCTCTTTCCCTTTGCGTCAGGAACGTCAACTCCAAACCTGCCCTGAACAAATGTGCGGCAGAAACTCTGTAGCCCACTTCCCAGCACCTAGATTTGATCTTGAGAATCTTCCAACTTTGGAAGAACTTGATGCCTACTACGGCACCTTCTGCTCCTTTTGTGAGATCGGCGAGATTCTCAACCCGGACATTCAGTTTTGCGACGCCCTTTGCTCATTTGAAATCCCTGATATTGAAATCCCCGATTTCTCCGAAATCACCACCTGCTTCTCGGAAGTGTCAACCGTTCAGGTGGAGAACGTCGGTAGCGTCACTATGAAGGACCTGAAGGTTGGTGCTCGTGTCCTCACTGCAAATGGTATCTTCGAGCCTGTTTACGCCTTTGGACACAAGAATGCTGGCCTTTCTGCTGAATTCCTTCAATTCAATGGTGGTTTGGAAATGACTGGTGCCCACCTTGTCTTTGTTGAGGGAAAGACCAACCCTGTCCGCGCTGATTCCGTCAAGGTTGGCGATGTCCTCCGAGGACAGACCGACGCCGTCAGGAATATCAAGACTATCACACGCACCGGAGTCTACTCGCCTTTGACACCCAGTGGAACTGTTGTTGTTGATGGAATTGTTGCCTCTTCCTATATCTCCCTGCAAAAGGGTTCCAATGAGTATGTTCAAATGCAAGGTGGGTTTGCCATCATGGCCTACCAAAACTTTATCCACATGGCCTTGTCCCCCTTCCGAATGTTCACCATGGGTGTCTCCTCTGCGATGGGCAACACCTACACCGAAGATGGCCTTCCCACCTTTGCTGCAGCCGGGATCAACCTTGGACAGTGGGCTGAAAGCCAAAACATTCTCGTGCAAGCTGTCTTGTTGGTTGCATTCATTGCCATTGCAGGAGCCAGCATGGTTGTGGAGAATACATTCGGACCATCTTTGGCCCCTCTTGCTTTGGCTGCTGGAGCTGGGGCATATGCATTGATGAAAAACAATGACGTTACTTTCCGTGCCTCCAAGATCAAGTCTGTCTAGCTAGACAACATGCCCGGACCTGGATGGTGGGACCAACCCAACCAATGACCAAGTGATTCATAAAGTTGCAGAATAGCCAGAAGCAAAAAGAAGTGAAAAAACTATGGAAGAACCAATACGCACCGTAGAAGAATATAACCAGAACTAAGAGAATGAAAGAAATACAAAACTTCTTGCATATAGCCAGCTGTCTAGAGTAGCTAGCTACGATTGTAGGTACCATGTACCCGTATCCCGTACAGTAGCGTATCCGTAGCCGCCATCAAAACCTCTGCTTTGGGCGATCTTTCAAAAAGCAAGTGTGCGACCCGATAAAATGTTCATCAGTCACGGTTTCCTTCGACACGTCATCACTGTGGTTCCAATGTTCCAATGCCAGTCCAATGCGATGCCTCGGTCTTTGTGTTCGCTGATGCCAACCAGCCAAGACCACACAACCTTGTCTTTTTCGATCTCCAGCCTACGGATAAGAGCGATACGATGGAGAAGATGCGGGTGCTGGTGCTTTTGGGGCTTGCGGCAGCGACTGTCAATGCAGGAACTGCGGACCATCGTTACAAGCAGAGCGAACACATCGAGCTGTGGGTTAATAAGGTGCGAGACGACAAAAAAACATCGGATCCTGTGGTTCTCGAATTTTCGGCGATTCATTCCCAAGCCCGTTATCCCTCCCCTTGGCAATCTGTTCCTATCGATTTCTTTGCATTCTGTATTGGATGTTGTCTTGGCTTATTTTATGACACGTCCACCCTGATTCTCTCAATGTAAATGATTTCTGTTTTTGTAGGTCGGACCTTATGCCAATCCACAGGAAGCGTACGAATACTATACCTTGCCATACTGTGCGCCAAAAACAAAGCACCACCCGGATGAAGAAGAGGGGCGCTTTAACGAATGGAAGATTCAAAATATTGGAGAATACCTAGGAGGACATGCTCTGAGGCATTCTGGCCATGATATTACATTTGATGTCGGTGCGGCAAAGACAGAAATGTGCAATACCAACCCATTGACAAATGAGGAAACCATCAAGTTCCAAAAGGCTGTTCGGGATCGTTGGTTTTACCAAATGTACTTTGATGATTTGCCAGTTTGGGGGATGGTGGGAGAAGTTTTACCAGCATCCAAATCAGCAGAAGGGGATTTTGCCTTTTCCGAAAAGGATGATCGTGACCGGTTGGATGTGCTCTTGGAGCAGGACAGCCCCCTCTCCGAACAGTCAGACTGGAAAGAATACATTTACACAAGGAGAAATTTAGTGATCAGCTACAACAAAGACCAAATTGTCAAGGTGGACCTGACCAGTGACCCAAAGTCTCTGCAGCTGTTGAAACCAGGTGCCACAATAACATTCATTTTGGAAGTGACATTCGAGGCAACCGATGAAGAATTCCACTCAAGATTTGACCGCTATTTGGATCATGAGTTTTACAAGCACCCAATCCATTGGTTTTCTGTCTTCAACAGCTTCATGATGGTCTTGTTTTTGATTGGCTTGGTTGCTTTGATTCTACTCAGGACACTCAAGAAGGATTACGCACGATATGGCATCGTGTACGACTTGGAGGATGGGGCTGGAGATAAAGATGTTGATGAGGATGGAAAGCCTCTTTTGGCTGGTGAAAAGGAAGACTCTGGATGGAAGCAAGTGCATGGTGACGTCTTTCGTGCCCCTCAATTTCTGCCTTTCTTTGCAGCTATGATCGGGTCTGGATGGCAATTGATGATTCTCACTCTTGGTGTGATCCTGTTTGCTGTCCTTGGCCCACTTCATGGAGAGGTGCATGAAGAGCGAGGGGAAGTCTTCCAAGCTATCATCTTTTTCTACAGTCTCAGTTCCATTGTTTCTGGCTACATGTCTGGAAAATTCTTCAAAATGTACTACCCAACCTCAACTGCTGCACGTCAAAGCACTTCAGCCAAGGGTGGTACTCCACAGTGGCAGATCACCACGGCTCTGACTGTTTTCTTGACTCCCACAATCAATGCCGGAATCCTTTCCATTGTTAATGCTGTTTCCCTATCCTATGGCACAATCAACACAATTCCATTCTTGGTCATCTTGAAGTTGTTCTTTATCTGGGTGTTCATCTCGGTCCCACTTTGTGTGGCGGGTACGTTGATGGGGCGGCACGCTCGTCTTGGTGCTGCTGGTGGAACAGGTGGTGCCACGGAAAACTTTCCCTGCCGAGTCAATGCTATCCCCAGACCAATTCCGGAGGAAGTGCCATGGTATGGACGTCCTGTGGGCCTTATCCCTCTTGCTGGTATGCTCAGTTTTGGATCAATCTTTATTGAGGTCTACTATATCTTGACATCCCTGTGGAACTACAAATTCTACCATGTCTATGGATTTCTGCTGGGGGTCTACTCAATCTTGACCCTTGTTGTTGGAATGACATCAATCATTGTGGTGTACTTTTCGCTGAATGCTGAGAATCACCTGTGGCAGTGGACAGCGTTTGGAAGTGGAGCCAGCACTGCCGGGTATGTCTTTCTGTATGGAATCTACTACTTTCTTTTCAAGACCCAAATGCATGGATTTCTGCAGATCACATTCTACTTTGGATACATGAGTCTCATTGCTCTCCATCTTGGTATGCTCTGTGGGACTCTTGGCCATTTTGCAGCCGGTCGATTTGTGCGTGCAATCTTTCAAAATGTAAAGGTGGACTAGATCTAGCCACCGACCGGTATGATGGATTGACATGCCAGAAACAATTTGCATAGAGCCCGCACTGGTTTTAAAAACTGAATTAATACTGTTGATGGCAGAAAAATGTGGAAAGCTCCTTCAGGGTGCGGGTACCGCGACGTACCAGTACCGGCAGCGTCCAAAGAAATTATTTGAATACCAGTAATCTTGGTTACATGTTCCACTCCAGCTAAATGTGCAACTTGCCTAGAGCTAGCTAGCTACTAGCCATCGCTCCGGCGTGGATACAGTACCATACCGGTAGGTATGCAAGGCACAAAAGGTAGACTACCAGCACAGCCAGCACGTACCGGCATCCGTCCACATGCACGCAGATTCGATTCGATTGATCATTCGTTATTGAGACCATGAAGGAAGAACTTTCTTGGAGGGCAGCCAATGCATCGTCTTCACGAGGCCAATGAGGGACAATGTGCGACCGGCACGTACGTCAGTGCACACACCCATTTTCCATGCAAAAGATGCCAAGGAAGGTCTCCAAAGTTTTTAACAAAGCAACATGCTACCAGTATCTAGCTAGTAGCAGTAGAACAGTATCGTTTTAGCAATCAAGAGAAGCCATGCCCACGGACCGTCTTGTCAAAGGCATCTTCACTACTCGTGTGTTTCTCTTCTCTATCATTATCAGTACAAGTATCATTATTCTTCCATTTACCGAGGCTTTAACGTCCAGCATGACAACATCGTCCAACAATGACTTGATGTCGGTTTTGAAAGAAACCTTTCCTCACTTGGTTTCGTACGAAAGCACCAAGACCATCTCTCAAGCCAATGCTGAAGGTCAACGCCTCGTCCTGACGTTGCACGAAGAAGAAGCCAATGCTCCTTACGATCACGCCGTGTTTGTCAAACGAGTGGTTGCTTCCGACTATATTGGTACCAAAAAGGATTGGGCTGACCTGCGACGAACACTGCTCTACATGAGGACCGAAGTTCGGTTCTACAAGGAGATTTTGCCAGTCTTGCAGAAGACCTTATTGGGAGCTAATGACAGTCCGAGTACGAGTACTACTACTAGTAGTATAGCACCAAAAATCCATTTGGCCCAACATTCGTTAGAGAAATTCATCCCCGACGACGAGAGTGGATTGGCACCGGCGGGAGCTCCTCCAGCTATTTACGAAGAATACCAACGGGATCCCACCATTCTTCCAGCTGGTTCTGGTGAAATTATCATGGATTGTGTCAGTGACGCCGACTATTTTCAGGCATCCCCCATTTCCATAGATCAGGCCAAGCAATGTCTGACGGCCGTGGCCCAACTTCATGCCGCCGCTTGGGAGAACCAACCCTTACTCGAACAATGCACCCAACGACTGTCTCTGGCCAGTTTTCATTTGCAAGTGCGAAATCCAAAAGAGCTGGCTGGAATGGAAGCTTCCTGGGAACACTTTTCCACGCAATTTGCTACTGCACTCGACGAGGCCGGCTTGTCGGAACGAACCAAAACACTGGGGGCACGAATCCAACAAGCGGCCAAAGCAATATCGCAACAATTATCACCACAATATAATGAACCCTACGCCACACTGATCCATGGAGATTACAAGGCCATGAATGTCTTTTTGCCAAAAGATCCTTCCACCAATAACAATGCACTCTTGGTAGACTTTGCATCGACGGGAATTGGCCTGGGCGTTTCGGACGTGGCCATGCATATTCATCATGCCGTGATACCGGCGGATTTGGCCAATGGTGGGGAAGAAGCCTTGGTCGATCATTATTGGCAGGAATTGGACAAGCTATTACAAGAACGAGGAAAGAACTATCCTCGCGACGTGGCCATGAAACAGTATCGCCTGGCAGTGATTGACTATGGAAGGTGAGTACATGTAGCAGCAATTGGGCACTTATTTGGATTGTCGTCCTTTGGCACCTATTTCTTGTCTGAACCCGTCTCTCACTTTTGTTGTTGTCAGGTTTGTGCTCGGGAGATTTTGGAAGACGGCTACTCCCGAAACTTTTGCCAAACGCAAGGACAGTCCCAATACAACCTTGATCAATCGCAATGTAGAGGCCGCCATGGCCTTTATCGATCGAATGGAACGATACTTGACGGAATTTGAACAGGAACAGGCTACTGCAAAGAAGAGCGAGTTATGATGTATGGTGATCAAATAATAATGAATCAATCAATCAATGCTAAAGTACATTGCCCTAGCTAGTAGCTAGTAGTTTACATGTACATGTAGCTTTGGTACCAACCAATAGCTATGGCTCCAGTATTTGAATATACCCCGTGCTTCCCATGACTTCACGATTGTCTACATCCAATCGATCCAGTAATTTCCAGCCATACATGGGATCGAGACACCGATCGGTCGTAATGACAATGGTGCCCGGCCGACATGTTTGGCTCAACAGTTCGTTCCATTCTCGACTCATGACAATGGCACCCAGTTGCTCGGAAAACCCGGCTGTATCCCACACGGTGGAATACGCAAACACAATATCGGCTTGCTGAAACAGCGAGGCAAATTCTTCGGCCGGACCCAAATGGAGAGTGAATTGATTAAGTTTTTGTGGCGAATGTTGTTGTGTAGCAGAGGCAAGATGTGGCAGGTTGTTGTATGGCAAGGTTGCTGGTTGCTGTTGCTGCTGCCGTTGTGGCTGGAGTTGAAACCAACCATGATCTAGACCGGACAAGCAAGCCCGCAGCGCTTCATCGTGAAGTATATCACTTATTTCAATCCCATGCATGTTCCACTGGGTATCACTGTCGTCGTCGTAGCCTCGAGTCAATGCCCAGTACAGGACCAGCCGTCCACATCCAGATCCCAGATCGATCATGGTGACACTTTTTGGGATTTTTTTCGGCTGATGACGATAATGGGACAGTGCCAAATCCACCAGTTGATCGGTACTTCTCAAAGGGAATTCGCCGTACGTATATTTCATGCGAGGATCCTGGGCCGCCACTAGAGTGGAGGATTCCAAGTCCTGTGCGTCCCGTCCAAAACAGATCCGTAAATCGTATTCTTTCCCAGGAAGAATGGTTCCATCCATTATTCTCTCTCCTTCCTCTCGGGATATGCGAGTAGGAACCCAACAGGAAAAGGTACTGTAGTCATCGTCGTCGCCTTTATCGTTGCCGACAGATGCTCTCAGCCGAGTCCGTGATGAATGCCGTGGGAAGGCACCAAGAGGTCTAGGGAAGGCATCAGCAGAGCCAAAGAGCAGAGCAACAATGCATATTATCGACATGGATAGATTGCTAGGGTTGCCTAGCTAGCGGTAAGGAGCAGATCTTGTCCGTGCGGTTGCATGGACATCTTCCCTTCTACTTTACATCGTACTCGATACTCGACCTCATCAACGCATGCAGTCGAAGTGCCTAGCTAGCTTAGGCAAAAAGATGCGGAATTCCGGCCTTCAGGGATGGGCCACAAAGGACCTCTCTAGCTAGCTAGCTAGTAGAGACAGGGGCCAAAGGCCAAAGGGCTTGCAAAGCTGGGTAAAGTCCGGTCCCCTGGGGCCTCCGGGCAATGTAGCGCAGCGTGCTCAATGCTGAAAACATCTACACAAAGGTAAATCGCTCCCTATTTGTAGCTCTCCGACCGCTGGCAGAACTACCGTACGACGTAGCTTTAGTCCGCAAACTGATCAGGAGCATGGTGGTTACATGGTATTACGGAAAAGCCACTGACAGCGACTGTCGGATTGCTTCAGATTAAACCTAAAAAATCCTGGTTTCCACTCCTTTTGTGTATTACTGTGTCTTGGGATCCAGAATCACTGCTGCTTTGCTCCCCTCGTAATATAGTATGCCAAACAATGTATCAAGCGGCAACCAGCAAAGAAGCAAGTACTTACCGTACCAAGGTACCGCTGGTGGTACCAGGTGCGCGGAAAGGGCACCTCGAACAGAGCAGTGCCAAGGTACCTTGATACCTTGGTATCAATAGAAGCGTTTTGTTCGTCCTCATTGGCAACACGATGAAAGGCAGGAGCGCCAAGAAAGCTCATGAATTAGTCTACTGAAATAAACATATCAATCTAGATAGGTGGCTATGAAGATGACTTCGTTTCCGGGCGAGAAGAATTGGCATCTGGAAGCCTCCAGACGCATACTGTTGTTCCGCCATCGATACGGGTACCGGTAGGGCTACGTGCCCCGCCGCCTACACTCAGACCGTCATTTAAATTAACGTCTGATCCCGACGCCTCCGTGGACTTCAGATGGACTTTAAAAATCGGCAGAGTGTCCTCTTCCCATTCTGAATGATGCTGAATCTCCTCTACTAGATGCCGGGAAATGAAGCCGTACATGTACATGTAGTTGTTGCATAATGCCCACGCCTCGTTCGCTGCTTCAGTGCTTTTAGAGCACGTAATGTAGAAAGAACTTTTTGCTGTAAGGGAATGCTTCCTGCTTTGGATACTGACCACCAGCCCACTCCATGGACAATTGGATTCGGCGTTTTCGCTCGGCTTGTCGTAGGCTCTCTTCGGAATGACCCAGAGTTCGAAGACGCAAACGTCGTTCGTGCAGAGTCAGGGGGAACGGCAAGAGCGTTCCCTCGGTGGAGTAGTCAATGGCGCTGCTCGAATTCAAGGTTGGCGAGAGGCTCAGTAACTGCCCAATGTGCATCTTGTTGATATCTTTGGCGGAAACGTTTTGCGCCTTTTCTTGTTGGCGTTGACCCTCATACGTATCGAGATCCATGGTATCGCTCAAGTTATACCTCCAGCCGAGGGATAATGGATAGGAGCAATCGGGATTGTCGCCCAAGATAACCTCATAGGTACGTACTTGAATGCCGTCGAAGGACACTTGCTTCTTGTTTTTCTTGGAATCATGCTTTGCCTTGACCATGTGGAGGGATGTTGAATCTTTGAGATCGAATTCCTCCGTGGCCGTTTGTGAACCACTGGTGTAGGTTGTATCATCCTTGTTTTCGGTTCGAGCGTTCAGCTTGAGTGGTGACTTCTCGACGACAATCTCGGCAGAATCATCGTCAGGATGCTGGCCTCTGGAATTCCTTTGGCGGTGAGGCAGCTTGAGCCGATGCTGGTGGTGGCGGTCCGTCATGAGTCTCCAAATGCCTAGCTTTGTCATGGTTCTGTGTGTTCTCTTACTTCGTTGGGTGTTCTTCCTTGGAGTGGTATCACGTCTGTTCTGGTATGATGTGCGGTTGAGCGGTTGCTTTCTTTGTGCCCTCAACAGTCAACAGCGCGACACTCAGCTTCATTTCCCTTCCGAAGAACACCTCTTTGATGGGTTCGCTTTGCACGTACCAATCGCTTGAACATTCGCATCGCGTCCGAGAAGCACAAAAACCCAAACCTGCATTGGCATCAAAATTCGCCGTGTTCAGTCACACAAATATGGGAATATTATTATATGTAGTGAAGAATGCCGTCAAACGCCGCCACGGATTAGGTAGCAGGTACACAATGTCATGTATGTCATAGTGGCAGTGAAGCTGTCTCAGATCTTGGGGCGTCGCGTGCTGACACCTCTTTGAACGACTACGGAAACCAGCAACCCAAGTTGGATTGACATGCTTTTGTTGTCAAAGCCCTAGGTCTTGTTGGAAAGAGCAGGGTTGATTGATTGCCGCTGCTTTCTGAAACATGAGCCAGCAAAGATTTCCCTCTGCCTGTTCCCTCCAGAACTAGCAGTGCTGTGTGAGGTGCCATAGCTACATGCTGCAACAGCAAGCGCAGTGCTGCGCATGTGCGCAAGATTCTGGCCAAGGATGCAATGTTGTCCATTACGATTACGCTCATTGATTAGTACCTGGTAGTGGTGGTTAAATCTAAGATGCTAAGATACTAATGTGCAATGTTGTCCAAAGCGCAGCTTGCTAACAAAGGAGACGAGTTTTCATCAGATCATGTCTATTAGTCTAGTGAAGTCCATGCAGTCATGTCCCAACCTTGAGGGCCTCACCCCTTGGTACCATTTCTGGCGGATTTGAGTTCAACTCCAGCCACTGATGCCCAAGCACTTTGCACACTCTGCAGCAACATTCTGGAGACTTCGATCCTCCCACACTCCACTTGCTTGCTGCCACCTCGTGATGCAACTTTTCGGAGCACTCCGGTTCTCCGAAGAAGCCTCATTGTTTGACAGCTTCAGCAGCTTTGAAAACGCGGGCAGAGCATTGAAAAATATCCATCCACCGCATGGTCACATTCTCGGATTGAATTCAGAATTCAATCATTTTGCCTTCCCAAGCGAAACAAGATGAGGAAGAGGGTGTCCTCTTCACCAAGGGATAAGGCGGCCATGGCCTTTTGTCGAAGCCATCTGCTGCTCATATTGTTGTTGCTGAGCATGGCCGTTTCAATGGTCTGCATCGGACTAGATACGCTGCTCAAGTCTGTTGATGAGTTGTTTCCAGGGTCGGGTCAACCTTTCCTGGAACACACCCTCAATTTCAAGCAAGCGTCTCTGCGTCGAAAGCTTTATACCAATGAATCTTTTGGTCGTTTCACAGCCTTGGATCAGTTATTAAATTTGTCTTCAGTACGCATTAAGCAAGCATATCCAGATGTGATGGATTTTGCGGAGGGAAGACGTCATACCAAGCTGTCAAAGGGCTCGGCCGCTGTTTCCCAATTGCAAGATGTATCCTCCCAGCAGAGGCAGCAATCAAGAACTTCAAAGAAAGGGGCTGTTGTTTCCAGAGAAAAGCTGCAAGCTTCCTCGCTGCATCTCTCACCGCAATCATCAACAAAGTTGGATACTTACAACCCCGATCAAGCCATCTGGGCCCTAGTGACGCCACCTGGGTTCCTTGGTGGCTACAGGAATCAGGTGATTCGAATGTTTGGGTTGGTCTTAGGCGCAAAGAAACATGGAATAGAACAGGTTCTCCTTACATCGATTCTTTGGTCTACGACCACCAAGGAACGTGCGCCGAGACCGGTGCCAATGGAAGACTTGTTCGATATTGACCACTGGAACTATGTCGCCAAGACATCTCAATTGCCAACCCTAGTGTCGTCAATTCCAAGTGGAGACTGTTGGTCTTCCACTGCAGAAGGCTTGCGAGAGGAGAACCGAAACCTAACTGACAAACTTCACCGGCAGCAAGATGCACCTCTTCTGAAGCGGGTCCTGGAAGCTCCTAGATTCTTGACCCCCATTGCCAACATCAGCCTCGGTTATGTCACCGGCGAGCTGAGCATCAATCCCAGACGGTTTCACGTCTCTGATCAGGTCCAACATTGCAAACATCCACTGCCGTATGGCTATGGAGGCGGTAGAGGTGTCCTCTGGGTGAACTACATGGACTATAGTCGACAACGGCAGCGTGATGCTGCCTCGAAACTGGTCAAGCCGGATCCATTGGAACGGTCGTTCCTTCAAGCCCTTCGGCCCCTTCCCAAATGGCGACAATTGGCTCAGGAATGCGTTGCCAGTGGGACCGGCCATAAGCACTGGCTCGGCAGCAATACACCTTCTTACATTGCATTGCATCCACGAATAGAACTGGAAATGATGCTCCATTCATGTGGAAACTACATGAACAAGAACTTCACTCGTATCTTGGATGATGTTTCCAAGTTTCTAGTGCAACAGCGTCAACATGCTGACAACCATTCCTACAGGAACGTTTCTGGTATATTTGTGGCCTTTTCTCGGGAAGGTGCCTCAGTACAAGAAGGAAACGGGTATCGCAGGTTCCATGCTCATGTGGATCAAAACATTCAGACAATGGATCGCGTTCTCGGGAATGGTGAAACCCCGGGGCAAGGTATCCTGTTGCGGCAATCCAAGTCAAGCGAAAAGACGCGGGAGCAGCAACGTCTTCCGATCTTTGAGTGTGGTGATCGGCTGCTTCAAAGCCATTATGAATCACAATCCAACGAAACAATTGATTATGGGTCCCTCCTGCCTTCAATCATCAACTTCCAAGTGGCTGTCGAGTCTACGGCTTTCGTAGGTATGCGCTTTAGTTCCTGGTCCAACAGTGTTTGGACTACACGCTATTACCTGGGGCGTGGGGATGCAAACTTCGAGTACACAAGAGAGCGCGGTATCCAACCAGTTGGAAATGGCGGACTACCTCCGCCACATGGCAATTGTGATGGAATCCAAGACCCTGGATAGGCCACCAGAAAACAGCCCTTTCCTGGAGCTCTTTGCCTCACTTCAGCTCACCTGAATCTGAGCAATAGAATGGGAGGCGAGCGAGATGGACCGTGGGTAGGGGCAGGTCATCAGCTGTAAAGGCTGCCAATGATTGCTCCTGGATAAACAGCAGGAAGGGTGACTAGTGGTGCTTTCTCAAGCTGAAGCTCGCCGTCTCACCCTCAGCCAGGCCAGTGTATGGGATCCACACATCCAAACCGGAGGCAAGTTAACCAACCAACACATCCAAACCTCAGTGCCCAGCAGCTATGGTTGGTGCACAACAGCGCACCAGTAATTCCGTGCGGTTTCCGACTTTGGTACGCAAACAACACGGCATAAAGGCGAATGCTGATTCTTCAGGTTAGTCTAGCAGGAATCTTTACTTAGCATGCTTCTACAAGAGTTAGTCTTAGGGTCTTGTGTCTATCGGTTGCATTTGGGTGTAGTCGTTTACCTCCTGCTCATCGCCCATATCCACTACAACAGAAAACATGCAGTTGGAGGACAACAGCCACAAACAGACAAGAACAATGAAGCCCCCGTTACTTCCGCTGTACGTTTGCCACAATGAAGAGGCACTGGCTTGGATCCAAGACCACCACCCCTGAAACAGAACACTGAAGCATATCAGGGCTGAACACAGTAGACTTGACACAGATGTGGTATTGCTGGCAGAAGAACCGTTCATGAAATTGAGGCTTCTGACAGCCCCTAAGTTAAACTTTAGTCGAATGACGCATCTTGACGATGCCGCTGCATCTGTGGTAGAATTGACTGATTCCATTGCTGTGGTCGACATCTGACTTGAATATTCGCTCGGGGTTTGGCGTTGTTGCGTTGTGAAGCTGCTCGTGGGCTCAACCATTGAGATGGATTTTTGTGTGCGTGATGTGTTGTTTGATAAGATCGAAGCAACAATTGCATGCAAACGTGTGATGGAGTTGTTGCCCGTGCTGCCTCGTTCGTTAATTTTTGATCTGAAGGTCAAGAGAGCACCTAGCTGGACTCAACTACGACTGTACAGTACTGCAAAAGTTGCTTGGCAGGAGCCCATAAATCTCAATAGAGCAGAAGCTTTTGTCCCCAGGAGCGAATTTTGCCTGCTTAGCACAAACACGGGTGGTGAGGTTGACGGGGTAGCTCGCCTCTTTTTCGCTTGAGGGCGTTCGTGTTGTTTTTGAAGGCAGCTACCAGTACTATGTATACGATATCTGGCGGCTTCGAGCTCGCCAGTCCCACTTCGCAACCACAGCAAGGATGCAACCAGCCAGCCACGATCGGATGTCCAGATCCTCGGATACTGTGCAACGCATTTAGTTAATTGGCAACAACCCACAACTCAAAAAAAAAACTCTTCTTCTACCGGTACCCAGCTCATCTAATTGTGGCAACATGAAGCCCTCGTCTGCCTCCCTCTATCTGCTACTGCTGGCCCCACAGCTCATCCATGGTCAAGATTCTCAACCTGAGTGTAGAAACTGGACAAAGCCCATCTATGACTACAACCGTGCCCTGCAGCCAGCAGAAGATGCCTATCTCAGTGCCATGATAGCAAAGATTGAAGATGGCTGCTTTGATGCTAATGGTGTTGCCATTCCTTGCTCCATTGAATCAGCTTCAAATATCCCAGAAGCAGCAACATACGAAACCGAGTGCTACAATGGTGGAGGTAGAATCTGGACATACACCTACAGTCCTCTCTGTGGTGATGTCTCGAGTACATCGGAAACCTCTGTGAAGCCAGTGCTGGTCTGTGCCAGTGCCAGCTGTGCCAGTGTTGGTGCAAGCAATCTAGTGCCCCAGAGTGAGCTGAAAGAGCTAAAGAACAACTCATGTGCTTCAGGAGTCACTGATCTTGAAATGAAGGATCCACCAGAGCTTGTTAATGAAGGAAATGGGATTTCCCAGCCAGAATGTTACAATTGGACCCAGGCTCAGCTGTTCGACACCAATCCAAATATGAAACCAGCTGAAGATGCCTACCTGGAAATGGTTGCCTTGAAAATGCAGGCTGAGTGCATTGATACTGCCAGCAATACAGCCAAGGCCTGTGATATCGACTTGAGCGAAGATCACGAAACAGCCAAGAGTTACAAAGAGGAATGTGAGAAGGGTGGTGGTGTGGTTATCAGTTATACCTTGAATCCAAAATGTGATCCAGGTGGTCAGCCCGAGATGAAGGTTGCACCAATGTTGGTTTGTTCCAGTGCTAGTTGCTATACGGAAGGACAGGCCAACTTATATCCAAGACAAGAAGAAACATACAAGTATATGGATGAAGCTGGTATTAACTGTGGCAGTGGGATTCCCACGTCAGAAACTGAAGTTGTAAGCACCCCGAGCAGTGGCACAAACCTCCCTGTCGTTGGAAGCTTGTTGGGTGCCACATTGTTGGCTATTATTGCCCGCTTTGTTTGAGATATCTTTAAAATTCGGTTTCAGAGACTTTGTGGCTGTCACATGCGCCGATAGTCTTTTAATTAAAGGATCGACCCAAGGATGTTGCGGCTCTCTACTACTAGCTAGCTCGAGACGATTCGATTGAATCATTCCAGGAACAGCAACGACAAAGCCCTCGCATGGAACCCATGCGAAGGATTCATCAAAATCAGGTCGCGAGATCGTTCCAACCTGAATCTCCCATGAAACCTCTTGCCCGACGTGGTCCGATATAAAATCCAGACAATCAAAGAACACTTTGGGTAATGACAGAGGTCTTTGGCAAGAAGCAGCGGAGAGACTCGTTCCCACGGATCTTCCATGTTTTCGTTGGATGGGACTTCATCCTGAGGGGCCTCTGAAGCGTGATATTAGCACCGGTATGGCCGTTTCAATCCACGCCGTCAAAAAACTGTGCATTTGACCTGCTCATAGCTGGTGGTCACAGGTCGCAAAACACCTGTAAAGCGAATTGCCCGCGTCCCGTAGCTTGCTTATTTTTGATTCTAGCAAAAATTTTGGATAAATGAAGCTGCCTTGGTCCCTACCGGTACTAGTCTACGGAATCATCCTACCGAAGGCACCATGACTCCAACCAACTGGTGCACCCATACCCGTCGCACCTTTAAATGACGCCCTTGTCCAGATTGCGTTGCTTTGTGCGTATCACAAAAAGACAGCCTGTAGCTCGGAGCCTGTTTGCTGCTTGTCAAAAATTGTTGGGAAGAAGCACCAGCAAACTTGGTAATGTCAATCCAATCGTGTCCTCCCCGTGGCAAGTTGACTGGACTGGCCAACCCCGAGACGACCGCCCCGTTCCCTTGCAACGGTACCGCCACGTCGTTGATGGTCATGGCAATACTACGGCCCGCATAGACCACACCCAACCAGAGCAACTGCTTGTGGATTGTCAGTTGCAAGCGTTCGTCCGTATGGCAACCCGGCAACCGAAAGGCAAATTTTCGATCATCTCTCCCGGGCATGTCCGCCGCTGGAAAGATATTGGCAAGGTACTTTTCTTGGGCTTGTTGAAGCCTCTCGGGTGTGATGAGTGACAATGACGACGACGATGAGTTGATTAATATTGTGGGTTGCCATTGTGTAAAGGAAATAATCCGTGTGGATGGATTGCTCAAGAGGTCTGGCAATGACAAATAAGCCATGACATTATTAGTATTTGGTGCCATTGTTGTACCGGTAGGCAGTACAGCACTTGCTGCTTTCGCCACATCGCAGTTGGCCAAATTGTCGTAGATTGCATATTGAAGAATATCGGCAATCAGATGACTTCCGTTACAGGCAGGATGATGCCGATCATCCAAAAACTCTCGTCGATGTTTGATGAATGAGGAGGAAGGAATGATCTTGGATAAATGAGCCACCTGAATGGACATGCCCAGCTGACGGTAGTGCTGAATGACTTGGAGGGATTGTTGCAAAATGGGTCCTTCATGTCCCAATCCTCCCTCCAGAATGGCTGCATCTTTTTCGTATCCAATATCTTGTTTCCAAAGATAGAGAATTAGAATGGGTGGTAGTGATTCTTGTTGAGAAAAGGCGTGCTGCAGTCGTGTCAACCAAAAGCGTAGCATTTCGTGAGGTGATCCATCTGCCGATGGCGCGTGGTCGTTAATGGCATGTTCCCATATGATAAGATCAACTTGATATCGATCATTGTGTTGATTTCTTGGCAACAGCTGTTCCATCATGAGACCACTCCAAATGGAGGTAGTGCTGCCTTGAGCCATATTGTGGACTGTAACATCACGCGCGAAAGAAGACGGCCGATTCATGGCGGACTGTAGAAGGTTGCTATAGCGACCATCATGAGGATCTTCTTCTCCTTTTTTGGACCCACATGCTTCTGCCGGACGAGCCGATGAGGATCCTCCTAGAAGTACCACTTGTAGATTCAGTTTGTCGTTGTGGCTGTCGAGGGTTTGATGCCGTTGCCAGGCTGTCGTCAGTGTACACTGGTCCCATTTTTCCAAAAATCCTCTGTCAGAAATCTCATCCAGTGATTGAATCTCCAACAATTCAAATATATCTTTTCTTTGTTGTAGTCGTTGCAGCCCTTGTATAGCATCCTTGTGCCAAGCCTCATTTCCAGGAGTTCTACCATCGCTCAAGACTGTACCACTCTCATCGCCGGACAAGAGAACCCTGTCAGACAGCAAAACATGGACCGTCACCGCCACCACCAAACCACCCAAAAGGCACACCCAACGACTGTACGGCATTGGCAGTGGTCGCCTTCCAATCCTCCAAAGTCAGCACCATGCATCCATACCGGTACCTGGTACATGTGCGATGCAATCACAGCTAATAGAACTAAGCAACGACCCTCTTCACTCTTCTTGCTGGTTCTTCTGACGTGCTGCTGAACCCCCCCCCTCCAATAACTCAAAAACAAGAAGACGCTCCGAGTTCTTACAGTTCGGGTCATCCCATATTCTGCAAGAACCATGTGGTGGTACCGTACCGTACGTACTACGGTGTACCGGTACAGTACAATAGGCCCAAGTTGGCTAGCTAGCCCCCATCCAAGTTGACCCGTCCATGCTCGGTTTGTTTGCCATGAATGATGTCTATGTTACCAATTTAGACTGCCCAACCCTCCAAAAGCATGATGCCATCGAGGTCCTGGTGGCCTTCTAACATCAAGGCCATTGTCAATCTCGCCGAGAATATTTAGTCTACACCCCTTTGTATACGGTAGCCTATGCGGATGGTATGTTTTGCCCTAAAGTCCAAGACCTTATGCAATGACTGGGTGCGCTCCTACCGTACCGGTACGGTACTAGCTAGTGCTCGCAAATGATGGTTGTGCCACTTGGTTTCAAAAGCATCAGGCATCATGCCCCCAAGCTCGGCCCATGCTTGTACCGTACAGTTATCCCCGGATCCATTGAACCCTGTCCCCCGAGTTTCGTCTTCTACTAGTACTCCCTTTTCAAATGAGCTTGACCAGTGCTGTTGCTGCCTTCCGTACATCATTAGAAAATAATCCACTGCGTCTGTACTTAGCTACCGTACCGGTACAACGGTGGCTACTACGGTACACGTACATATGTAGCTCCTGGCAATGTAGCGAAACAAAAGCCCCCCTCAGTTGTACGACATCGATAGTTGTATCGTTGTATCCCCCCTCTAAAAGAAGGGCATCACGATTGTCTCCAAGTGTCGCCCGTTGAACAGTGTGGTGCCATGCCGGTAGGGATAGAGCTTATCGTCGAAGCAGTGTGCGTCAGTTTTCGTGAATGCCACAACCGACGATGAGACCGAAAGGGAGACAATGATGCCATAACCCGCCGCTGCCTAACACAGAGGGCACCGTTTCGTTACAGACGGGGGCACACCTCTACAAGAGTATCCTGGTTAACGTCAGGAGGAGTGTCGCGTCGGGAAAGAAAGAGCCATTACGATTGTGGTTCCGAAAGAAAAAGACGAAGGATTTGTACTTTGTGAGGCTGTGCTGCCTCCGCACCAAGCTGGAGTGAGGGATCTTGCTGCAAGCGGATCTGATTTCTGGACGGTTAGTCGGTCGGGCGTAGTCAGTCAAGCAAGATGGTTCGAGGTCGTCCACGTCGAACGACCCGGAAGACAACAAAATCCGAAGGATCGTCCACTGCTGGATCTGCCAATAACAGTGAAGATGAGGAACAACCCGATCGGGGAGAAGAGGAAGAGACGGAACCTCAGCAACCTACTCGTCGATCCAGGCGGGCCAGAAAGCCAACTACCAAAGCAGCTCAGGCTGGGGCGACGGCAAAGCGAGCTACTGCCAAGAAACCAGAGGATGACCAAGATGACACGGATGAACTGGATGAAGATGATAGTGACGATGAGAGCAACCAGAAAAAAGAGCCAATAGATGAGGAGACCGAAAAAATAGATGGGAAGGAAGGAGGATCTGAAGAAGGAGGGAGTGGGCCCAAGAAGGACACTGGCCAGGAAGAAAGCCAAGAATTGAAACAAGGGGATGATACCACAAAATCGGAAGAACAACAGGATGGGGAAGGAGATGATGATGAGAATGATGATGACAGTGATTCAGATTCAGAGGATTCGCAACCAATCATTAAACTGGCGAAAGGGGCCGCCAAAAGAAAGCTAGAGAAAGCGAAACCAAAGCAAAAAGGGAGGAAGGTGGCAAGAAGACGGTCTAGTAGGTCACAGTCGGGAGGTGAGGAGAGCGACTCCAAGTCAACGACAACGACAAAGAAAAAGCAAGCCCCGACAAGGCGACGGAAGAGGGCGGCCAGCAAAAGTTCCGAAGATGAGTCCCAATCTAGTAGCAAAGCGACAACAACTACCAACAAGAGGCGGAGGACGAGGAGAGCTAAGGGCCGAGAAAAAGGGGCAGATGACGAAAAAGGAGAGAGCTCAGATGATGAAGCACCTGATCCTCCAGAAGGCAAGGATCCACCCGCAGCTAACAGCAAAATGCCCAGTATCAGTGAGAAAGTTGAGGATTCCGATGCGTCTGGGGCAGCCAGTGAGGCTGAGGGTTTGCCTCCCACTGATGCTAGCAACGAGGGAAGTCGCATGGTACCAACGGGAAACAAAGATGGGGGGCCAAACGATACCAGTAGCACCGTAAATGACTCGGGGAAAGTCACGGGTGCGACCAAGAGCGATCCAGATGGCATCATAAGAACTGATGCTGGGGAGATTGGCCCGAAACAATCACGGGAGGGTAACGAATCGGATTCGGATGTTTCGAGTAAAGCTTCCGATGGCGCAATGCAAAATTTGCTGTCTAAGACACGTGGGACCTCATCAAATGACGAGATGTCGGTCATAGAGGAGGGCGACGAAGACGCGGAAGAAGAAGAAAGGGGGCAAGATGCAGAATCTTCATTGAACGTCGAGAAGGGGGCTATACCAGAACCACAAAAAGAAGCGTCACCAGAAACCACCAAGGAACCCGATGGGCCACCAACAGACAACAAACAAAGCATAGACAACCAGAAAGGAGCACCTCAAAACGATCCGCCTGAAACGGACTCTGTAAAAGATCGGCAACAAAACACGCAACCTGACACCGATGTAGCTGACAACGGCATCAATCAATCCAGTCTCGAGAGCGGCGTCGACGACGATGCCCGAATATCAGAAGAGAAGGAGGATGCAGAGGGAGATGGGGATGTCCCTACAGATGGTGATGTCGACAAAACACTCGTGCAAGAAGTTGGGGAAGCACGCCTGACTTCGAACACTGGTGAAAAACCCGATAACTCCAACGTTGAGACTACGAACACTGGCGAAGAACCCGATGACTCAAACGCCGAAACTACACAACATGCAACAAACCATTCACCTCCCGATCCTGCAGAAAAAATTGCAGGAGATAGTGGAAACGGGTCCTCAGACATGACAGTCAACCAACTCAAAACGATCGTGATTGATTCGGGGCCCGCTATTCCCGAAAAAGCGCCTTTGACATTGCAAAACAAAACGGCGCCGATAGACGGAGGCACAACGGTTGGCTCTGACACAGCGCTACTTCCTGTCGTTTCGGCGCCGAATGCACCAACGGAAAGCAAGTATCACGAGCTCAATAAAGCACCTCAAAATGTGCCCGTATCGGAAGAGGCTCCTTCCCTCGCCGTGGCGCCTGACGCTGCCACGAATAGTTTAGCAGTTAACGAAGCTGATGCTAAAACCGCCCCTGGAATTTCAGAGGTCGAGACGGCGACTCACTCTTCGGCTGATGATGAGACTGAAACACCAAAAGTAGAGGCTGATACGAAGTCTCCGAATGAGGACACCACAACTGAAGCCCCAGGTATGGACAACATGGCTAACACACCGGCAGATGATGCTGAGACTAAAACATCGGCATCGCCTGGAGAGACAGCATCCTCGCCAGCGACTCAACACACTGACACAACATCAGCGAACCTTGCGACTGAAGCCCAAACAGTTGTTACTGAGACCCAAACCTCAGATGTCGTCCCTGAGACCAATAACTCGCCAGAGCAAACTTCAGCAGAGGTCGTGCCTGCCAAAGACTCTGCGATGGAAGAGACCATCCCTGCTGGTGCTGAGGATTCAGCAGTGCACCCGACTAAGAAAAGCTCACCAGAGGGTACTGTGGCAGATGTGGCCCCTGCTACTGGAACCTCAGCAGACGACACTGATGCAGACGACACCACGGCTACGCAAGCCATAGCAGAGAGTCCTGCTACGAATTCCACAGCAGAGTACGGTAAAGCAGAGGTCGTCCCTGCTACTGAATCCTCAGCAGAGGACCCTGCTGGGAAAACTTTAGCAGTGGACATCGCTCCCAAAACCTCAGCAGAGGACGATAAGGCAGAGATCGTCCCTGCTGCCGAAACCTCAGCAGAGGATCCTGCTGGGAAAACCGAAGCTGTGGACATCGCTCCCAAAACTTCAACCGAGGAAGATGTTGAGGTTGTCCCTGCTTCCAAAGCCTCGGCAGAGGTCCCTGCTGGGAAAACCGAAACACTGGACATTGCTCCCAAAAGGTCAACAGAGGAAGATGTTGAGATCGTCCCTGCTGCCAAAACCAAAGCAGAGGACCCTACTGAAACTGAAACCAAAGCAGTGGACATTGCTCCCAAAAGGTCAACAGAGGAAGATGTTGAGATCGTCCCTGCTGTCGAAACCAAAGCAGAGGACCCAGCTGGGAAAACCGAAAACCTGGACATCGCTCCCAAAACCTCAACCGAGGAAGATGTTGAGGTTGTCCCTGCTGTCGAAACCAAAGCCTCAGCAGAGGACCCTGCTGGAAAACCCGAAGAACTGGACATCGCTCCCAAAACATCAACCAAGGAAGATGTTGAGGTTGTCCCTGCTGCCAAAGCCTCAGCAGTGGACCCTGCTGGAAAAACCGAAACGCTGGACATCGCTCCCAAAACCTCACCCGAGGAAGATGTTGAGGTTGTCCCTGCTGCCAAAGCCTCAGCAAAGGACCCTGCTGGAAAAACCGAAAGACTGGACATCGCTCCCAAAACCTCAACCGAGGAAGATGTTGAGGTTGTCCCTGCTGCCAAAGCCTCAGCAAGGACCCTGCTGGAAAAACCGAAACGCTGGACATCGCTCCCAAAACCTCAACCGAGGAAGATGTTGAGGTTGTCCCTGCTGCCAAAGCCTCAGCAGAGGACCCTGCTGGAAAAACTGAAAAACTGGACATCGCTCCCAAAACCTCAACGAGGAAGAGGTTGAGGTGGTCCCTGCTCCCAAAACATCAGCAGAGGACCCTGCTGGAAAAACGAACATGGAATTGCTCCCAAAACTCAACAGAGGAAATGTTGAGGTTGTCCCTGCTCCAAAACATCAGCAGAGGACCCTGCTGGAAAAACTGAAGCAGTGGATATTGCTCCCAAAACCTCAACAGAGGAAAATGTTGAGTTCGTCCCTGCTCCCAAAACAGCAGCAGAAGACCCTGCTGGGAAAACTGAGCAGTGGACATTGCTTCCAAAACATCAGCAGAAGAAGATGTCGAGGTTGTCCCTGCTCCCAACACACCAGCAGATGACGCTGCTGGGAAAACTGAAGCAGTGGACATTGCTCCCAAAACCTCAACAGAGGACGATGTTGAGGTAGTCCCTGCTCCCAAAACAGCAGCAAAAGACCCTGCTGGGAAAACTGAAGCAGTGGATATTGCTCCCAAAACCTCAATGGAGGAAGATGTTGAGGTCGTCCCTGCTGCCAAAACCTCGACAGTGGTCCCTGCTGCTACTACTACCACTGAAGAGGACACGGAGACAAAGGTCGACTCTGTAACTGAAACATCAGCAGTTGGCACACGCGCGAAAACCTCATCGTTGGACCCCGATGCTAAAAAGACTGCAGAGAACACTCCGAATAGCCACTCCGCAAACAATGACAAAGAATTGCAGGAAGGTCCACAAGACACGCCTGCGTCGTCACAGAACGAGCCCTCTGTACCCGGCACCATCAAATCACAGGACAAGGATAACGCTGTCGAAGATCAAAACACTACTGCAGCTTCGTGTGGAAACGACGAGATCGAGACAGTTGGAGTAGAAAAGGCGCACGTAACAGTGAAGCTACCAAGTGCTGCGGTAGACTCATCTTTGGGCGCTACAAGTAGTAGTGCGCTTGCCGAAAATGTCATCGAGGGTGGTGCAGTCAAAGACAAGAGCCTCACGCCCTTAATGTCGCCTGCACCAGCCGTTGACGCAAAAGATGAGCGCAAACTTGACAACGACGGCGACAAACCCGCAAGTGGCATTTCGGAAAAGAAGACAGCTCCAGAGGGCCACACGAACGACACTGACGAGAACAACTCTGACGAAAACAACTCTTCCGGTGATCATAACCCGGGTACGCAGGTCGAGAAATCGGATATTCAGAAGACGACTGACAAAGGAGAAGGAACGTCGGTAGGGGAATCGAAAGCCGCCTCCGGCGCCCAAGATGCGACTACAGCTGTTCCCACATCTCTTGGTCCAACTGCCAGCGGCGAGAGTACAGGTGCAGACAACGAAACGCCAAATGACGGAAATCAACCACCCCGTGTGGAAAGTATGCCCAAGGCAAGTGGTGATTCGGAGCAGAAAGTGGCAAATGCTAGCGGTAGTGCTGCCCTTCACGCCGTTAATTCTGGCAAGGAAGAAACGGGTGAGAAGAACGAGGTTCTGGATGTGCAGCCGGGCGTTGCAGCAAGCCAGCGAAACGATGTGGGTGAAGGCGGAGCTGGCGACAAGGATCGCGCGACGGTTGATAGCGCAGCAGGAAAAGAGACGAGCGGGGGAAATGCGCCAGATGATGTCGTATGTGAGAGCAAAGAAGTACCTGCCGTAGACACAAGTGATCAAGACAACGACTCGTTCCACACTCCCCTGGAGCACACTGAGGACGAACCGGTTGATTTTGATGCGAAGGAGAAGGAAACCAGCCAGGAAAAGACCGATCAGCAGCAGTCAATAGGTGCGGAAGTTGCCGAAAAGGCCAATCCAACGGCAGCTGCTCCAAAATCACACACTGATGCCCATATCACAGCAACTGTGGTCCAAAAGCCAGCACCGATTCCGAAGCTTTCACCCGAGGCCAGCGCTGCTCCGACAAACTCCAGCCCTCCTACCGAAGTTCTCGTCTCTGCAAACTCCCCAGTACCACCCATTGGAGGCAACACTGCTCATCCAGATGTATTGGCGGAAAAAGACGAGGGCTCAAATAGCCAGCCATCGTTGCAGCACGGGGACGACAAGCCGCCATCGTCCGTTCCCTACGGATCTGACACACCAAAGCCCGCTGAGGCAGAGGGGCCCGTGACGCTGAAGTCAGAGTCTCCAAACGTGCCTGCTGAACCAAAGCAACCTGTGGCCACTACCGCGAGCAGTCATGCCTCCTTGCCTGCAAAGAAGCAGCTTCCTGAGGCAACAACAACGAAGGCACCAGCGTCAGATTCAAACGCAACCGAAGCAGAGTTGCCTGCCTCGAAGGGCGATAGCAAAAGCGAAGTCGCTTCCACGAAGGTCGCTGAAGTTGAAACTGTCGAGCCAAGCAATTCAAAGGACGACACTGTTCTGCCCAAGGATGCGGATGCAGACAAGAAGACTCGTGAAGTTCTTGAGCCCGCAGCGTCGACAAAGGTTGATGCAACCGATGATGTTCTGTCTTCGTCGATTGCGCCTGTTGCGAATGTCGCGGACACAGAGAATAACGAACACTCGCTGGTGGCCTCACCACACCACCCATCAGAGGCAAGCGATCGTCCTGCTATGTCTAATGCCACTGGAGAAAAGAAGCGATCGAGAGACACCGAGGATTCTCTGACAGCTCAGCCCGAAGATTCACAACCCCACAAGAAAGCACGAACCCCAAATGCCGATACCGGTACTGATAAGCGATCACAATCTGCTGTTTCTGGAGATCCGACGAAGGTCGATGCGGTTGATGCTGCGAAGGGCGCGTCTGATTCCCTTGATCCCAGCAAAGGATCGTCAAAGTTGCCCAATGCTGTCCTTCAAGGGAAGACAGACTTAGCCTCCAAAGCACACACCGCGGGGGATACTTCTGCTGGAGCAATGGCGACGACCCCAGGCACTGCCTTGAATGAATCTCCTGGTCAAACGAAGATTGTATCGGAAGACAAGGCCGCTGTGAAAGAAGCCGCTTCGGAGAGCCAGGAAAACTCGAAAGCCAAGGCTGACGCGCAGGATCCTTCAGTCGAATCAATATTTTGGCCACCGAAGCCCACCGAGCCAGAACCACGAGTTGAACCCAAGCGCTGTGATGTTAATAGATTGAAAATGGCAATCTTCTCCGCAAGCAGCTTGGTGCACAGAGGAAGCGGTTTTGAGAAGCTTTTCTCTCAATATTGGCGTTCTCTTTCGTTGATCGTTGCCGCAAGGGAGAGCGATGACCTGCCCAAGCTGCGTGGTGTTGTAAATGCCTTTTTGAAGACCAGGAAATTGCAGAGGCTGCATAACAAATTGATCATGGGTAAGTCGGGTACAGCATTGGATTACTTCGATAGGTTGGATTTCAAGGATGCATCTCACACGCTTCTTGTCGGCCAGCCTTGATTCGACGTAGCCATCAGGAAATTGTTCCCGTCAGCGAAGTGACTGGTGTCGTACCATCGTCTTGCCGTGACAGGGTGGAGATCCTTCCCGTTGGCAAACGCAAACGTCCCAAGGAGGTAGTCAAGCCACCATCAAAAACGAAAGAGACGCTTGCAGTGCCCGACAAAACAGGACAGACATTTCCGCGACGACCAGCGCCATATGCCCTGCCTCTGTTCCAGGATGGGACACAGCAAGACGTCGAGCGCGTGCCGCTCGAAAGCGATCAGTCTGCTTCGATGCCTGGAGCCATGGTCGTCGATCCTCGTGTCCGTGAAATTGTGCATTCTGAGGGCATGCGTGTATCAGAAAATGCTGTTTGGCTTTTTGTTGTCGCGGTCAAGGAGTACGCTAAATCAATGATCAGCAAGACAGTTCAGTCTAAAGAAGCGATTCGAAAGCATCGGATACCTCCAAAACCAGAGTCTCGAACAATTCTCTGCAAACCAAACCCAAAGACAAAGGCAATCTCCAAAAAAGACAGTCACGACAAGAAGTCCAATGCGAAACGAAAAGTGAGCTTGGACCAAAACAGAGTTATCTCGGCTACCGATCTTTCGATGGTAGGGGGCAAGATGCAAATGGGCCCAATCGGTTCTTTGGGCGGGACGGTGTCACGGCTTGCATGCGAGCGTACAACTTTTGCACCAACAAACAGTAACAACGTTTTGAAAGGTGGTGCTTTTGACGAGGTTCGCAGCTTCTTAACCAGCGAGCTATGGTCGGCTTCTTTGGAAAAGCAAAATGAACTGAGAGGACGTCGTCTTCAGGCGAAAAGCTCAGCGTCGCCAAAGCCCCCAAATAACGAAGGCCAGAATGAGAATGCTTCAGCCAAAAAGGAAGACTTCTCTGCGCCCAAGCCAGCTGCAAAACAACAGACAACTGCCGCAGAGCGAAGGACATCGAGGTCGCCTGTCCCTGGTTTGGGAAGAGGAGGCAAGAATCTCGGTCTCGGAAGAGGTGCGAAGAATCTGGCAGCACTGATGGCGAGAACCTCCGCAGCAGCACCTAGACCCGCTAACCCCCCCAGCGGCGCACCCAAGCCAGCTGCGTCATCGGAGCCAGCTCAAAGCACCACTTCCAGTGCAGCAGCCGCTGCTGTTGAACCTAAGCAAGGTGCTACGGCGCCATCAGCAGCGGCCCCTTCGTCGACGGCTACGTCGGCCAGTTCAGCTGCTCCTGTCAACCCGGCTTCAGCAGTAGTTCCTGTCCCGGCTCCCGCCCCTGCTGCTGCTCCTCCAGCTGCTGCCACCCCCCCACCTCAAGATCAACCTGCCACCACCCCGGAGAAGAAAGGCAACCCGAATCAAGTCGTCAGACGTGGCCGAGGTCTAGGAAAGAAAAATCTGGCTTTCATGAGAGCACGAGTACCGGCAGTGAAGCCAAATGAAGCCAGTGACGATGGTGGAAACGCCAAAACAGGCAACGCCCCGGCCCCAGGTGGAGGCCCTGCACCAGCAAACGTTTCACCTCAGGCGTCGACAGCAGCGACCAGCGCCTCTCAGAATGCGAGCGCTACAGTGGCGCAGGCTACTGCACAGACACCATCATCTGTTTCTACCACCCGTCAGAGCTGGGCGGGCCCGCAGGGTCCCCAGCAGTTTGCCACTGGCGTTTCTGCAGCAAGTGGCAACACCATGATGAATGCAATGGCACCGAGTAGACCCGGTACAATTCCCGCTGCCAAACCACCAGTCCAGGTCGTCAAGCCTGTCAATGGCCAAGGGGGCAAGAATCTGAATGCCATGATGCCTCCACCTGCTACTGGTCGCTTGCCACAAAATCCTTCAAACCAAATGGTGGCGGGAACTATCCCGCATGCGGGTAACGCCATGCCCTCCAGCGCAAACCAACCGAACCAAAACCAAAGCACGAATCCCAACAAACCAACCCAAGTCCCTCCACAATCCAACCTATGAATCTAATAATGATGGAAGTCGCTTGGAATTATTGCAAGCGAACGTACGAAAAGCAAACTAAACTTACGATACGAGTACGGGGAAGCCAATCCAACCTACTGAGGCCGGGGATCCAGAATTGGAGAGAGGAAATAGCTAGACGAGCAAATGTCACCAATATAATAGCCTGTACAATATAGAGTTCTTTCATTAGTGCTTTTTTAAAAGCGTGTTCATCTCTGGCAAGGCAAGGGAATCCCATTGCCATCACCTCTGTAACAGTGGGATCTATGGCTAAAGATCCAAGTCGAATAGAATGGAATAGCTCAATCACGCCTCGAGTCATCGAGTGACCTCATAGAGAGTTCGTAGATTCACTAAATAGAGAAATTTCCAGATCACAGAAATATTAATAAACAATAAATAGAAATATTAGAAAAATAAATTGACGCAAAAACAAAATTATTAAGTAATTTTACAATCAAATTATTAATTTTAACGAATACTTCAATTCGAAGGTTTTCTTATTACTGGCATTTGGGACACAGCGGCGGATGCCTCGCTCTTCTTCGTCGTTCAGCAGTCAGCCACAAGCAGCAGTACAGTTGGACGGACGGATCCAAAGCGACAGCAATAAGAGACGACCCCTTCACAAAGTTGTGCCGAGTGACAAAGCGACGATGGCTGCCCGAGAGCCCGTTCCGCTTCAGGCGGTTCCCTACGAATGGAACGATGCCGAACCTCCTCCAACCGAAACGCTGAACCAATGGATTGAAGTAGGCAATGGCATTGACAAAAGCCAAACTGGTAGGTTTCATGACGATTGCTCGTTGCTTCCAGTCATTCTTCCTGAAGTCTGTCGGAGAAAGCTAGAATATTCTGGTATTCTTTGGTTGGTCTGGTGGTTAGACTGTTCACAATGGCGTTCATTGGCTGGAATGACTTTGTCTTAATATCCACGCTTCGTTCCATCACCTCACACTCTCTTGTACCTTTTCTTGGCTTGGTTCAGTCGTCTGGAAGAGCGCAGTGGAGTCACTGGAAGCCTCTCAGAAGCATCTTCGGACTTCTGAAGATGCTCGAGCTTTTGTGGAGAAGTACATGGGTTCTATCATTGGGATTCTTGTAGAACAGCAGCCATCGAAAATTGGGCCTCATGAACGCACTTGTGTCCAGGACAGTCTAAAGTTAGCTGTGGCAATCGTGGCTCTCGACTTGGATATTCAGCTGAAGAGGAAGGGAGAATGCAGACTCTTGGACGTGCTTTCAACTGTCTTCAATAAGAAAAAGGCATACTACAAAGGAAACAAAGGAAATTGGAACGTCAATCACATGGTAGGGCTCCCAGAAGTCAGGCTCAAGATGATTGATAGCTTTCGTCAGGAGCATGGATTTGCCCTCCTCAATCAATATTTGGTGGAGCGCATCAACACTCCGCTATTCCCCAAACTCGAATCTCTTCATATAATCTTGCAGGCGATAGGAGATGCGGTGCCAGGTCGTACGCCTGGAACAGATCATGGGCAGGCTGCTATGCAGATGGAAGATGATGCGATTGCTGTAGCCAAAGCTGTTATGGAATTCATCAAAGGCGCGAGCGACGAAACGCTGAAGAAAATCCCAACAGATCATCTTAGTACCATTGTCCATCAGCTCCAGAAAATCTTTGACCGGCTCATATCCTCACGGAGACGCAGCACCTACGAATTCTACGAGTTTTGGAGAGGTCTCATACTGAAACTGATCACATCGCAGTCACTTCCTCTGAAACTTTTTGGATGGGAACAAATGAATGAGGTCATTGAAGCTAGTGGCGATCATGCACCCCCACCGCGGTCTTTTATCGTGACAAACGCTGGATGTACCTTTGTCAACGGTGGCTACCAGTTTGCGGGCGAAACGACGGACGATGGATACCACCAGAGAGGAGTAGAAATCAGTTATGTACGGCGTGTTAAGGAAGGAGATGACGGAGCAGGAAAGAGCCTTACTTTGTTTCGATGTACCATGCGGTCGCAGCAAAAGTGGTGGTTCCTTTCGGAAGCTGACGAAGAGCAACCGGGAACGGACCGAGACATTGACTACTACCAGCACAAGTCCAAGGAGCATGAAGAGATGGAACCTCCCGCCGCTGGTTGGGTGACCTGCCGAAATGCCGGTATCGACCCGCCACCCAATTTGCAGTCGCAGGGTCTAATGGTGCCTGCTGGCGAAGAACGAAACACTTTGGAACACCAGCTCGCTAAATGGGCTATTGAAAACGGCATCATCGAGATGGTTCTGGGCGACTCTGTACATAGAGAGATCGTCGCTCGATCCACAGCATTGATTAAGTTTCTTGCACAGATGTGCACCAAATATTCTGGTAACGACGGCGGAAAAGGCAATCCGGAGGAGTTCTGTTTGCGAACGACACACCTTTTGCTCGCTTGGAAGACGTGTACTAGAAAAACGGATGCTGCCGTGTCGGCCCAAGTGTACCAATTGCTTGTGTCGATTCTCCCTTCCTGCCCCAGCAGCCTTGCCATCCCCTTGCTAAATGCCGTTCAGAATTCATTGACTGAGAGTGACGAAAAACAGGATCATTTGAATGAGGTTGCCGACTTTTGCTCAGCGTTGGCACAAGCAAACCCTGCCGATGTTAAGCCTGGACAAGGGCTGATGCTCACCGTCGAGGTTCGGGCTGAGGTGTTGAAGCTGCTTTGGAATGTCCTAACCCACCCGGACGCCAACACGTTGAAGACATACGACAACCTTAAGCGCTACGTGACGAACGAACTTCGAGTAGAGCCGAAAGGAACCGAGCACAGGGAGACTTTTTTGAAGTCATGCCATCACGCCCTCTCCGAGAGTGCCAACAAACGCGAGGGTTTCGTGTTGGATGAAGTACAAGCACTGAGAATGGTCAAATTGACTAGATTCGTCCTGGAAGCGTGCCCAAGAGAACAAGCTCATAGATTGGTAACGGACTCCACAGCCTCCTTGCCGGATCTTCTATTCAACGAGCTGACTGCCTTCTTAGAACGCACAAAGAACGACACCACTGGAAATGCTTTCCGAAAGGTGAGACTGGTCCCGGTGCTTAGCGGGAAGGTCGAATCAAACAACAACGGGGTGGAACTGATCCCTGTCCTTGCAAATTCGTCCCAGGCGCCTGTGCATGGCGATGCATCCGTGGCCCTTCCTGAACGCCTACGAATTCTGCGATACGTGTATGGGTTGTCAGATCTCATCGTCATGTCGAGCACACAGCTTCACACGCTCTGGAACTTGTGCGTTCGACCAAGCGACAGAGAGGAGCTGATGGTTTTCATAGCTAGCGCTGCTGGTAACGGTGGAGGAATTGCCCAAGCAGATGCACCAATGGGCCCCAACAACTCGAACGCTAGTCGGCAAGAAGAGTTATTGTCTGCTGCATTCACCGAGGATGTTTGCTCAGAAGTATTCTTGAATTTGTTCTGCGCACCAGACCTCAGCTACGACGAGTTCGGAGAAAGCGCATACAAGAGCTTCCAGTTTCTGTTTCAACGGGTCAGAGGAACGCCACATGCCAGCGGGGCAGCCTTGGACGCATTATGGCGCATTTGTTTGACAGCCGGGAATAGCGCTGTTGCGAATCATTCAATGAAGGATCTTCTTAGCGTGTACATGTCAGTTGGTATGCCAGACGCCGCACCAAACGCGTGGACGCAGAGACAACAGAAAGCAACACCAGACGACAATTTCAACTTTGGCGAGCGAGTTTTTGACTGTCTTTCAAATGTCAAGAAAGCTCTCAACGAAGGCCAGCCTGGTGCTGAGCGTTCTGCCGAACGATGTCTTCGAATCCTCAATGCAGCTATCGGACAAACCACAGGAACCATTGGTTCATCAATGACGTACTCCACCCTTGCTCGACTATCTTCCATTCAGCTCGACTCCGGCCTCGAGAGTGTCATGAGATTCATCCCCCACGGAATGAGAGGGCAAGCATGCTATCGACGAGTAGGCATCATGGCGAAGCGTCAGCTGCTAAGCAATCAAGTAGGTCCAAACTACGTGAATAGGGATGACAATCTTCAAGGACCAAGCCAGTCAAAGAACTCCACAACATTACGCTTTTCCATCGACGTTCACCCTTTAGAGACGTCGGCCTCAGTCAAGTTCAAGGTCGCCGCATACTGTCATTGCAACGTGCGATCGGTGAAACCTGTTTCCGTCAGCGGTCGAATGGGGAGCAGTCGAGGTCCAGGAGCAGACTCCCAAATGAGCTTAAATGTAGTGCCGGATGATTCGGTCATTGATGAATTGGGAATAGTTCAAGGCTCCGAGCTTGTCTTTCAGATTGTCGAGCGGCCGATACAAGCGCATGCGAACGCAAACAAAAATGCCAAGTACAATCGAACTCGAGATCTGAGTGACGTGTTCTTTGATGACGATGGCCGCTTTGCAGACAAGCTTTTCATGACATTGCTTGGTGTTTTGGAGGCGTTACCATGGCGAGAACCGGATGTATCAATGACAGATGCCCCTTCCACCTTCCTGGATACGCACACATTGGTTTGGGATCTTTTGCTGGCAATGCCCACAAATGCAAATATAGCCGCTCGGGTGCGATCCATGTCCAAAGCGGGGGATAACGCATCGAGCGATGACGATGCAATGGACGTGGACTCGCCCAGAGAAGCGTGGACCAATTTGCTCGACCTTCAAAGCTTTCAGAGGTCGGTCTACGTCTTGTTGGCACTAGATGCTTTCCTCCAACCATCAGTGGAGGTGTTGTCAGTTTTGCCGAATGAGCAAAGAATGATTCTGGAACGTAGCATGCAGGAGGAGTCAACATCTTTCCGACGGACGTTCATTGAATCAGGCGGGTTCGATGCCGTCGTACGTTTCTTTTCAGAGTCTGAGAAAAACACAAGTTTGAACCAAAGTCGGAAAAGAATGGGCAATGCTGTGGCGCTTCGGGTACTGAAATGCTGCTTGTTCGGCAACGCCAGAGTCCCGCGGCCGGCAAACGACGGTAATGCCACAGGTTCCCCAGACGAAGTTGGAAGTCATCTCCTGTCATCACTCTCTGATGCCGAGGGCCTTCTCAAGAGTCTAACATCTATGGTCGTTGGAGATTCAGGAATATCCACATCTACAATATCTGACATTCTCAAGTTCTTGCGGCTTCTCTTCCGCACTCACTCTACAGCACAAACCTTTGTTGCCCTCCCCGGTGGTACTGCCGAGCAGTTCCTGATCACCTTGCTCATGTGGGAAGGAGGCCCTGAGCCAATACGAACAAGTTCGTCTGTCAGCGCTGCCAGCAAAATCCGAAAGAGCACCCATGAACTCATTTTGCAAACACCCATCCTCGCTGATAATGCCCTCCCTTGGCTAATCAGAGCGATCGATAAGATTGATGTTTCATCCGACTGCACCTCTGAGTATTTCGACGTCCTGCAACGACTGGTTGGAAATGACAAACCTAATGCTCGAACCAGGAGTGCGTCGGACGTCGAGTTGCGTGATCTGGGCACCACTGTTTGTAAGAAGGTGGCCTCCTGCCCACGTCCGACAAGCGAGAACTCTCTGCTGGACAACTCAACTGGAGTGCTTTGTGGCTGCCTGGCGCTTCTGAGGGCGCTTATTGAAACGGGCGGAGGCGCTGTGTTGAAGCAGGGGACTGACATTCTCGTCAAGGAAGTTGGTGTTGGACGGTGGTCGGAAATGATTGGGTCAGGTTCTGCACCAAAGGGAATCTTCGCTTCGCTTTCATTATCTTTCACCAGCTCAAGCTTGAAACCAGAAGATCTTGCATTGATCGACCTCATGGGGGCTATATTCGATGGATTTCTTTCGCCTGGAGGTTCTACCTCCGTGGTAGCCATCTGTTCCGACAAGGAGTCGCGCCAACGCGGCTTCGACGTTGTTGGCGCTGCTGCCAGGTTTTGCAGCGGCGGCGAGGGTTATCTTGCACTGGTGTATCGGATCAACGAGCTAGTTGAATCTGCCGCACCATTCGTGCGCCACAAATGGGGGCAAGTTGGCAGCATGACAGAAGGGCACTCCCGTAATGGCAGAAACACCTCAAAGTACTCTGGGTTGCGCAATCAAGGATGTACCTGCTACATGAATTCAGTCCTGCAGCAAATGTTCATGATGCCGGAGCTTCGCACGAACATGTGTGACGCCCAACTGCCATCGAGTCTTCGGTCGACTGGAGGGGTCATTTCTGCCAAGGGCCAACAGCTCGTCGGCAAGAAAGTCTCTATGCAGTGGGAGAGTGGTGTTTCGTACGATGCAATGGTAGAGAAGTTTGACGAAAAGACTGGCATGCACACCATTCGATACTGTGCCATGCCTGTCGCAACTGTGAGCGGCACGGGGCAAGAACAACTACAAGGGCAAGAGATTGCACGTCTCCCTCCTTTGTTGGCGGACGAATTCTTCTTGTCAGAAGGTCGACCGGGTAAGGAAACAGGAGTGTTTGAGATCGTGAACAACGTCACCAGCGCTGGGGAGCAGTCGGGCGAGGTTGAAATGGAGGCAGCACCGGAGAGCGGCGAAATCAAAGAGTCCGAGGATGAAATGTCCTCTCGTCATCTCATGGAAGAAGTGCAGCGCACTTTCATCAATTTAGATGAAGGCTCTCGCGGTCGATGCTTCGACCCACGAGCGCTCGTGGAGGCGTGTGCCTGTTTGAAGCTAGAATTTGACGTATGGCAACAGAATGACGCGTCGGAGTTTACGACGAAGCTTTTGGATCGACTCGAAATTGCACTCAAGAAGTGGGCGCCCGATAATTTCCAGTACATGGACCACACCTTCGGACTGAAGACAACCAAACAGAAGATTTGTAAAGAATGCGGCTTGAAGGTACGTCTGATGTTACGACCATTCTATTGTCTCGAAAATATCCATGCGTGTTTGCTGTATCCTCACGTGGTTCTGTAATTTCTTTTGTCGCACACACACAACAGACCAACCGAGAAGAAAAGCTGTTGAACATTGACTGCCAAATTAGAGGGAAAACTGACATCCATGAAGCTCTCGCTACAATGACCGAAGTGGAAATCATGGAAGGAAACAATAAGGTGTTTTGCGATCGCTGCAAGAAGAACACTGACACTGTGTTGCGGACGGCACTGTCGATGCTCCCCAACATGTTGATCCTCTCGCTGAAGCGGTTCGATCTGGATTACAACACCTTTGAGACTGTTAAGCTGAACAGTCGTTGCGCCTTTGGCCAAACTCTCAACATGAAGCGATACACGCTCGAAGGACTCGAGGCAATGGAACAAGGGGGCTACGAAAATGACGACGGCGGAGTAGCGCCCATGGACACAACGGCTGGCGGTGCTGCTTCCGTCAACGACCCTCTTAGCAAACTATCCGACGAAGACTATGAATACAAACTTGCTGGCGTGCTTGTTCATGCTGGAGTCGCCCAAGGTGGCCACTACTACAGTTTCATCAAAGACCGCAACCCTGGGTCGCAGGAACAGTGGTATCGGTTCGACGACGAAGACGTTACCCCGTTTGACCCAGCCTCAATCGAAGTGGAGTGCTTCGGGGGGAAGGTGAAGAAGGAAACGAAGTGGCCAAATGGACAAGTGCACACTGTGGAGAGTGAACAGTACGCGAATGCCCTCATGTTATTCTACGAAAAAGTGAAGCCTACCGATGTGCCGCCTCCGGATGCGGAAAAGGAGAAAGAGAAGGAAGAAGAGAAAAAGATGCCTGTTGTTTTGAAGGACATCGACACGTCAAGCGGCTATGATGTCTTTGTCGGCGACGTTCGACGGTCGAATGCAACCCATCGATGGCAAACCTTTCTTTTTGACCCCGAATTTCAAGTTTTCCTCAAGGGATTGCTTGGGTTGTGCCGCATGTCGAACTCGGAAGACCCGACAAAATCTTCCAAAGGAATTGTGTCTTCGGAAAACACTTGGAAAGCGCCTGTGATCCAGATGTTGCTCAGCTTCTTCTTCGACATCATGCTCTACTCATCCAGCAGACCTTACCTGAACGATTGGATTGCCATGATGGAGCAGCTATTTGCACTGGACCGTGACAGCGCCTCACTCTTTGTACAAAGACTTGCACAGAAGACGCTAGAAACGAGCCCGAACTGGCTGCGGACATACCTCATTGAGTGCCCGGACCAACCTGCACGCAATGCCGCAGTTCGAATCTATAGCGCCGCTGTGGCTTCTTGCATAAAATCCGAAGAAGAACAGCAAAAGATGATCGCGTGGGCACATGCATGGAAGGATGAGCTCTCGAGCTTTGGCCAGGGACCACCGACTGCGCTGCCTACAATGCTACGAGACAAGAGGAAGCACATGGAGGACCCATTTGGACCGCGCTCAAAATCAACTAGTATCGGCCGACTCATCTCCTACCTCAACGTTTTGATTGAAGTTCTTCCTCGCTATTGGAGATATAGCCCGGAGCTGGCCTGCTTTGCCAAAAATTTGGCCTGTATCGACGGAGAGTCCGGTGGTCGTTCGATCCGAAAGGGCATGTTGCAAGCAATGATCCCTGCACGACTCATTGCACTGGTGACGCGCGAACGGTCCCACCATGCGATGAGGGCTGCCTTCCCGGGTTCATCAGTGTCGGTTGAAACAGCGGAAACACAAATGAGGCCAGAATCCAACCCTGTGGCACATGTGATGCCTCTCAGTGGAAATCATGTCATGACTCCGACAGATATGAACTCTCGTGGGAACGGAGCACCAATGCCGACTGAATTCATCTCTGTCTTTGAGGCTGTCGGCTGCCTTGGCAACATCCGTGGCATGCACCAAGTTCCTCTGGTTGTGGAAACCGAGGAAAACACCCGGGGGCGTGCTCGGGTTGCCCTCAGCAAACCCGTTATGGATGCTTTGTCTACGATATTCACAGAATCCTGCGCACCTCAAGCCCCTGGCATGGGTCAACGCGAGATTGAGAGCTACCTGAACAAATGCGGTGTCGACTCCTCGTCGGTCCCAACCCAGAAGATTGTGGACATTATGGCTAAGTACCCTAGTACAGGAGGTGGCAACGGGTCCAAGGGCAGCTATCTCAGTCTTGAGGGTTTCCTAGCGTACTACAGAGACACGGCACAAACGAACGAATCCAGGGTATGTCTTGTGCGTGTTGTCTGTTGAACTCATTGAATCGAATCATTCATCTCCGCCCCAACTGACATTATCTATCTTTTCTCGTCGCTTCCACGAAGGTTCGACAAGATTTACACACATTTGGTTTTCGACCAGACTTGTCTCGCCGTTCCCACATGGCTAGGATCAACCCAGACAAGGACCAGATGAGGCCAGCTTCCGAAAGCGTCGCCATTGATGTTGCCAGCAATTTGTCCGCCCCTGTAAACTGTGGGCCGCTCGCTGAATACGCTTTCGATTCATTCCAATTCTTCCAAGTAGCTTACAGTGCTAGCGAACCAATGGCCGAGTATCTTGTGGCCGGTCTCTGCTACAGTCGCGAGGCGGAAAAGATCATCTTTGCCACGTTGAAAGCAATTTACCAGGCGCCAACAGGATGGGGTGGCAACGAAACTTTGAGTGCTGCCATAATGGTAAGATATGGCTTTGTTCATTCTATCGGTTGTTTCGCCTGCTTGGCCCCTGAACATTTCGTTGCTTTGCAGGTTTTGAAGATCCTTGCGTCCATTCCGGATGACCACCAACAAAAACGAGTCATGTTCATGTTGCAATGCTCCGAAAAGCCAGCTCATGGCGTTGAACACGGCGCAGGATTGCTTGTGGCTGCTAGAGCCTTTCACCAGGCAAGGCCGAACCAGCCGTACTCGTCCGAAATGCATTATGCTTTTGACAGATATGTGTTTGTGACAAAGGAGTTGCTTCGTGTCAAGACGATTCTGCAGTGGCTGCATGAGAACCGAGGAAGCTGGAGCTTCATGGAACGAGAATTGCTGGAATCGCAACAGCATGGCGGCGGACGTCACGGTGGTCAAATGCGAGGTAAGTAGAATGGTGTACGAGGAGTTGAACAGATGCTCTCATCAACTGACCACCGTCACTGATTCTGGTATGGCAGGCATGCATGACTCTGAGGACGATGAAGATGACGATTCCCGGTTCGAGGAGATGGACACGTACCACGATGTGCCCTCTGAGATTGGGGTTGAAGGAGCTGGGCAGGCAGCTGTGAATGGCACCTACATGCGAGATGGCTTTTTTGAAAGCGCAGCAAAATACTCCATGCAGGGGAAATACAATGGAGAGGCCTGTGTTTTCCAATTGTTTCAGTGCAATGTAAGCAACAACACAAAGCACTGGTACATTTCCATTGTTCCTAAACACAGCCAACCAGGAACAAGCACGGATATCGACTTTTACTCGGCGCCAGTGCTGGATAACTGTACGGAGTACCCGCCGCCGGGAACTTGGACCAAGTCAAATGAAGGGTTGGACCCACCACCAAAGCTCATTTTCCCGCCTTCACCTTCTTCTCCTCTGCCTTCGTCTGAAGAACGCGGAAGAGGAACCTATATCTAGTGATGTGCAGGACTGTAAGATCATAAAGAAATCATTTTTTAGACGTGTGGTATTTCTGCAACGTTCATCTTGCGATAGTTTTGTCGTCAAATAGTGAGCTTTCAAGGCTCAAGACATTTGGGGCAACTTATCGAGGATTGAATCATTCTAATAATATGAGTGGTCTATGGAAAAACTATGGAGTTACAAACGAGTTATTCTACCGGTGCCAACGGAGACGACTTGACTTGTAAACCTTTGATTTCTGGCCTCAGAATCTCAATCGCCTTCTGAACATGTTGGGTCGGCAGCTTATCGATCCGCTACAAGTCTCTTGCTCTGCAGCACCGCGAAAGCGTCATCAATGAAATCGAGGTACAACTAGGAGGAAGGGATTGTTGTTAGCGTTCGCCAGGACTGAGAGAATTCAAAAAACGGCGCTCATCAAATAATAGTCTACTCACTTTCTTGTCAAATGAACCGCGGAAAAAGTTGCAAGACAGGTTCACCTCCAACAAACAGACCGGTAAGTCAGGGTCGGCACTCAATACAACATCCCATCCCGCGAAAGGAACACCGGGACAGAGATCGAAATGTGACTTTTCCACCAGCGCCAACAAATTCTTGATATCTGGGACAAAATTGCCTGGTGCAAACGACACGAAGCATTGTGTGAGCATCGTGCTTTGCATCATGAGTAGTGAGAGCGTTTCCATTTATGATACTCACCGGAAACCGGAATGTCTCCATCGGGATGGAGCTTGTAGTCATGTTGAGATCGCCAAGGACACCGGCCTGGAATTGCCTCCAAAATTCCCGTTCGATACCAATGAGCATTGGTGGTACCACCTCGAATCAAACCAGTGGTGACATCCACGTCAAAGAGGATGGAGGAATGATCCGTGTCGGCTCCGGCACGTCCAGCCCGAAAGACGCAGCTGAGAGACTTGACGTCCTGCACCGTTGCCTGTTGAGACAAATCCAAGGATGCTCTGCTTTGCGTAATGACACGAAAGGTCGAAAGCGGGGCATTGGGTGGGAGTAATGTGGAGACCCAATCACTATTGCTGATTGTCTTTTGAATGATCCAGTCTCCTCCAGCAGCTGCATTTTTGTAAAAGTAAATGCCCAATCCTCCTTCTTCGTTTTTGTGCTTGACCACAAAGCCTGGGGCTGTCAAGTAGGGTGAGACTGGCACGCCTCGTTTCACACCTTCCTCCAAAAACGTCCATTTGTTTTCCATTTCATAATCGGCTGGACTGTTGTTCAACAAGGCATGCAATCCGACCACGGTACAATTCAGTCGCCAATAACTGAACCAATCATCCGGTGCCAAGAGTCGAGTGGCAAATTCTCCCGAAATACTGGACTGGAACTTGGACATGAACCACTGATGAAAGGACGCCACCAAACTAATGGCTGGATAGGCCGTCGTGAGGAATCCCAACCCCAGGAGACGGTTACAGGCGACCCAACTCAACTTGATGCCGGTTCCAGGAATGGCCACATTTTCCAAGTTGTCGACCAAGTCTTCACGGTACGATCCCTTGCGGTAATGTGGTTTATTGTACAAATAAAACTGAGATGCCAGGGCAAACAAATGAATGCGAGCATTCTGTTTGAAGAGCAAGTCCTCGTCCGTGTCTCCTGGAGACGGCCTCAAGGCTGCCAATGTCGCCTTGTTCAAGTCTGCCGAGTAATCGAAATTTCGACCAGCGCCCAACAAATAGTGAAAGAGCCCTTGATAATAAGTGAGCGTATGGTTCGCCAAACGGACTGGGAGCGAAAGAACTTGGCCCATGGTGACTTGCTTTTTGAAGATTGTTTTTGTGGAAGCCTTTCTTCAGAGTAATTTTTTAATTGAAACTTTAGTTTGTGAGCCAGGAAAAAACAACAGATGACAGAGCCTCTGCTGTTGTGGTATGCCGATGATGTACTTTTGTCTGTGCTGGTCTGGTCTCACTCAGGGAATGCGCTGTTGTAGAACAAAATCATTGCTATGTCATTGTGGATGGTGGATGAGAAAGCTGATTGACAGTCATTGCCATGACGTCAGTGTGTACGAACCGTATCGAATAGTTCGAAATATAATTCGGCCATTCGAATACCACTCCACGCTTGCAAACGCCCAACGAAAACCTGAACACGATCCGAAGCAGAACCGTTCAAAGATTTCTTTGTCGCCCATCGTGGACATTTATCTCAAGTCCACAAGTTGCTGTTTGCATTCAAGGTGTATCAATTACTGCTATTGTTGCTTGAACGATGAGCCAGGAAAAGCGTCCCTTCCCCCCTGACGACTCTGCTGAGGAGCTGGAACAACCAGAAAAGGCCGAGGCGAAACGCAGTCGAGTGGAATCCGTTGTCAAAGCTGCCAATCCCAACAACAACCAGATTGGCATTGAAGCGGCACGCGAGACTCTCTTGAAATACTTTAGGTTGGCTGAATCGAAAGATACCCGTAGAGGTAAGCTCTTTCCATTGGGCCATGCGATGAGTCTACCGGTACTGAGGCAACATCCATCGTTGGCGACTAGATCCTTCTTTGGGAAAACAATGCTTCCCTTCTTCTTGCGAGCTGGCGCTTCCAATGCAACCATCCAGGAGCTGTGTGCCATGTGGAAATTAGTCAATCGTCGGTATGACAAAGAGTGGACTAGGATCGATCAAGATACAAAATGGTGGCGTGATGGTTTTCAGCGGCAGCCAAACTTGGTGACGGATGCTTGCTTGTTCTGCTCCAATCCAGACACAATTGAGTTTGTTGCAAAAGCATTCCCAGACATGGCCAATGAAGACGGAGCAACTCCACTGTTTCTTTTTCTTAAGCGATGTGACCGCATTTGCCAGGGACTTGCAGATCAGTATGGTTGTGAACCGCCTCCAGAGGACAACCAAGCCAAGGAAATCTTTCAAATGATGTTTGAATGCAGTCAACCCAAAAGAATGGATCGGTGGAGCAGTACTACAGAGATCATTCTTGGGCGTTATGGTGAGGGCTTGTCTGATCTTCTTGCCAAGACCATCTCCAACGCCTTTGATGTTAAAACGTTGATTTTTCAGCGCTGGGATAGAAAGGCAGTGCAGCGCGCCAAGTTCTTCCTTCCAAAACTTACTCACTTTGACCTGTCTGGTATTCACAACTGCAATGAAGACTTCCGCTCTATACTGGGCATGTTTTGTGAGGCGAAGCCAGCCATGTTGGAAATACTGACTCTTCCTGTGCTCTTTGAATTTATCAACCAAAATGGAACTGATCTCTTTGCCAAGGCCATGCAGTCATGTCCAAACCTTGAGAGCCTCACTTTGGTACCATTCCAGGCAAATTTGAGTTCAACTACTGCCACTGATGCCCAAGCACTTTGCTCACTCTGCGGCGACATCCTTCTCTGCATGACAATGGACCTTGCATTCTTTCAGGTGCCATTGCTCCCACTCACTGATGGCCCGTCACTGAGCAAGCTGCTTCATGACATTTCTATGAATGTAAAATCTTGTCGTCTATTCGAGTATCCCAAATACCCGCGGCGGGATGATTCTTGGGTTCCTTTTGATATTCCACCAGACAGCAGGCTGCAACACTTGAACATTCAGTCGACCTTGGGTGTGCAGACCACAAGAGGTATTCTTCGCAACCTTTGTGGATTGACATCCTTGGCCAAATTGGAGCTGTATGAAGGTCAGCATGCAGTTGATGCCAACAACGAAATTGTGGCACTCTTGACTCGAAACCAGCTTGAATCTCTGTCGATGTCGAGCTGTGCTCAAGTCAGTCTCCGGGTTCTTGTGGATGCTTTGAAAGAGACTTCTTCATTGAAAAACCTAAGCCTCGGCACTACACAGTGTGGTGAGAGCATGAAGAGTCTTGCTGAAATGATGGAACAAAACAACATGTCTCTTGAACGCGTGTACTTGGGAAAGTGGTGCATTTTCGATCCTTCCTATTATCAAATCAAGTACTGGACAAAACTCAACCACTATGGAAGGGGAAAGCTGAGCAATCCAAAAGCACCATTGGATGAGTTGATCGTGGCTTTGGAAACTGCCCAAGAAAAGCATTTTCGGGACCCTGACAATCTTTGGTATGGGCTCCTTCGAGTCAACCCAGGGGCTTGGGCTGAAGCGGGAGTGTTTGGAATGTGAATTGGAGGGCAGGCGGTAACATGCAGGCAAGATGTATAACGTACAGTGTATCTTCACTAAGAAGTGATATTTTTGTTGACCTTCCGATTCATCTCTTAGCTTCATCATCACTGCCCGTACCCACCTGACGTACCATATTGACATCAGGATGGAACCACGCTGCTCTGGTGGAGGCTTCGAGAAGTCCTGGAAGGCACGTACGGTATATCGAAGGCAACCGAAATCAACAAACAGCCGCTTGCAAGCGTTTCAAGTCTCGGTATCGGCAAGTCAGTCAAGAAGCACTACTTTGAAGCCAACATTCGAATCATCCAATTGATGGGCACGAAAATCGTGGTCAACAGAGAAGCAATTTGTTGCTTGGACGATACCGGTCTCAAGACCGAAGGTCGAGATCATTTTGCAAGGACCCGAGGTAGCGTATCCATATTCTAGCTAGACACCACGAAACCGATCGGTTGCAGACCTCCTCTTCCCAAATATTCGCTCTACCGGTAGATACCTATCTAGCCACGAGTAGCGCTAATAACAATTCAAAGCAATGACGAACGCATTGTTCAGACTGGCACATTAGCTCCCTTGGAAAACTCGTCACTTACATTATTTAGTCAAGCTACAAAAAGAAAGCTCCACACACCTACACTTACTCTTGCCTTCCCCGCTTATTATCGTTTCCCTGCATGTCGTCTTCGGCCGCTCGTTTTCGATCCAGCAAATGCTGGGGAAAGACACCTCGTTGCACGGATCGTTCAATTTCATCAATCTCGGCGGGAGACTTGGCATTGGCCACGAGCTGACGGATCTGTTCCTTTTGTTCGGGTGTAAAGTTTGTGACAAAGGTTTCTTGCGCCGACTCTCCTTCGCCCGGAACAAAGGTTTTGGTGCTGAGGGCTTCCTTTTGGACATCACTCTCTAGCGCAGCTCCAGCCGCACTGTTTGCCAATCGCTTGGCCCGATCTCGCTCCGAGGTGGTGATTTTGACATAATCCAGTGTCTTGAGAGACGGTATCCGATGGATAATGTAGAGTCGATAATGCTGTCGCTCTGTTTCCCAAAAGAAAAGAAAAGCAAGGGAAAGGAAAGTTACGTGGATTTGTTAGTAACACCATGAACAGCAAATCAGCATCAGAACAACGTAGCTAGCAAGGCAATGTATGACCCATCAAACAAGTAGGCAAATAAATGAAGAGGATCCCCACAGGAATTGCCATAATTTACTTATCCCCATGGTCATCAGGAGAAAAAGATTTCACTGGGGAAAGTAAAACCATGGGCATCAGATCCTAACTTTGGAAAATACAACACAACAAATAGATCTTTGTTTGACTTTTGGGTTTACTTACTTGTGACAGGATTTCCCACCAGAGACAAAAACTGGAGCTTAGGACATGCTTCTCCCAATTTGGCCACCTCATGGAGGGAGGATATTCGATTTTCGGAGAGGACCAGATTGGTCCAATTGGGTGTGTTGGTTTGAATATTCTTGTGATCGAAACTCTCAATTAAATTTCCCGAGCAAATGAGAGATGACAACCGGGAGAGTCGAGGAAAGTTTTCTAAACGTAGCAATCGGTTGTCGCAAAAGTCAATGGTATCAAAGGCATCACGTGTCACTGCCAAGTGTTCAATGGCGGGAATTGCCAAACCTCGCAGTACCAATTCGCGCTCGTCCAGGACGTTGGTCCGTTGCTCTGCCTGACTCAGTATTTCCGACGATAATCTCATTATTCTTTATCTACCTGTGTGGATAGATGGAGCGGTCGATTGTTCCTTTGGTCTTCTATTGTTGTTGTTGGTTTGGCATGGTCACCATGGTCGTTGTTTGGAACAGATCGATGGCTGGCAGCTGCCGCCGACGTGGTCCATGAAGGTTCGAGTTAGTGACTTACGGCACGTCAGTCACGAGAAGTCAATGACAACGGCTCTCTCACTTTTTCATTCAAAACCACCGAACAATAAATAAATAACAACTCTCTCCTCTCAGGCTGCTTCGAACTTCGAGCTGAATACATTACTCTTCCTATTGCTGTTGCGTTGAGGACTGAGTACATGTAGTGTCTAGACCACATCTTCTTGAAAGACTGATCGACCTGGAGTCTTCAACAATCTATTCCTCGAAGACCAGTTTTTTACCTCTCGCGACCACACATATCGGTACATCGGTTCTGTCAACTGTCCAGCAGCAAACAAAACAAAAGATGACAACAACCAAAAATCCCCAGCAATGGGAGATGGGTTTGTGTCAGTGCTGCAGTCAAATGGATCTTTGCTGCTACCTGTGCTGGTGTCCGTGCTTGGCATACCACGAAGCGGCGGAGAATATGGGAAGCGACGGAATGGTGTACTGCCTCCTCACATTTCCATTGCCCTTGGGATGTTGTGTGCTGGCCGTACTGGGCGAAGAAGCCGCCAAACGAAGAGGCATTGATGTGGGCATTCCTTCCTCGGCGCTCTGTGCCTGTTTGAACCCTCTCACGGGCTATTCGTGTTCTGTCGTCCATGAAACAAGAAAGATTCGACAAGAGAGCGTAAAAAAGCAACAAATGGAACGAAACTAGCAAGCTAGAGCAGGTACCATGACGGTGCCGGTATCGAGCATCAAGGGAGAAATTGGACAATAGGACTTTCAGCTTTTTCAATCATCAATCACTCCGGAAATGTCATCGTTCCTCTCTTGGTGAAGCTCATCTTCCTGCCATTTGGGTGACTAGTCGATCCTTTCCAGCAGCCGAGCAAGAGCCTGGATTTGAAAAAATCCAGTGCTTGGATGCATGTAAGCTGACGAACTTGAACCATATCGGGCATTCGCAAAACCCAAAACAAATTAGAATAGAATAGTAAACGAAGCAGTCAAGTAGAGCTCCCAAAGACAATGACACCATCTGTTACAAAACTATTGTAGTATGACATCATGCAGCCAGTTGCACTGACATGGGGAAACTAGAGAAGTTCTTTATGAATTGGTAAATTGCTGTGTGGACAACGGAATCAGATGATACGGTTCAGATCGATCTTCTTTAGAGGTCAGGTCCAACTTCCAAAGCACCAAGCTCCTCCAGGAACTCCACTACAGGATGCTCGTCACCATACTCGTGCCGAGCCCACCACAAAGCTGACTCCCCGACTCCAGTCAACGCATTCTTGTCCGCACCCTTTTCCACCAGATATTTGACACTGTAGTATCACACGACAATAAAGACAAGTCAGAGAGACTGCACCACCAATTGATTGACCGCTCGCACAACGCTACCATGTTCCTTCCACTTCACTCAAATGGTACTTACACCTCCTTATGCCCACCTCTTGCTGCCTCGTGCAGAGGAGTCCAGCCGTTAGCGTCTTTCAAATGCACGGATTCTTTCGCCTACAACAGATAAAGATGAGAACAGTCCGAGGAGTGAACAATGTATGTGAGAACTACGGACGGTGGCGATCTATACAGGTTTCTAGATCTCATAACCCGCACCTTGTCAATGTGAGTCATTATTGATTTCAAGTCACCCTTCTGTGCGGCAAAATGAACTGGCGTGGATCCAGTGGTGAACCTATCTTGTTGTTGTCGTTGCTGTCAGACACAGATACATTGTGTGAGGTAGGCAATCCAATATGGACCAGACCATAGCAGCGCATATATACATCAAATCAAATGACATGAAACGAAACTCACGTTTCCACTGGGATGACTACGTCTCCAGTTGGCCTCTTCTGGAGTTCCAGGAATAATGTATGGTGGCAGGCCGTTGTTTTCGTTTTCATGCCCTCCAAATCCCATTTTGGAAGCTAGTTTGTACTGTGAGATCCAGCTGCCCTTCTTCTTTTCCTTTGCCATTCTGGCCTTCTGCTCTGCCTCCACTTTTTCTTCGTGTCGAAGAGTGTGGCCCTGTTTATTGTTGTGGAATCCATCAATCAATCAATCGAATCACCAACAGGTTGAGATGAATTGAATCCAAATCTGACACTACAAGCTAGCCTCATTCTCCACTCACCGTCGGTCTGCACAGTTGCCACAAAGAAAAGTCAACACACCGCGTGTAAGATTCGTTAGTACGCAACAAAATTAAACATGCAGCTAGAGAAACGAACGAACGACTTACTCGAAATGGATAAACAAATTGGCAACGAAACGTCCCTTCAATGGAAAAGGGCGTCCGTGGAGGACGGAATGCGATTCGTAAAGCACCATATCACCAGGTTCCTGCACGTTGATGTAGATTGAGGGTGTGAGAGCGCTGTTACGGTCCGGCACCCAACACATTTTCATGAATAATGATTTGTTGTTGCTCACCATTGTGACGTTCGTGGCCCTGCCGTCGTGCCCGTACACTGTACATTACCAAACAAAAAAGGACGGTCAGGTGGATACACGATTTCATTGCACCGTTTGTTGTCGCGGAATGAATAATTTAAACACACGAGAAACAAACCCACCTTCCAGAGGCCATGGTTCATCGAGATCGGAGGCCACGTTGATAATGGCCGAGCTCACCAATGGCAAACGATCCACATGAGTAGAAAGAATGGACCCTTCCTTGTAGACCCGAATTCCATACAAGGAACATTCCGTTAATTCTTGACCGGTCCACTCTTGAAGAGTATCTCTGGCAGCATCCCAGATTTGTTTTTTCAAGCCGAAACCACCCCCACGGAGGCCACTGTCTTCCACGCTCACCATATGAGTTGGGACAACCCAGTTGTTGCTGTGAATTGTTGTTTCATCCATGTTCATCATGTCGAGAGATATATATATGGCAGTGTCAGTGTATTCCTAGCCAGTTGCTGAACTGGTACCTTGCATCCATGAAACAAACAAACTCACGTGTAGGTATTGGCAGTTCCCCAAGTTTCCTTCTTTTCCTTGTCTTTGTTGGCCTCCCAAAATTCCTTGACCATCTTGAAGACTTTCTCTGGTGCTTTGATCTTTTTGAAGCCAACTTCTGTGTAATTCTGTTTTGGGAGGGAGGGGGAAGAAGGTGAGATTAGATCGTCACTCCGTGAACAACTCTAACATAAGACAGCCATTCATCTCTCCTCCAACGAGCGTGTCCACACATACCTGCATACTCTGTGGCTGCCTCAAACTCATGTCGATGCGGTCTTGTTCGGTCATTCGGCATCGGCTCGCCCTACCCCCAAATGCTTTTTCGCAGGATTTGATAAAATCTAGATACATTTCTTCCCGGCCCGGCAAGGGGGAGACCACCATTTCCTCGAATTGCTTGGGAGTCTTGTGATGGGCGGGATCCTGGTTGTGTGGAAGCCACGCAAAATTGTCCGAGACTTTTCGATGATGAATGGGAAACGACACATCGACGCCGTATTCGACGTCTTGGGCGGACGCCAACTGCAACAATAGCAGAGCTGTGCCGACGAGACAAGGAAACTGGAGAAGCGCCATTGTCATTGATCTACTAGTACAATAACAAGGGAAGGGATGTGTTCGTGCACCTGTTTGTGCTGGAGAGGAAGTGAGGAGAAATGCCAGCTGTGGCTGGTCTTGGACCGAAGCGTTGTGTCTTTGGGTGGCTGGGTCTTGTACATGTAGAAATAACGATTGAATCGAATTATCGACTATTTCTATTCGATGATTCGAATCGAATCAAATCGAATCCCACCGCGACGATGACATGATGTAAAGTGAACGCTGCAGCTGCCAGCTTCCGTTGCATGCCTCACGAGAACACAAAACAAAAATCAGCGGAAAGCAATCGAAAGCAAGACCATGGTCCTCGACAGATTCTTTGGCAACAGCCGGAACGGCCCTCCCTCCAGTTTTGAAAAGCTGGACAAGGAATACGTCAATAAAAGCCGACCAGATGAAGATGAGTTCTTTCGAGGCTTCTTTGGTGGAAGTGGAGTTCCTCCACTGTTTTCGGATTTGGCACGACAACAACAGCAAGGCATGATCATGAAGCGAGGATTCAAGGTCGACGAGACGGAGGACCTCTTTACGGTCTCTATGGATGTTCCCGGTGTCAACCCGTCGGAAATAAAAGTCAAGCTGGAACATGCCATGGTATGCATCAATGGTCAACGAACGTTCAAGGAAGGCAATCACACGAGCTCCAGTCAATTCCATCAGTGTGTGCGAGCGTCCAGCCATCTCGACGCGACCAATGCCACGGCGGATCTATCCAATGGAGTTCTCGTAGTGTCGGCTCCCAAGTTGCCCAAGCAAGCAGTGGTCGAAATTCCCATTACGCAAGGTAGATCTTGATGAATGAAAAGAACAAAAAGCAAGTAGGCAACAATAATCACACAAGACGGTGGAGAATTCGCCCATTAGATTCCGCCAGTAGTATATTTATTAGGAAACCAAGAAACAACTCACTAGATTGAAGCTAAAACAAACGACGCACAGCAAAAGTGAAATGTAGCATCTTCTAAAGAACTAGCTAGCCACCAGTGACAACACTGCTCGGGCCGGTAAGGGAAAGAAAATGGCATTTCTCTACATTGCAGTAGATGGACTTCAAAGGAGTTAATGTGGTCACTAGGGCTGGTGATGGGGACATTCGTTTGAAGGAAGGCAGAAATACAGATCGACAACGGCTGAGGATAGCCATCACAACGTGTTTGCAATTTCGGCTCTGGTAGGTACCTACCCGTAGCCCATCATGCAAGACAGATGGCTTACAGATCCTTACAGATAGAACATACTGCACATATACTTCGGTAGTGCTTTCGTTCCTACCGGTACTGTGCTGCAGTTTCTACGGTACTGCGACAGTGCAGCTACCCATTGGCTTGGCCACAATCTTGGCGTTGTGGTGCCAAAGCCTTTGCGAAATCAACCAGTCACGTCTGGACCGCACCAACTCTTCCGATGCCGCCGCTGCAAAATTCAAACGGCACTGTCTGAACAATCACACACTCTCAAGTGACGTGCTCGTAACGCAGTTGGTGAACTTGCCCACCTTACCCCGTCAAGTCGAATCGAATTCACACACAGGGCAGATGCGGAATTCGACGCGATGAAGGCAACCTAGGCACGAGCCGGTCTCCATGTGGAGATGTGGGCCCCTCCATTCAGGAACCTGATCCGAGGGAGAGTCGCTACTGTGCAAAGTGCTGCAGCTATTGGGACCGCATAACAGCAGGCTTTCTCTTGGGGTGTACGATACCATACGGATACTGTTGTACCGGTATCTTGTCATCGGGGTCGTTCTCATCACAGTTACTGCCTCAAACGTTTTGACTAGCTAGGGTTAGAGATATTGGCCAATGACAGAGAGCGCCGAAGAGATCGAGAGAGACACGAAGACACCACAGTCGACGAGCCTCTACCCGACCTTTTCCTCCTTTTCCTCTCCCTCTTGCCCTCCCTCCCTTTTCTAATCCTGCTCCGTCATTGGCTCCCTGCATCGCACTCCATTGGATGCCCGTGATTTCCTCCCATCTGCACTCCACAATCCTCCCAGAACTGAACCGACCCAATCCATTGCACCCTGTTTGGAACACGCTCTTCCTCTCTTCAGCCCTCAGATCCTCCGTCTGTGTATTCTACTGTACCGGTACATCAGCGCTGAGCAGCAAGAAAGATGAAGAACCGCCGCAGTTCCAAGAAAAGGGGGGGGAAGAAGAACAACAAGAAGAATCCAACACAGAATCTAAAACAGAACCACGGCGCTGTTGCGGCAGCTTCCCCTCCCTTGACCTGTGATATCAATGCGGCCATCAATAATGAACACTCTTGTCGTCATGGAGGGACGAAATTTGATAACGTCTCTACGAAGATATGTCTCAAGTATCTATCGTATGACGGCGAATGGGATTGGGAAGATTTGTCTCGAGCCATCGTCGAAGCGAATCCAGCCGAGGACTTTGTCGCTAATCTGTATGGGTTTGCAGCTTCCCAATGCCAGATCTGTGAACTTTATACCGTTGATCAGCAATTGGCGTCTATAGGGGCAGCCAGATCCGGATCCAAGACTGTAAGCCCCAATTGTTTTACCAAGTTCGTGAAGGCAGCCATTTTCTTTGAGAAAGGTCGCCCTTACAATGCTGGACTTACATCGCAAAAACATTTTCTTGAACTCATGGGTGATGAGGTGGAAACGGAGAAATATCTCCGTATGAATTGGTGTTGCACCAAGCACTGTGGAAGCATGCGCGATGTGGTCCTGTATGTAGACAAAAAAATCCCCTGTGATTGCTTGAAAGACATGAAAAAGAAACTGCTTGAGGAACCAGAAGTCCGGCGTTGCTCCAATTGTGGCAAGGGGGAAACAAAAACAATGTGGTGCCCCAACTGCGAGTGTTCCGAGTACTGCTCCAAAGACTGTCAGCTGGCTCACTGGTCAATCCACCAATTTCACTGCCCAATCTTCCAACGAAAACTTTCTATTCTCGATGCTGCCAAGGAATCGGCCCAGGTTTGGTGCAAGAAGCGGGACACTTGAACAACTTTTAGAGTGGAGCTGCTTTCGGAGCTTTCTGGCCTGTGATGAGTGCACCGCCAACAAAAGCAGAGAGGCGGGGACTTACAGCGAGTTGCTATCATGAAGGAGAACGACAGCTCAAAGCATTCCATGCTCTTTGGAACCGCTCTCCCAAAATAGTAGGAAGCTTATACGTTTATCTATTTTGCCACGGGCAATGTTATTGTAGTGTACATGCATACCAGTAGGGTAGGTGCTGTATGTCTTTGACTAAACTCGAGTCGACTCATCAAAGGTTACCTTTGACGTCTTTCTAGCTAGGACGTCTCCTACGGTACCGCTGCGGGTTGATCCAAATAAATCGGTCAGTGTATAATCAATCACGACTGCGCGCCTCCACATGAGCGGCTGAGATCTCCTCTATCCCCGCCCGCAACCCTTCAGGATGCTTGAACAAGTACGTCCCAGCAACAAGGATACCGGCACCTGCTTTCACCGCTGATGAAGCCGTGTGTTCATTGATGCCACCATCCACCAACAGTTCAAACATTCTTCGGTCTCTTTCTTGGTCCCTCCATTCTTTTAGATCTCTCAACTTTTGCAATGCTCGCGGTTGAAACTTTTGACCACCAAATCCTGGCTCCACTGCCAAGATATCTACCAAATCGACAAGACCTGTTTCCAACAACGGATGGATTGATTCTACGTCGGTACCAGGGTTGATGGACACACCACACTGCATCCCAGAGGATATGACTGCTTTGGCCAGTTGAATGGCTTCTTGCAGAGCGCCCGTGTCGCTGCCTCCCATGGCTTCCCATTGAAAGATGAAACGATCGCCACCGGCATCTGCCATGGGCTGCACATACCGAAGGGGACGCTCGACACACATGTGAAGATCCAACACGGCCTGGCTGTCGCAATTATCACAAGAACGTCGAATCGCTTGCACCATTTGAGGTCCAAAAGTAAAAGCATGGGGGGAGTCTAAGAACACCCCATCAAAGACATCTACATGAAGCCTGGGCTAGGGGGGATGAAGAGATCGAAGTGGGTCTGGTTGAGAACAGGGTGACGTCGTCAAGGGAAAGAAACACAAGCTCCTACACTTACCTGCTTGCTTTTGCTTTGATACACCTCTCAACTTCACCTCTAATGTTTGACCAGTCGGCTGCCAGCAATGAAGGTGATATGACAACTCGTCTCTTCTTTGCCTTGTCATCACCATGATCATCAATACCGCCTCCACGCAAGTCGGCAATGGCGTGAGCAATCGGACGGGCAGCATCTCCCAGCTTGGAGTACACTTGATTGTACAAGCTTTTGTAGGTTTGTTTGTCATTCTCATTGGGGACGACGCGTCTGGATTGTCGTACCATGGCTTTGACAGCTGTATCCACGTCCTCGTGAATCCCCACGCCGATACTGGCCAAAATGGCACATCCTAGCAGTGGTGCATCACCATTTTCACACACCACAACCGGCAAGCCGGTAATGTCGGCATGCATCTGCAACCACAGCGGTGACCGAGTAGCCCCACCGGCAATGATAATTTCATCCGCGACATGACCTGCATTGGCCAGACCTTCGACACAAGCGCGAGTTCCAAAACAAACAGCTTCCATCAAGGCACGCCAGAGATGTGCTCGGGAATGCGAGAGTGTCAGGCCTACAAGGGCTCCCCGCGCCAATGGATCCGTGACGGGAGTCCGCGATCCTTGGAAGGTTTCGAGCGCCACCAGCCCGTCACAACCGGGTGGTATTTGAGCCGCCTCATCGTCCAAATCTTTGTACGACAAGCCGTCTCCTTGTTGAAACAACTTGCTCTTGGCCCATCGCACAATACTACCCGTGGACGACTGGCCTCCTTCGGCAAAGTTCATGCCCGGCATTGGGGCTCCCGGATAGGCACCCCAGATACCTGGTGCCGTGGAAGGTTTGGATGTGACGACACAATGTAAATGTGACGATCCGGTAATGAGACACAACTGTCCCGGATGAATACATCCTAGTCCGATCATGCCCACAAAGGCGTCGGCTCCACCTTGTATCACGGGCAGATCCTTTGGTAGATTGAGATGTTTGGCAGCGTCCTCGGTGAGTCCCCCCACCACGGCACCCATGGGGAGACACGTTTGTGGCAACTTGTCGGCCAATTCCGGAATTCCCAAAGTCTTGTAGAGTGACAAGGGTAGCCCCTTCTTGCTATTATTATTATCATCAGTATTGCGAATGCACTCTTCTCCATTCCAATGCCACCGAGTCGCCGCATTACAGGAACTGGCCACCATTTTGCCCGTTAATTTGTAATTGAGAAAATCTTGATACTCGCAGATTGTGTGTGCTTGTTTCCAAATCTCGGGTTCCTTCTGATGCACCCATA